TATAAAGTCAAATACTGAAGATTTTTTTAAAAATGTCTATTTGTTGGTTGCCTCAAATAGGATAGACTATTACAATACTGCTTCAATTTTTGTTAATACATGAAAATAAGTAGGCAAGATGACGAGGAGGACCACTTAGAAGTATTAAATTATAGGTTCCAGAAAACTAGTATTTTTAAGTATTTGGGAGTGATGATCACAAACAATAATAGAGAAGAAATAGAAATTCAGAGCAGACTCACAGCAGCAGAAAGATCATACTGGAGTTTAATAAAATTATTCAAAAGCAAACTGCTATCAAAAACCATTAAAATAAGAATGTATAAAACTATAGTGCAACCTGTATTGCTATACGGGTCAGAAACTTGGTCTTTTACCAAAAAATCCCAGAAGCGCCTTATTACTTTTGAAAACAAAATTTTGAGAAGAATTTTTGGACCAGTAAAAGAAGGAAATGCATGGAGGATAAGGAAAAATAGAGAGTTAAAAGAATTATATGGTGAACCAGATATTGTGGGAATAGTTAAAAGTAGGAGATTGAGATGGATGGGCCATATTAACCGTAGAAGTGAGAGAGAGATGGTGAAGATGGTACTCAGAGGTATACCAGAAGGAAGGAGACCATTAGGTAGACCAAGAATGCGATGGGTTGATGAGGTGACGAAGGACTTGAGAGGAATGGGAGCAGACTTGGAGCTGGCAGAGGATAGAAGAGCTTGGAGGCACATGGTTGGCGAGGCCAAAAACCACCTAGGTTTCCAATGGCCACAGGAGTAAGAGTAAGGAGAGATTATATGTTTCCTAACAATATAATGTAAGAACATTTAAATTCCTTTTCTTGACTTAAGTAAAGACGCAAATATTGTAATACATTGTTAACGTTTTTGATTTGCGTTATTATTAATTAATGTACCTAGGTAAATCATGTGCCTGATATAGAAAAATATCGAAACTATTTTGATTTGTTTACCAATACTATGATTCAGAAATATTTCGGTAATAATACAGAAATATTAAGAAGAACCAAACTATTGTTAACACTCGCACGACAGATATAATAGGCCTTTAAAGAGTCAAATATTATAACCTATCAAGGACAAGCATTCAAGGTTACAAGCCCAGTATACAAAATACGAACTTAATAGTTTTATTTGAAGAAGTTCACAAAATGGTATTTATTCCAATAAAAGAAACAAATGGTAGACTACGAGAATAGATATTTCATAACATGTAAAAGATCCAAATTAAATGTACAGTACTATCTTTTTGCATCCCAATAAACTACTATTTAAGTAAGAAAACCATGTATAAAACATACTCCCTTATATTAGTACATTTCTCATGCTTATGGATCAGCTGAAGTCAGTTTTATTGTAAGTTCTGTCCGGTGCACTGTATTTAGAGATCGTGTTTTGTTTACAATTGTTTCTTGTTTTCAGTCATTAAGAATCTCGTTGTTTAACCAAATAAAACGTTCTAATCATAATTAATAACACGTCCCCTAGTTATATAACCAAACAGTAAAGAACAAATCATGAAGTTAACTATAAAAAAATAGAAACAAAATTTCGTCGACACTAGCTATCAGTGTCACCGGACATGAACTAGGCACGAAAACGAGCTTCAAAGGTTACAATGGGATGTAAAGTCTACTTGTGTTGGTTAGTCTATGCCAAGACTATAATGCATTTTCTACCCTAATATTCATAAGAATAATATTAAACATACTTCTAAATATATTATTTTATCGACTACGTTGCTCTTACTCCTAATTATTCGTAGGATACGACATTATGGTACCGATACGATCGTAGGTACTACACTTTCGGCAACACTGGCCAAAAATCTTCGTGCTTGACTCCTATTGGACAGCACCCGAGGCTTCTGATTGGGAGTTAGCGAGTTCCGCCGAGGGGCCAAGTTAGCCACTTCCGTACGAGGACGGAATTCGCTAACCCGGCTCTAGAGCGGGTTAGCGGGTTCCGGAGTTAGCCAATTCCGAAACCGAACAAGTTAGCGAGTTCCTCTCATCGACCAAATTTGAAGATAGGGCGTTTAACATGGGGTTAGCGAGTTCCAGAGTTAGCCAATTCCGCGGACCCGGTTACAACAGATAGAGATACTCAATATAAGACTTACAAAAAGTAAATGTTCTCGAATCTTGGGAGTCCACAAAATAATTACAAATGGGCGTTTTTATACTATGGTGATTAAAAAAAGCAAGAATGGAATAGGAAGCATTTAAAAATAAATATTACACTAACCATAAATGACTACTCTTTGCAATGAAAAGTTACGTAATTAGCCTACTTTTGACACACAGCAAAATAACAGACGACTAATCGGCTACATCTTGCAGTAGCATATAACCTGAAAAAATTTTTCAGGAAAAATATAAAGTATCTTAGCATATAACCTGAAGTATAACCTGAACCGTCGGTATACTTTATTTGGATGGCAAATATTCATTATTGGTTATTTATGGTTGTAGATACACTTGTTAATTTTAAAATCGGGTATCGATATTAGTCAATGATAGTAAACTCTGTTTAAAATTTTAAATAACATATTAAATACTAAACATCAATTCAATCTACAGTCGAGCGTCGATTGGGAAACGTATTGTACAGCTACCAGTACACTATCGCCGAACATTCGCCTGAATGTTTCGCCGAATGTTCGGATCAGATTGCGACCACAAATGTTGACGAATGTGCAGCCCGAACCATCCCGAACTAACCAAGTACACTATCAGCTTAACTTCGGTCGAACTGTGCTGAACCCAATATTGCGTATTCCCGGCAAAACATTCGCACCAAACTTTGTGCAACATGGACGCTAACGTCAAAGACTAATCTAGATAATTATAGAGTAAATTAGTAGAAAATAATTAAATAACAAAACTAAAAGTAACTCTAACTACACAACCACTGCAGTAAATACTGTAAAGAGAGCGTCCGTGACTACGAATGACAGCGACTGTGTACTGGCTAGGTTCGTGCGCGTCTGCGTTCAGCATTCGTCCTAGTTCGTCTCCTTTGATTCGCGACGGGAGACCGCCAAAAAAGCGAGCGCACCCGAACACGAATGTTGGCGATGCGAACTACCCCAAATGTACACGAGCACACTATCGCGTTCGTCTTAGTTCGCCTAGATTCGGCGATAGTGTACTGCATGCATATAAATCGTTTGTTGTCTGTCTAGTGTCTACACAACAGTTCAGCCATTGCTTGCTACACAAAAACAGACGCAGACAAATACTTATTGCGGTCAAGTCAATACTGGCAATAGCTTGCACTGAACTAGAGCTCCAACTGAAGGTAGTACCAGAATGCGAGAATGCCGAGAATTGTGAGACTTAGCCACCATTTGTACTAGAGGAATACCTAGTACTAGTACTTTGGAACTAGGAGATTGGGGGATTGCAATTAAGCCAACAGCCAATGAGCTGGTTGATTCTTTAAGTGGTACCAACATAACAACATTTTACATTGTCTCAATTTTCTAGCAAAGTTACATAATCACACTCACAACAATGTCGATATCACTGCGCATTCAGTTTCACACTACTCGCCCCTTGTATCGTCTCCAGGCAACATATTTGGGGTTTTAAGGTTTCAAAAACAAATTCACGGCTAAATCAAGGTCTTTTCACGATTGACCTAATTCACGGTTTTAAGGTATTCACAGTTGTGTGGGAACCCTGAATAATGTGTTTCCTATTAAGAGAGCTCATCCAATGTACGGGTAAGCAAGCCTGCTCTTCCTACCAAATAAACAAAATTGAACCTATTCTGATCTAGAGCCCATTACCAAGAACACCAAAAACCCTTTTGATTTTACTGTATAGGAAAAACCATTCCACCACCTGAATAAAAACAATAGGGATGGACGGGTCCCGAAATTTCGGGAATTTTTCGGGAAAAAAATATTCCCGATTATCGGGACGGGATTACATTTGATTCGGGAATTTTTCGGGACGGGATTTGGTCCGATCGTCGGCGATTTTGCCGCTTCGCCAGTGCCGTTGACGCCGCTATTGCGAGCGATAGGTCCGCGAACGCAGGAGACGAAGTCATTTCGACGATCGCGCCGTGACCGCGGAATCCTACCGACGATCGCGCCGTGACCGCGAGTCATACCGACGATCGCACCGTGACTGCGGAGTCATGCCGACGATCATGCCGTTACCGCGGAGACATACCGACGATCACGACGTGACCTTGGAGTCCTACCGACGATCGCGCCATGACCGCGGAGTCATACTGACGATCACGACGTGACCGTGGAGTCCTACCGACGATCGCACCGTGACCGCGAGTCATACCGACGATCGCGCCGTGACCGCGGAGTCATGCCGACGATCACCCCGTGACCCCGGAGTCATACCGACGATCATGACTTGACCATGGAGTCCTACCGACGATCTCACCGTGACCGCGAGTCATACCGACGATCGCGCCGTGACCACGGAGACATACCGACGATCACGACGTGACCGTGGAGTCCTACCGACGATCGCGCCATGACCGCGGAGTCATACCGACGATCACGACGTGACTGTGGAGTCCTACCGACGATCCCACCGTGACCGCGAGTCATACCGACGATCGCGCCGTGACCGCGGAGTCATACCGACGATCGCGCCGTGACCGTGAGTCATACTGACGATCATGCTGTGACTGCGAGTCATACCGACGATCATCCTGTGACCGCGAGTCATACCGATGATCACCCCGTGACCGCGGTCATTTTGACGATCGCACCGTGACCGCGAGTCACAAGTTTCTATAGGTACCTGTATATTGTTACCCATTTTTTTGTTTTTATAGATCAGTACCACAAACGGTAAAAATTTATATTGTATGTCTTTTTTTGGTAACTGCAATACTCAAGACTTTCTTTTTATGCACAAATAAAATCCCGTCCCGTCCCGTCCCGAACTAAAAATTCAATCCCGTCCATCCCTAAAACAAAAACAGCAGTGTAGGTTTACATACCCTTTAGGCATTTCATCAAAAGGATCCTTAGACTTAGGCTCAGCAGCAAGTAGTGCTTCTGCAGCATCAGGTTCTTCAGCTGGTTCTTCTTGCTCCTTCTTTTTCTCCTCTTTCTTTTTCTTATCCTCTGGAGCCTTGTCTTTCTTCTTGTCCTTCTTTGCAGTCTCCTTCGCTGCTCCTCCTTTGGTGGCAGCTACATAGTTAACACATCAACAAAAATGTAAAATTAATGTTGAAGGAAAGCCAGTTTGCTGACAAAGTATTTGTTTCAATCTACTCTATAAAGATGTCTTGATAAGGATGAAATATCAATGTCACCTACGTTAAGTGACTAGTGTATTGGTTATCTCTTGAACTGTAATTTTCTAAAGTAAGGAATCTCAACTCAATAATTTTCCAAAAACTTAGCAAATCACAAACAACAAACTACATTTTTTAACTAATTAAAATTTTTATTTCACTGTATTTTATAAATGAATATTTAACAAGCTGAATACTAACTGCTTATTTCACACAAAACTACAACATTGGTAAATTTTACTCTGTAGGTAACAATTATTAAAAAAAAAAATTAATGATTTTCTTTGGTGTATATCCTACGTACTTTTGTGCACTTAACCTTTAAACCTTAAAAAGAATTAACCTTTTAATTTTTACAGATGAATAGACACTTAAGATAAAACAACTAAGTATACTTCATATACTTCCTTTATACTAAGGACAAAGACACAATGTAAAAATAAGAGTTCTACTTGCAGGATTTACTACTTTTAAAGTAAATGATGGTAGGCCAAATAATTTGTTAAAATAAACATATTTGGGTTATGAATTAACCAACAAATCAGAAGTCTATTAACAGCCACAAATAAATTTTAAGCGCAAAACTAAATTATGAGGAAGCAGTTCATAAATGTAAATTGTAATGCAAAGTGTGAAAATAAAAACACCAAAAGCACCTAAGGGTTTGGGGTGGTTTCACATGATAGTACCTAGGTAAAGATAAGACGATTGTTTACTTGGAGGAAGCTTACGGTCCTGAATCTTGGCTGGATAAGTGTTGAAAACTAACATTAGTATTATTATACAATATGAATTTATAAAAAACTATGATTAACTGGGCTGATTCAGATTAGCATGACCAAATATATCACAGAATACACTCAAGAGGTTTACCAAATAGGTTAATCATCATCTTCAGCCGTAATATTTCATCAATGGGAGCTAATAATTCCAAGCAAAAGGTGTGCATTTTTTAAGATTCCCTAGGCCTTATTTCTATTTTAAGAAATTATGAACATTTATTATATTTTATTAAATAGGAGATAGCCAAAATAATGTTGAGACCATTTGCAATTGACTAAGAATACTGCAGGCAAAAAAATTTGCAATAAAGCAAAGCAACTATGTACCTCTATTATATATTTAAAAAAAACACAAAGGACACAAAAATTTGTTAGCATACTAGCACACAATTAGGTTGTACGTCCAATCAAAACCTGCATCTGTTCACTCTTTTAAACAAATTTTGTTTGCAAGAATTCAACTAAAAAACAGACCATCATTGTGATAAGAAGTATTGTGAATTTGAAAATTTGTTGGCCAAAATTATTTAATAAATTAGTATAGCATGTTGTATTAATGTAGTGATGGGCCGATTCCAAAATTTCTCGATTCCGATTCTTAAATTTAAGATTCGAATCTCGATTCCGATTCCAAATGCAATTATGTTTTATGAATGTGTTTAAAATTGTGAAATCAGTACAAGCTTACCAAGCATGTTATCTATATGTAGAATTTAGAATGTCACACATTCAATACACATTTACAAGGTTATTGTAAAATACTAGCCATAGAATATTATAAAATAACTTTTATATGTACTATAAAAAATCATTCATTATCATTATAAAAAATCAGCCCCTATCCAATTCTTGATTTTTAATTTATATACAAACTAACCTAACCTTATATAAACTTCTAGGAGTAGGCCTAGTTGAAACAAAAACATAATTAATTATACAGCTTAAGCAATAGATCAATAATATTAATATTTGGTATCTGATCTGCATTTAAGTCACACGATTCACAACAAAAGTAAGTTGGATGTGGTATGTGACTTACCACCTCTTGATAATCGTTTTTTGCATATATTGCAGGTAGCAAAAAGGCTTTCGTCATTTTCCTTTGTAAAAAAGTCCCACACGTCACTTTTCTTCCTTCTAGACATGATTTTTGTTTGTCCAAATAAGTTAAACCTAACAATAATACAAACTAACAATCACGATAACTAAAAACAAGGCAAGCTCAATACGTTTTACTTTTGGGGTTAAAAAAGTTGATCTTACAAATTGAAAAGTTACTATTTCACAACAATACGATTTGTTGATGCCGTCCGTACTGGAGCATTTAAGTATTTTTCACTTTATCAGTGTTGCCACTGTTGGCAGACAATAACGGAACCTGCAAAACTACTCTGCCTATCGGCCATTAAAATACCCAGTGTTCGAAGATTTACCCGTTGATTGCAACACTAAACAAGTTTATTTACAATTTCGCGCACTTGAACATTTATAGGTAGTTAAAACCTTCCAATTCACTGTACAAAATTATATTCCCAAGCCCAAGCCCAAGTCGCTTTTAGGCTATAGGACGCTCGCTCTAGTCTCGTTGAGTAGTGACGTTTCGGGACCGAATACGAAGTGTTTTGTTATACTTTGGTAATGAATGGTAGCTCAGCTCTGTTTAGGGATGAGCATCGATAGTAGATGTTTTCGCATCACCGATGTTTTTCTATAGATTTTCGTTGTTTTTCACATCGATGTTTTTGACCAAGTGTAATTGAGATATCGATGCTTTCCGTTACTGGAGAGTACAGAGACCAGACGAAAAATTGAAGAAAAAAATCTATGTCTTAGTCCCAAAAACATCGATGTTTTCTAAACGATGTTATCGGTTACTGATAACATCGATGTAGCGATGCAATGATTCAGTTAGTAGCACCAATACTAGAAAAATACCGGTATGGATCATAAACATAAACAAATGACGTTGTTGGCCCGAATCCTCTACGAATAGCGTTGAACATATGTTTTGGCAGTTCAATTTAAGCAATGTGAAATAATGTGTATTTTCGGGCCAAAAATGTCATTTGTTTATGTTTATGATCCATACCGGTATTTTTCTACTTTTCTAGTATTCGTGGTTAGTAGCCTTGGTACCACTGGTTGATCTAAATCGATGCTCATCCCTTTCCTTGTATGTCTTGTGAGCTGTGACGCAATGCTTACTCGCTCCAGTCCAGTTTGCCCGAATCTCCAATTCCCATCTGTTAACTGTTTCTCATTGTAGGCTACTATCTGTATTGAGTTCGCATCTATTATTTTTGCAATACGCTCGCTCTAGTCTCGCTGAGTTAGTGACGATACGACCAGGACTTGTTGTTTGCTCAGAGTTGCAAGCAAATCATTAGCAATCTGAATTTATTTTGTTTCTTTGTTGCTTTATATGACGTTTATGGCTTATTTTAACCAATTTTATCAAAGAATCGAAGAGAGTCGGAATCGATCCCAAACCCACGGAGATTCGAATCGAATGCTCGATTCGATTCCGGCGGAATCGAGAGTATTTTGGAATCGAGAATCGGAATCGGCCCATCACTAATTAATAGTCAAAGATACTAGCATGCAATAAGTTATAAGTTGCATCAATCAATCAATATCCATGTATAAAGATTAAAACTAAAACAATTTTTTAAGTAATCGGATTTGATTATTACTGTTCACTCCCAAATTTAAATTAATCTAAAATTTAATTTAGACTACTAAAAACATGCATTACAGATTAGCTTATGATTATCAGAATTAGCATGGCATAGCAATCACTGGGCACTGAGCACTCAAATGAGGTGTCAGAAAATGTTTATCATCATCATCATCATCATAAGCTAGGTTCTGTTATTTTTTAGTAATGTCCCACAAAAACTCATTACTTCTTCATTGTTTTTCCTTTTTAATTGTCTAGCTGTTGACATCAAACAGCCATATTATAAACAATAATATAAACAATACTTTTATATTATAAGAGTACGGTATAGGATAAAAGTAGTTTAGCCATATTATAAAGTTAACTAACAATTTACTTTTCTTTATTTGGAATCCTAGTTTGTAGGGGTGTGCGATGCATCGAAAATGCATCGAAATTTCGATTCGATTCGATTCGATGCATCGAATCGCGATTCGATTCAGTGGTGGTCAAAAAACGATTCGATTCACGAGGAAGTCAGTATCCATATACGAAAAACGCCTGCAGAAAGTCAATGCAATACAGGAGCGCGTTGCTGTTGCTTAATACATTCTTTGCATTAAATATAGCTTTAATTGTTTTATATTTTTTTGTTTTGACATTGCAAATGATTAGAGGTTTGTTTTTTGTCTTGATGTAAGCAGTGTGTGAAATATTTTACTACTGTGAACCTAGCCAAAACAAGGTAGGTTACTCCAAAATAATTTTAAAAATAAGTCTGAAAAATTGTTACTTAATACTTAACTAGTAAGATTAATGTTATAGACTGATTCATTTGGTATTTTTGTTAGGTGTCTGCCGGTCCCCGTCCCCGAATTTTTGTTGGGGCAAAAGAAAAAAAAAAAGAATAATTTATTTCCAAAGAAACACTCTTATATTATTATATCTATTATTACAGAGGAATTAAAATGTTCAAATGAGAATTAAAAATTAAGTTGGCTCACAACCGAATAAAGACACATCAGAGCAATTGCCGCACTGCCACTAGCCAGAGCCAGGTCTAGTCGTCTACTGATAAGAGTAACAAGACAAAAGCCCTGACGCAACACTAACAGTGCAAAGAAAACAAAGTCAAAAGAATAGAAAGACTATTTATCCAGACATACTAGTATAATCATTTATTGTTTATTCAATACCTAATTAAAAATATATTTTATTATTTTACATAATAAATTATAAACAAAAGAAATATCTGATATAGTGAACAGATCTGTATCTTGGTTAGATGGGGTTAAAAAAATATATTTCTAAGATCCAATACAATATTTACAACTCACAAATTACATTGAATTAATTTCTTTGAAAATAATCTCTAACAGTTTTGTGTTTTTGAATAAAGAAATATATTTCTTTGTCTCTACTTCCTTGTTTCATCACTTGCATTTTGTCAGCAATTGAAGCAGCTGGGTAGCAACCGGGTGGTGTAAGAGGGGAGGGGGAGGGTCTATGACCTTGAATTCACACATCGTTGCCCGGGCCTGGCTGGTGAGACTGATTCATTGTTTTTGTTGACATACTACTACCCTTCCTTAAGAGAAAAAGGCCCTGCTGTTCCAAAAACATTGAGGGTAGTTTAAAAACATTGACCTGTGTTGCCAAGGGCACTAGGCTAGAAGATAGCATTTAACTTTCTTGTCTCTTGATTTAATATTATTTTAATCTTCTATATATTATTTAAGAGTTACTTTTCGGGTACCTAATTAGTTGTGATATTGTTTGGCTTTATTTTATGGATTTTTAATTCTTTTCATTCATTAGCTATCAAAATCAGTTGTTTTAGGATTTTAATCTCTTGCAGTAGGTCTATACTACTGTATGACATGATATGCATTTTTTAGTCCTTATTAATTATACCATAAACAATGTTTGTATGTTATTTACTGTTTTTGAGTTTTATAGGAAATTAGTTTACACAATATCTTTTCTTCAATGAGTTCTCCACTTGACATGTTGCTTCTAGCCTATTACTATTTTAGGCCCTATAAAAATAATGCCTAGGTAAAGCTGTAGCCAATAATAATTCTTTATTTATGATGATGTAACAAATAATGTAAGTGTGAGGTTATTATACTAAGGAGGTTAGGAGGCAGGGAATGAATGATACATATTGCATGGTGGAAACATATTATTTTTATTTTCTTCTTGCTTGCAGTCCTGAAGCCGGTCCACAGGCCCTAAACTTGTGATATGTAAATTTATTTCTTAATGGTCTTTTTATATTAAGTTCCATTCAAATTTGTTGTAATTTAGCTACCGGCACCTATTTATTTATATTTAAACAGTTATTAAAATGAGAATGAATGTCTTGATAAAAAAAATATTTTCTTCTTTCTTGCAGTTGAGCCAATTCAAGTAAAAATTATGAAATAGGCAAGTAAAGCAGCTCACTGGTATTTCCAGCAGTTATTCTAATACATATGATTGAAAATAAATATTTTTTCACCTAAAATTCATATGTTAAGTATGAAATAGGCCTAATACCACATCAACAAAAATTTGTATTACACAAATGTGATACATTTTAATTATTGTTAATCCACTCAATTGACAATTATGAATAGAAAAATACCGTATTGCTTCGAATCGAGTTGCATCGAATCGAATCGAAAATCTTTTGAATCGAATCGTTGCTTCGAATCGAAAATTTTTTGCTGCTTCGCACACCCCTACTAGTTTGTATTATTACCTTGGACATCGGCGAACTTCTTGGCATCAAATTCGGCCATTTTCTCACAAAGCTTGAAAGAACCGATGACAGCAGTTACCTGGGGCTGGTTGATGATTGTGGTGAACCATCTGTTGACATTCTGGTAGGGTTGCCTGTGAAAACAAATATTTTTTTAAAATTAATACATGTAATACTCACTACACGTTTATTGGACGAGGAAGAACAATTAATTAAGTCAGATACAACACTTCAATAATATTACATTAATTGTTTTTAAGGTCTAAAAACTATTGGAAAACATATGAAAAGGAAAATGCAATTTTAATCTCATGACACTATAATACCTTGTACCCTAGTCCCTTAGTGTGAAGTTTGATCATGCTATTTTGCGTTAAGTCGTTAAATAATTAAATAAATGTTAAATAACAAATATAGCTAACTAAATTTAATTTAATTTGTGTACATTGGTACATATTCAAACTACAGTGGAACCTCGATAAGAAGACCCTCGATAACAAGTCACCCTTGATAACAAGAGTAATTTTCAAATCCCCTTGAATTTATTTGACCATTTATCACATGTTATTGCCAACCTCAATAAGAAGTCAACTTTGATAACAAGTCTTATTTAATAATCCCCATGGGAATCTTGTTATTGAGGTTCTACTGTATTTACTTGCCCAACTTGATACAACTAGTTTGGATACATTATGTCAATAAATTAATCCTACAAAACTGAGAAATGCTTCCTATGTGAACTTGCTACTTGTATTTTAAAATGACGAGGACTATTCAGAAAGTGAGACGTTTTGGTCAAGCGGGGCAGTGGGCGGGGCTAGGACCGCTACCTTGGCATCAGAATGTTCCTACACTCAGTAACCAACCAGACGTAGTAGCTAGAGCATTGTGTCTTCTGTGCCTTTTACCTATACAGTGGAGTTTTAAAATGAGCGCAGTGATTGAAAATCCTGCCAGTTGCGAAGCGTAGGTATGGTGTAAGTTTTTGTTAGAAAATTACAAACCAATTGAAATTATTATCAACGGATTTGTAATGTGTACAGCGCCAAGGAATAATGAGTGAAAGCTGAGTAAGGCAGTGGTGCATTGATTTTAAAAATGGTCATAATGTTCAAGATGAGGGTCGCTGCAATGGTAGGCCTAGTCTTGCAACTGATAAATTGGTGGTGAAAATCAATTAAAAATCTGTGAAAATCGTTTTACAATTACGGAACCGTCAGAACATTTTCCTCAAATTCATCCGAGTTTAGTTCATGAAACGGTGGTTGGTAAACTTGGATACAACAAATTTTGTACCAGGTGGGTTTCAAAATTCCTAACCGAAGACCACAAAAATCAGAGAGCAGCAAGAACTGACACTTCTGGAAGAATATGACCAAAGTGGAAACCATGTTATTTATCGTATTGTAACTGGTAACGAGACTTGGGTTAAGCATGTCAACTGTGAAACAAAAAGGAAGTCGATGGAATTTTTATTAATTGGGTCACACGCATTCCCCCAAGAGACTGATAAAATGTTTGCAGACGCTATCAGCAAGAAAAATCATGACTGTGTTTTGGAACGCTCAGGAAGTGATTTTCGTAGATTTCCTAGAATGTTACCAAACATCAACTTAAAAAGGTATTGCGAAACACTAAGCAAATTAAAACAAGGGATCCTAAAAAATGGCGAAAACTTGGCGAATAAGTTTTGTTTTTTCATGACAACCGTCCACACACGGCCAATCGTACCAAACAGTGTCCTGTTCACAACAACATTTTCTGTTTCTCCATAGTAAAGGTTAAATTTAGAAAATAAACACATACAATTCTGGTGTGGAAATGTGTGCCTACCTAAAGCTGGGGTCCAGGACATACTGGTACAGATGAAGCAAAGTGCAGCACACACAGATGTCGGCCAGAGTGATCCGTTCGCCGACCAGGTAAGTTTTTGTGAGCAAGTGAGTGTTCAACACCTGCAGAGCCGCCTTCACGTCTTCCTTCGCTCGCTCTGTCGCCTGAACCGTCAACCATTACAATTTAAAATCTTGGAGCTGAGGAAAATACAAATAACGGAAGGAAATATGATAATTGTAACAAGCCATCAATATCAAAAACATGGTCAGACTTGAGATACAGTGAAGATAATCTTAAATTACTAAATCTATGTGAACAAGTAGGCCTATTGCGAAAAACACAAGGTTTTATTATTCAGTAACACAAGCTTGGACAAACTTTTTTTCCAACAACAAAATAATAATCATGAGAATATTCGTCCCCAAGACCTTAGTCAGTGAGTGAGAATGTAATAATTCCTTCAGCACTGTTAAGAATAGAGGTGTGCGAATAGTGAAATTTAATTTTGGATAGGATTCTGGTTGGATAGTTAAGGCTCAGTTTGAATCGGATATTAGGAGCGTCGGATTTGGATTTCAGTTTGGCGTCCACGTAAAAGTTCAAATGACAGCACACCTTCATAAATCAAATCAAATTATCTTTACATTTGTAGTGGTGTAGGAAAGAGTAATCACAGATTGTAAAAAAATAATTCAATTTACAAAAAGGGAATTTTGTAAATATTAACATATGTAGGACTAACGCAAGTTTAACAATGTGACCACATGATGTTTAGGTGTTATATTAAGCGTATAATAACATGGTATTTAATTATGGCACCACATGAATGACAGGACTGTGGTTGAGGAGCTGTCTGATGCAGGACTGCATGGCTGCTACACAGTGTGTGATCCATTGTGTTATATAAAACTTATTGATGACATAGCCTAGAAATAATATTATAACTTAAGGTTTGAAAACTTTATTTGCGACAGAGAAAACTGTAGATTGAACAATTAGGCCAATCATTAAGAAGTAGGTAAAAAGTTAGTTTGTAGGCTATATCTTACTTAAAGTTTTTGTTACGGTAGGCCTAAATATTTATTTAAAGTTTTTGTTACAGTAAATAATAAACATATTAACCGTACCTATATTTTTTATTTCTGTCCTTGAAATAACATAAAAAGGCTATACATTTTCATAGAACCACCCTTTGTAATCCAAATGTAAATAAGTTAATTCCTGCACTATTATATGGTAAGTTAACAGAATCAAACTAGGCCTATATAAAACCGTGGTTATACATTGAAACATCAAATATAATCCTGACAATCACCTGTTTGTTGTATTGCATAATGCCGAGTGTAGGGAACACCCAAGTGCATGAGGCTGGCAGGATTTCACTGTCAGCAAAGCTCAGCCACTGCAATATTTGTGCCTTCTCAACATCGTTAGCGCCTCTAAGTTGTGCATTGGCCACTGTAAAACCACCTCACGTTTTAATAAGCATATTAGGTTTATTGGGCTCAAAAGTGTCTTAAGTTTAACAAGTACCTATGACAGCGGTTCCCAAACTTTTTGGTGAGGCGACTCAGCTTCATCTTGGATATTTTTTTTCTTTTGATAATAGGCCTTTTAATTGCTAACAAGTTAAGTTACCTCAAAATTCCACTGAGGTAAGTTTGAGGAATACACCTCCCAACAAAAATTGTGTTTAAGCAGCATAGTTGATGTCACAATAAAATAACTTGGACCTACATTTAGTCCAAAACACTTATATATTAGAATTTTTAAATTACCAAAGATAATTTATCTGAATTAAATGTTGTCAGCTGTAAGCTTTTCCTGACACATAAATATTGACTTAGTTTTTAATTACACCAAGTGGAGAATCCCCTATCACTTGAATAACATGTTGAAAATCTCAATAGGCCGACATTGTTAAGATAGGCTACTACTGAATTGATACATTATTTCTTTTTTTAAACATCAATGTATTTTTTATGAAAAGTAGCCCCGACATTAAACCATAATCACAGTAATAAAGTGATAGCAGGGTGTCTAGTTTATTTCCATTTTTAAATTCAAGACTAGTTCCAGACAGTGATGTGTTTATACCAAAATGTTTGATTCTAAATTCTTGATACTGATACCAATTTTTATAGTTTAACCAAATTTTCAAAATAATTTAGTTGTACTAAACCAACCCCTTGTCTCATAAAGTAAATTATTAAGATAATGGGGTGTTTTTCAAATAAAAAAAATTCAGCAATGAAAAATTATAACTAGCCAATTTTTTTTATTTTTTTTGGATCATCTCCCTCGAATATCTTCCAGGACCATGTAGACTGGCGTCTTCCATCATAGATGATATCTTCCATTATCATTGACTGGCGTGGAGTCGGAAACGTCATTGTCGTAATCCGCGATAGCGGAAAATCATAAACATTTCCCGCAGCCGTGTAAACATCATCGTCGTCGTCTCTGCGATCGCGGAAAAATCATGAACGCCTTCCGCGGCCGTGTAGACATCATCATTGAATGCACAGTAACGGAAACGTCATCGTCGTAGTCTGCAATTACGGCAAAATCATAAACATTTCCCTTGGCCGTGTAGACATCATTGTCGTCTCCCGTGGTAACAGAAACGTCATCGTAGTTTCCTCCCGTCATTTTGGTCGTCCACGATCGTGGGAAAATTATGAACAAATTTCCGCGGCCGTGTAGATCAGCAAGCAAGTGTATACATCATCATTGACTCCCACTGCCATGGAAATGTCATCCTCTTTGTCCACAATCGCGGCAAAATCATGAACATCTTCCGCGGCCATGTAGACATTATCATTGACTCACCCAATTGTAACGACATAATCGTAGTCCGTGGTCACAGCAAAATTATGAACATTTCCCGTAGCCATATAGACATCATTGACTCCCACGGTCACGGTAACGTCACAGCCGTAGTCCGCGATAGCGGAACAATCATGAACATCTTCCGCGGACGTGTGAGCTTCATCAATGAATGCCACGGTCACGGAAACGTTATTGTCGTCGTCCACGATTGCGGAAAAATCACAAACAGTTCCCGCGGTCTAGTCAGACATCATCATCTTCTCCTAAGACCACAGGAACGTCATCCGCAGTCACGGCAAAATTATGAACATTGCCCATGTCCTATGGACATCATCATTGACTCATTGGTCACGGAAACGTCACCGTTGTGGTCCGCGATTGCGGCAAAATCATGAAAATTCCCGACTTTGATATCAAAATAAGTTAAAGACTAAATCCTGACTTTGGCCATGCTTTCCATTTTGAAATTATTACTAAATCTTGACTTTTCAAGGACCATTTTGAGATTTAATATTAATTCCCGACTTTGCCATTTTTTTCTCGACTAGGCCTACTAGACACCCTGTGATAGATCATCTCCGACAATGTAACGTCTCCCTTGCGTGGTAAGTTAACACTGTGCCTATCTTCTGATCATATCAGTGACATCATGATTATCCTTAAGTTGCCTTGTTCCAATCGATGAAACTAGAGTAGGCTTGTTGTAAATTATCTCGGTTTCGCAAATTGGCCACGAAGATTTTGAAAACTTTTTTGCAAGCATAGTTAGAAATAGATTTTCTTCAAGACAAAAGTCCATTTAGGACTAGATACTGAAAGTCTACCTGAAACTCGGGAATAATAATGACCCAAGAACCTATATCTATACAGGGTGATTGATATAAGTGTGCCAGCCGTTTTATTCGAAAACTATAAGAGATATCAAAAAAAGTTAAATGGTAAGTACCTTGGATTTTATATTTTAAAAACAAAAAAAAATTATTTTAGCCGCCATTTTTCCAATATGGCCGCCAACTTTGGTTTTTCTTACGAAACACCCTGCATTTTATGATGTATTCTGGTAGAAAAAGTAATTTTAAGACGATTTTATTCTTGTGATTTTTTTCATAAACCTTACCGTTTTAAAGATAATAATGGTTAAAGTTTTGAAATTTCTGCATGAGAAAGAGTTTCGATAAAGGCCAAAGCAAGCATGCCAGCTGTTTTGCTCGAAAACCATTCAAAATTTCACAACTTAAACCATTATTATCTTTGAAACGGTTATGTTTATGAAAAAAATCACAAAAATAAAATCGTCTTAAAATTACTTTATCTACCAGAATACATCATAAAATACAGGGTGTTCCATAAGAGAAATCAAAGTTGGCGGCCATATTGGAAAAATGGCGGCTAAAATAATTTTTTTGACTCGACTATAATTTTTTTAATAAAAAATCCAAGGCACTTACCATTTAACTTTTTTTGATATCTCTTATAGTTTTCGAATAAAACGGCTGGCACACTTATATCAATCACCCTGTATATAAAGCCAAAAGTACCCATGAACTTTTGAGAAAACTACAAGTCACACCCCCATAAACCATATACTTAAAATGTTCGTCATAACGAGAAACCTTGCAAAAAACTATCCATTTTCATACATTGCCCTTTAAGGTCATAATTCCTTTCTAAAGAGAACTTTTCATATAATGTTAAAAATACCTCAGCTGTATTTATTTGTTTGTTATTCTTTCAATTTATTACCTACCTTATTAAAATCAGGTGTGATTATTTGTTTCTTTTACTGTAGGCCTATTTAGTTTATTTCAGGTTAACTTACCAATCATTAGTTTTATTAATACTTATGATGTCAAATGGGGTGAAGCCCATGGGTAACAGCTAGTTAAGTATATACATTTTGGACAGTATCCGTTTGTATTTGAATGTAATACCTACTGTCCCTTGCTGCTAGCTGGATGGTATTGTGCTGCTGTCCGTATATAGAAAAAATCACTCGATTTTTGGTAGGCTTACGGGGTTAAAAATATAACTTGGGTGACCTAACAAAAACGTTCCCACGTTTTACTAGTGAGTCAAAACCAATAGGTTGAAAGAAATGCTGACCTATGACATGATTCGATAGGGTAGGATCAACATTGACAAAAACCCATTCGAAAATGGTTGTCTTTTAAACATAGGGTAGGCCTACACATAAACATCAAACATAGGCTTAAGTTAAACATTAACTTGAACTTAATTCAAAACTTGTCATAGGCCTAAAGTTAATTGTGTAGCCCCCCAAAGCAGAACAACGAGCGACGCTGCGACATTGTCGCGGACACGAAACGCCAAGAAACGCGGGCCTGCGGACACATTTACGGAATCATAACGACGATCGCGCCGTGAGTCATAAGGACGATCGGGCTGTGACCGCGGAGTCACACCGACGATCACGCTGTGACCACGAGTCATACCGACGATCACGCCGTGACCGCGAGTCATACCGACGATCGCGCCGTGACCGCGGAGTCCTACCGACGATCGCGCCGTTAACGCGGAGTCCTACCGACAATCGCGCCGTTACCGCGGAGTCATTCTGACGATCATGCCATGATGGCGAGTCATACCGACGATCACGACGTGACCGCGGAGTCCTACCGACAATCGCGCTGTGACCGCGAGTCATACCGACGATCGCGCCGTGACCGCGGAGTCCTACCGACGATCGCGCCGTGACCGCAGAGTCCTACCGACGATCGCGCCGTGACCGCGGAGTCATACTGACGATCATGCCGTGATGACGGAGTCATGCTGACGATCGAGCCGTGACCGCGAGTCATACCGACGATCGCGCCGTGACCACGAGTCATGACGACGATCGCACCGTGACCGTGGAGTCATACCGACGATCGCGCCGTGACCGTGGAGTCATACCGACGATAACCCTGTGACCGCGGAGTCCTACCGACGATCGCGCCGTGACCACAGAGTCATGCTGACGATTGAGCCGTGACCGTGGAGTCATACCGACGATAACCCTGTGGCCGCGGAGTCCTACCGACGATCGCACCGTGACCGTGGAGTCATACCGAAGATCGCGCCGTGACCGTGGAGTCATACCGAAGATCGTGCCGTGACCGTGGAGTCATACCGACGATAACCCCGTGACCGCGGAGTCACAAGTTTCTATAGGTACCTGTAAATTGTTACCCATCTTTTGGTTTTTATAGATCAGTGCCACAAATGGTAAAAATTGATTTCGTATGTCTTTTTTGGTAACTGCAATATAGTACTTTTTTTTATGCACAGAAAAAAATCCTGTCCCATCCCGTCCCGAAAATCGGGAAGGAAATAAAAATCCCGTCCCGTCCCGAACTAAAATTTCAATCCCGTCCATCCCTAGTGTGTTTATATAAAGAAACTATAGTACATTTAAAGTTTTACTTCTGAAGACCTTGTTAACACTTGTTAAGGTATGTGTATATATATATATATACTTATTTAAAAAAAAGTAAATTTAAATAACCTGATTATGCCTACCCCTTAATAGTTTTTTAGTTTTTTGTTTTAAAAGTAGGCTATACAAGTTATTGAAATTTACTTATTTTATTTAACTATATTACTGGTAGCCCTAAAGAGTGAATATATATATATATATATATATACAGGGTGATTCAAAAAAGACTTTACAACTTTGAAAATTCATATAAATCTTATTAAACAAGGTACAGACCTGGTTTTGGTGTTGTTTTAAAGGAAAACACTTAAGTTTTTTTACCTTAAACTAAAGATGTTCTATGTGACTTCCGTTGGATTTGGGGGAAATAATTATTTAGGTATGAAAAAATAGTGAAAACCGTTAAAAATTTGAGAGAAATTTAAAAAATTTTGAAAGTAGGGCGTTTTTTGACGGTGAAGGAGTGTGATTTTCGAAAAACGCATAATTAGTGTTTTGTAGGAAATTTCATTCCGAACCTACCTACGTTTTTTCCTCAAATCTTTTCTAGCTCTTACTACAGTTTTCGAGCTATAGCCGTTTGAAAAAAACGTGTTTTGTCGTTTTCAGAGGTCCGCCATTTTGGATTTTTGGGGGGGTTAAAATTTGAAAATGCGACTTTTTGGAATTTTATGGGTGGTTTGGGACCAAGAACTACAAGTGTGCGAAATTTCAACTCCCTAAAACATCTAGAAGTGGGTGTATTGCACTCCTTCACCGTCAAAAAAACGCCCTACTTTCAACATTTTGTAAATTTCTCTCAGATTTTTAACGGTTTTTACTATTTTTTCATAGCTAAATAATTATTTTCCCCAAATCCAACGGAAGTCACATAGAACATCTTTAGTTTAAGGTAAAAAAAATTGAAGTGTTTTCCTTTAAAACAACACCAAAACCAGGTCTGTACCTTGTTTAGTAAGATTTATATGAATTTTCAAAATTGTAAAGTCCTTTTTGAATCACCCTGTATATATACCGGTATATAAGTCATTATTTAGCTTTTTAGTTTTAGCGCTTGCGGACACATTTTGAGGTTTTCACAGGCCGTTGCAGACACGTAGGAACCATTCTGCTTTGGGGGTGTAGCCTAACTTAGGCCTAGGTCTAATAAGTTTAAGTTAAAGTTAATTAATTCAGAATCCAGAAGTTAATTGAAAATTGAGAGAAAAACCATGAATTAAGGCCTAAGTGAAATGAACAGCGAACAGGTCCTAATTATGACAATACATACCATAGTAAGCAATTGCATTGCTCTCAGTGATGTATTTGCCATCAGAGGACTCGAAAGCAGGAACCTAAACAAATTCTTCATTTCAGAATGGAATCGTTAGATTCCTTATTGTAACTTAACTGTAGTGTATGTACCCAGACCCTTGTGCAAGATCTCAAAAGGTTAATAAATATTAAAACTCTTTAAATTTAAGTCAAGGCTGTTTGGAAAAAGTTAAGTTCAATTAAAAATCCTAAACCAGTAGCCTAGCTTACCTTAATTTTAAATGATTGGGTTTTTGGTTTGTGATAATCAGAGTTGCCACCTTAGAAAGAATAAAATCAGGAGGGGGCGGCAGGATGAATTGGGACTATTTTCACAGAATTGGGACGGGTGGCAACTCTGGTGGTAATCAACCAGTCACTAAGTAAGTTAACTTACAATTTGTTACGATGAATTTAACCTGAGCACATGTTGATACTTAATGAAGATAAGTTATCTGGTGGATTTACTGTCAATTTAATCAAAAGAGAAACCTACACTTATTTCAAATTCAATTATTTTTTAGCTGGTGATTTAAACACATACTGGTAATACCAAGGTAAAACATCAAAACTACAAGTACCGTAATTGGAGACTAAAATCATTAAAGTTCCTTTAACTTACTCAACCTTCCAAAAAAATTTTAGAAAATTTTACACCCATCAGATTCCAGAGTTACCGGCAATTAACCAATCATATCTACAGATGGGGCAGAATAGAAAACACATAATTTTCTTTTGGATGTAAATTTGTCCCCATAACTTAGTTAGTGTCAAGAGAAGTCCCATTACTTTAACAAACTGTTCATCTTTTTATCTTAACGGGCAAAAACCTGGTTAAAGTGTTGTTTGCCTCGCTTTCCACCAATTGCTTTTTCATAGGCCTAACTTAACTTAGATTATCAAGTTTTTGTGAAGGAAAAATGTTTGCACCATTGTTTTCATGAAAAAAATCTAGTAAGTACTTAGCCGGTATTCGTTTACTTTAGGGGCTTCTAACGAATTTAGAAAAAAATGTTTTTTTCTCATTATTTGGCCTATTTTGAACACTTTTTACATTTGGCATTTTTGGGGCAAACGCCTATTTCACCCTGAAAATCGCGTTTGAAAATTGCAAAAAGTGCTAAAAATTTGCGTAGTTTTTTTTTTCTCTTAATGTGTTTTTACTATTACTAAGGACCTACAGAACTAAATATAAACCAACCTAACCTAACCGAGATCACATCATTTGTCCGAGTTTTGATAAATAACTAATAATAATTAGATAAATCAACTGTCCGAGTTTTCATTTGTCCGAGTTTTTAAATTATTTAAAAAAATATCAAAATATCATTTGTCCGAGTTTTCAACTGTCCGAGTAGGGGCAACATCAAAATGTGACAATGCGCGCCGAGACTAGCGTGTCTAAAGCGCCTGTTCAGAAGTCGATGTGAACCCCTTCTGTGAAGGAGTCAGGCTTTGTGCGAGCCGCGAGAGGCCCTCACGTCGAATTAAGAAAAAATATTTTATTTTTATATAAGACTAATTTTACAATTATTAATTATAAAATTAAACTCTCATCACCTAACACAACCAACCAAACTTGCTGATAATATAAAATACCCCGCCATTATTATATTATCAGCAAGTTTGGTTGGTTGTGTTTGCTGATAACAGTTTAGTTTTATAATTAAAAATTGTAAAATTAGTCTTATAATAAAAATAATATAATTTTTCTTAAGTCGACGTGAGGGCCTCTCGCGGCTCGCACAATGCCTGACAATCTATGGCCTGACTCCTTCACAGAATGGGTTCACATCGACTTCTGAACAGGCCCTTTAGACACGCTAGTCTCGGCGCGCATTGTCACATTTTGATGTTGCCCCTACTCGGACAGTTGAAAACTCGGACAAATGATATTTTAATATTTTTTTAAATAATTTAAAAACTCTGACAAATGAAAACTCGGACAGTTGATTCAACGAAATATTATTATTATTTAAACCATACTCGGACAGTTGAAAACTCGGACAAATGATTTTTCAAATATTTTGTAATTTTTAACAAAATCGGACAGTTGAAAACTCGGACAAATGAACCTCACCCACCTAACCCAACCCTACCTAACCAATGCTTAGGTTAGCAATATGCCGAAAATAGCGGATTTTTGGTTAAACCAAGGTTAGGTTAGGTTAGATTAGTTTAGGTTAGTTTAAATATACATCTGCTTATTACTACAATAGTAAAAACACATTTAAAAGAAAGACAAGGGGGGGAAAACCTGATTTTCTAAGTAAAAATGGCAATTGCTGAAAAATTTTTGCGATTTTCAGGGTGAAATAGGCGTTTGCCCCAAAAGTGTCAAATGTAAAAAGTGTTCAAAATAAGTCCAAATAATGAGAAAAAAACATGTTTTTCAAAATTCGTTAGAAGCCCCTAAAGTAAACAAATACCCCAGGGGTAGCTAATTGCTAATACCGTGATAAATGAATTGGTACAATCGCCATGAACATCTTGTTGTTAAAAGTCTCTTCCGATAAGGACTTGTTAGTTCTCTCGCTAAATAAATCAAGACATCTCAAGAGGTCCAAAAAATCAAAACGTTTCAACATCTCACAATCCACAATCGCACATTCAATAGGACCTACTCTTAGGCCTACTTGTATTTGTAACTTTTATCAGCAAGTAAAATTTGAGCAAGAGCTTAGGGTCATCAAAGTAAAACTGAGATAAACTTAATGTTTGGCAATAAGTTAAACTTATATATGCCTAGGCCTCGACAGGGCCGCGTTAAGGGTCAGTGGAGCCCTGGGCAAACACAAAAGCAGCGCCCCCTTTTTTCCTAGTGTGGGCAGGCAGTGGTTGGGGGACACCCGGTGAGCGCCCCCAAACCTCTGGCGCCCCTGGGCATATGCCCAGTCTGCCCGTTTATAAAAGTGGGCCTGGGCCTCGATCAAGTTAGGCCTAGTTTAAAGATCCCTACCGTAATCAATTAGCTTAATGTAGTGATGTGCGTATCGATACGTATCGATACAGATATCGATACAAGGACCTCAAAATATCGATATTTTGTATCGATACATGGGAGTGTATCGATATGCCCGTATCGATACACCTATAGCCAATATCGTATCGAATATCATATTGTTTATTTATTAATATAAATCTTATTTTTATGGTAAGAAATTTGTCTTCCCATCTTCTTCCCCTTAAAAGTAGGTAGTAGTGGAAATTTGATATTTTACCCTAGCATCTTCAAAAACACTGATAAAACATGTATTTTCACCTATGTTTTGCAAAAAACCTCAAAACTAGGGCACGGCCGCCCGCGGCCTTCGAACTGGCAACGTCGCAAGTGGTATTGTAACAGCTGTTTTTGTTTGGAAGTAGCTAATGGTATTTGTGTATTTACGAAAGATTGGTTACTGGACTATGACAATATTGACTCTGCTTAAAAATGAACAGATATAGATTTTAATTCATATTGTTTCGGGTTTCAATTCGGTATGTTTTATTTTCAATATTTTAATAAATTTATGTTCATAAATTTAAATTTAAATCATTAAAGTGCGAATTAATGAGCTGATGTCACCTGTCTGCCATGTTATCTTATGGGACGTCTGTCACTGAACAACATAGGCCTACCACTTGCCATGTTGCCAATTCTACCAGACCGCGGCCTGTAATTAAAGGCAGCCGTGACTAGGGCCACGATTAATGGTAGTGGGGACCCTCATTATCGATATTATACTATTTAATGTGTAAGTGGCATACCCACCATCATTATTAGTACTTTTTGGTTCAATTAATTGTCCCTGTGTAAAAACTAGGAAAACAATAACAAAATGTTTTCCAATTTTGAGGGTTTACCGGAATTTGGAGGTTATGTATGTATGTTTGATACAAATAAAAAGACACAGGAAGGAAACGGTTTTTCTGAGGTAAGTTAAGATTACAAGCACTAACCCTCTTTTCAAGCTTGTAAGTAACATAGTATTTGTCTATGCAGCTTGAACATTTGAGATATTTAAATTTAAAAGAAAATTAGAAATAAACGATACGATATTTTATCCGATACGGGCAAAAATCGATACATGAGGATACGATACGATACACATATCGATACAACACGTTCCGATACGTATCGATACGCAGTATCGATACATTGACCCGTATCGCCCATCACTAGCTTAATGCCGAAAGCTTTCTGTTCCTAACCTCAAAACGTTAAAAATAACAATTAATTAGTAACTTAACTAACTAAGTTCTAAACACATACCTTTCCGAGAGGAAATTTCTTTAAAAAGCCGTCTGATTTGTTGGTTTCACCAAATACAAATCCAGAAGCTATTTTCACATTTCCACCAGCATACTGAGCTGCAATCAGCGCTTTGAAAGCTCTGAAGTTCTCTGGATACGTGTACAATGTCTAAAAGAAAATGGATATATAATTAAATAAAGTAATATATGTTTAATACATTTATGACACTTACATCGCTTAAAATTACAGGATTTAATTTATTTCATACAATAAAAATTTCAACACAAGAAACTTACACCAGACGCCATGGTGAAGTTGGCCGGAAGAGAGGGCTATTTTCTCTTGCACTCCTGAATATCTTTGAGGCGGAGCAGGCTTCCAACGTAACGACGTGAATGTTAACATTCTTAATCTATGGTAAATACAAGTGAGAGTGAGTATGGGATGGGGTAAGTTGTATAACTTCTTAAACCTTATTCTGTTTTTATTTATGGACAGTTAAAATACCTCTTAAACATCAGTAAGAATAACAGTTTTCCCAACTGCCCTACACTCTTCAAATCTGTTGGCCAGACCTATGCAAGTTAAAAATTGATTAACAACTTCTTTGTTCCTTGATCCCGCCCTAAGTCTCTCCAGCCAGAGTCTCAAGTCATAAAAACTCCAGTGACGGCAAGAGCTAAGGGCAGGACGGCAGATACCAATACCAACCAAGCAGATGGGTGAAGTGTCGCTTGACCCTCCTTTGTGCTCTAAAGTACAACCCCAATGGTACAACCGATTGAGATCTCTATTGACATTTGGAGTATTGCTAAAGATGAGACATGTGTTTAGTCTTTGGTACAGTGTAATTGTAATGTTTGGTCTTAAGTATTACCGTTCTGCGCTATCAAAAGAAAGCAGTTAGAGTAGTAGCTGGTGCTGCCCATGTAGCACAGATGGTTGGGCCAACGTTGGCCAACTGTGGGACAGTTGGTCGATGGTTGGTTGGAGCTTCCACAACCAACCAACCGTTGTCCAACTGTATATCTCGTAGTTGGGCCAACCAATATTTACAACTGTGGACCAACATTGGTTCATTGTTAATGAAATACATTAATATGCATTGCTGGGTATCATACATCAAGCCAACCGTTGTCCAACCGTTTTTCACTCCGTTGGACCAACAAAAGATACTTTTGTTGGACCAACAATGGTCCATAGTTGAGTTTACACGACTTTCATTCTCTGGGTCTAGCTTTCACAACATAATTATAATAAAATATCTGGTTTTACAATACCTTTATCAGTTCCAAAAGTTTCCAAAAGTTTTTGGAACTGATAAAGGTATTGTAAAACCAGATATTTTATATATTACAGTTCCGGCGCTACAACAATGAATTTTAATAATTTTAATAATGCAAATATTTTTTAAATTAATATTCTTTAACTTATTTGCAACAATTTAAGGGGAAAGAGTAATTAATCATATAACAGGCAATTATAATAGCATTAACAATCTAACGGTAATTAATTAATCATTCAAATACCAGTATCCTCTCTAACTCCAAAAAAAAAAAACTACTTATGATGCCTTAACAGATTAACAGAATCATATTATACTGTGTAGTATCAAAAATGTTTGAAGTATTGCGACCATTGCAACTGTCGGCTACTCTTTCACCACTTGAAAACTCTCTATATCAGCAATCACAGATAGCTCAGTGGTAAAGTAAGAGGCTCATAAGTCGAAGGACCCGGGTTCGAGACCCGTCTGGGCCAAAAAAATTTTGTTCTAGTTTTTTTTTTCAAAATTTGTTTTTATGAACTATTTAATCAATTTACTCAACTAATAATTATGCTTTTCGTACTAAATCTTTATTATTTTGTGTGAAATAAAACGGTTGGACAATGGTTGGCTGGAAAACAGTTTAAAGAGGTGACATTTCTACCGTTGGCCAACTGTGTGGCTCCACAATTTACCAACGTTGGCCCAACCATCTGTGCTACATGGGTGATTACTTGGACCATTGTAGACCCATATTTGTAGCTGAGAGCTTAATGACAGTTTGTAACCTCTATATTTTTCAGTCCTTGATCAAAATCAAAAAGGAATGGGATTCTCTTGAGCTGAGAGGCGACATCCATCCCTATAATACACGTAGGAAAAATGATCTCAATTTACCACATGTTAGATTAAGTAAAGTTCAGATGTCGAATGAGATTCTAAGTTATAAGTTTTTTAATAAACTTCCTTTTGCAACTCGGAACCTGCCGGACCCAAAATTTAGAAAAGGTGTTGAGGGGCTCCTTTTGGCAAACCCTTTGTACAAAAATAGAGAATTTTTTGATTTGAAAGAAGAACTTGTAAGTAGTTTTTTTTAGTTTATCAAGCGAGTGCTGTGTGCTATTTTTTTTCTTCTCTTTGCATGGAGAGTTTCAGGAATGTAATTTTTATATTGGTAAGAAACCTTGTACCACCATTGTCTTATTTTAGTTTTCATTTTTTTAGCTATAGTTGACTGACGTTTTCCAGCAATGTAACCACATTTTATGGAAATAAAAATTCTTGATTCTTGATTGACTATTGGATACTAAAGTAGACGTCCCAAAGTAATTTAGTCTTACACTAGAAGTCGTCCAGTGGTCGAACACTCGACCAACAATATGTAATGTACAGGTTTCTTTATTTTCACCCCAAGCTCTAAATAAAACAAGTTTGATTGGAATTTCTTTCATTTGTTTTGCTATTCTGTTTATATTTTTGTTGTTATTTTGTCACCAGCATTTCAACCCTAAGGCTCATGTTAATTTTTAAAATTTTAAATTCATTTTTACTTTCTCTCCCTATACCATCCCTTAATATAATATGGAGAAAGTATTGTTTTCGTCAAAATTTTCGAGTTTGAGTTTTGAGTGGATATATCCGTTTTTTAACTATAAAATATCATATTTACTCTCACCAGGCTCACCGCTTATCCATGATAAAGGTTGTTGTAAAAAATATTAAAGACAGACAAGACTTTGACAAAAAAGATGTGTGTATTTGTTGGACATTATTTACAATTTTAATAATAATTAAACATGTGTTAGTTCAATTAAAATAAAGAAGGCAGGCATAAATTAAACATATTAAAGAACACTAATCAATGAGTCAATATGAAACATATTACATGTTTTCCCCTCCAACGGTAAGGACTGCAACTTTAGTCAGAGGCCGGCGATAAGTTCCTTTTGATGTTGTTATGTCTACTATTCGTACTTGGCCATCATGACCTGGGTAGACAGCCGAGATTCGGCCAAGGGGCCATGTATTTCTTGGGCAGTTTTCCTCAATTATTATTGCAAGATCGTCAATCTTTGGTGGGTCCAATTTCTTGTGCCATTTGCACCGTCTTGAAAGGCATGGAAGGTACTCGTGCACCCATCTCTTCCAGAAGCCGTCTAGGAGTGATCTAACACGAGCTAATTGTCGTTTACACAGTTGGTCTTCGTTTAGGTTGATTTTGTAAGCTTCTCTTAGAAAATGGTTTGGTGTGATTGGTTCGGGGTCATTGGGATCCAGAGAAACATGAGTGAGTGGGCGAGAATTTATTATAAATTCAACGCGAACCATGAAAGTCTGAAGCTCTTCGTCTTTTGGGTACTGGCAGCGCATAACACTCCTTAATGCGGTCTTTACAGACCTAACAAGTCTTTCCCAGCAGCCTCCCATATGTGGTGCTCGCGGGCAAATGAAATTCCACTTTATCCCGTAGTTCACCACGTCTTTTTGGATCTTTTCATGTTTGAGTGACTTTACAGTGTTTCTAAGTTCCCTATCTGCAGCTACAAAGTTTGTGCCATTGTCGGAATATAGTTCTGAGGGAACTGGTCTTCGGCTGATGAATCGTTGAATCGCCATTATACAACTCTCTGTGTTAAGAGAATGAGCCGTTTCGATGTGAATTGCTCGAGTGGATAAACAGGTAAATAGGACACCATATCTTTTTTCATGTCTGCGGCCAACAGTAACTTCGATAGGTCCGAAATAATCCACTCCAGTGTAGAAGAATGGATGTTGCACTTTTGAGGTCCTTAACTGTGGTAGTGCAGCCATCTGAGGAGGATAAGGTTTGGCATTGTCTATGCTACACCTCATGCAGCTCCTTTGAACTTTCTTGGCGACTGATCGTACGTTTAAGATCCAGAACTGTTGTCTAGTCATATTGATAACAGTCTCGATGCCCTGATGGAAACATTTCTCGTGAAACATTTTTACGATTAAGTTTAGCCGTATGACTTTTGCCGTCTAAAATGATAGGATGCTTTTGTTCTTCGCTTATTTCTGGTGAACTATGTATTCTACTCGACATTCTTATTAGAGACTGATCAATGAAGGGATTTAAAGAGAATATTCTACTGGACTTTGGTAGCGGTTTGTTCTTCAGCAGTAAATTCTTTTCTTCATTGAAGCTTGCCTTTTGAGACATTGATATCAAGTTCTGTTCAGCTTTTTGAATTTCCTCTGGTTGAAGTTCTGGTATATTTCCAAAATCTACGTTGACCGTTTTCAGTTTCTTTTTGGTGGTGGTTGTAGTATGGGACCTTAGCATGCTAACAAATCTGTGTACCCATGCTAATACACGTGTCACTTTTTCCCAAGAAGAAAAGTTTTCAACTGTCAGAAGAGGAGGGGTTTCATCACTGTTCACAACTCCGACGAATTTCTTCTTTCTTTCTTCATTTTCCTTGACTTGTAGTGTGGACGGTTGTATTGGCCAGTCACTAGATTCTCGCATTAGAAATGAGGGTCCGTGAATCCATTCAGAATGCATGGCTGATGTAAACTTTTTGTTACTTCTAGTTGCAACATCTGCCGGATTCTGTTTTGATGGAACCCATCTCCATTCTTCAGGTTTAGACAAATCTTGAATTTCTCCAATTCTATTGGAAACATACTGTTTGAATTGTCTAGGGTCGGATTTCAGCCAGTGCAAAACTGTTACAGAATCTGACCAAAATATCTGACGAGAAATAGTTAAGTCAATGTCTTTTATGATGCTACAAGCTATTCTGCATCCAAGAACAGCAGCTTGGAGTTCTAGTCGGGGAATGGTTGTTTGTTTGAGTGGTGCTACTTTGGCACGTGCCATAACAAGCATGGTCTTGTAAGTACCTCTGGCACATCCATGGCGTAGATATGAAACTGCTGCATAGGCCTCTTCACTAGCATCAACAAACGTATGGAGTTCAACTTCTTCAATTGTTTTGACGTTAAAATAGCATCGAGGTATGGTGAAGCTCTGCAGACATTTTACTTCTTGTAACCAGTCTTGCCATTTTTTACTAAGTTCTATCGAAAGAACTTCGTCCCACGTTATGTTTGTTCGCCAAATGTCCTGAACAATCATTCTCCCTTTTATAGTAGTAGGTACAACTAATCCCAATGGATCAAAAATGGACATAGCTCCTCTTAAAACTTCTCGTTTGGTCGGATACCTTGTTTCAACTAACTGTACCTTTTCGGCGTTCCGGTGAAATGAAAAGTGGTCAGTTTCAGCATCCCACCACATTCCGAGGATACGTTCTGTAGGTAGACGACTTTCAGGTTGCAGTAGTTTTGTAGAGTTTGTCTTCAAATCTTCCGGTATTTCAAGTAAAATTTCTTTTGAATTTGACAACCAGTTACAGATTTTAAAACCTCCGGACTTGTGAATTTCTGTTATCTGTTGTATTCTAATTCTAGCTTCTTCTTCTGTATCAGTAGAGTCTAGTAGATCGTCCATGTATTCACTGCAGAGGATCGCTTTACTTGCTTCTGGGTAAATTTGTAGAAACCTCTTGGCGTTGCTGTTTACTACATACAAGGCAGTACTCGGGGAACACGTTGATCCAAATATCATTGCTTCCATGATATAGATATCTGGTTTGTTGTTCGGATCTTCTCTCCATAGAAACCTTTGCGAATCGACATCTTCTTTTCTGATACGTACTTGATGAAACATTTCTTGTATGTCACCTGCGATCGCAAATTTTCTTAATCTGAATTTGAGAAGTACTGCTGGCAGAGGGTTCAAAAGGTCAGGACCACTAAGCAAACCATCATTGAATGACACACCATTCGCTTTAGCAGCTGCGTCAAATACTAACCTCAGTTTGTCAGGTTTGTTTGGATTTATTACCCCAAAATGAGGCAGATAATAAGTCCGGTCATTTATAACATTAGCTTCGTCATCACGTAGTTTTCTGATGTAACCTTTTTCTTCATAATCAGTGATCTTGGCTTTGTATTTGTTATGAAAGTTTTCGTCTCTTGCCATCTTCCTTTCAATACCCTTAAGCCTTTTCAGCGCATTTTCATAGCTCGGTGGATATTTAAAGTCTTATGACTTCCATAGTAGGCCGGATTCATACCTATCCCCTACTTTTTTGGTCGTATCTTCTAAAATCTTGAGGGCTTTTTCGTCTTCAACTGATTTCACATTGTCATCTTCTACTAGGGACACGCCATAATTCTCGATTTCAAAAGAATCTTTGATAATATCATGAAGTTTTTCACTTTCAAAAGACGTTAAAGTGAATTGACTATCTACTCGCCCAATGTGTTCATGACATTTACCGTGCAATGTCCAGCCTAAACGGCTCCAAGACAAGACTGGAGAGTTGGGAGGACCTTCAATTATTTTCCTTGCTAGAATAAGGTCACAGTTGTCTTGACCTATAAGTATTGTAGGTTTCAAATTTGCTGACGGTAAAGGTTGAACAATTGACCGTAAGTGAGACCACTTCTTTTTCAGTTTGACAGTATCCACCATTTGTTTTGGTAAGTCCAATGGTGACTGGGTTCGTACATTGTTTAATGTAAATACTTCGTCCTCATATAACCCTTTAATTTTAACTTTCACAGTCATGGATGTTGGGTCGAAATGTTGGGTTGCATTGGACCAGCATGTCGTGAGGGGTTCAATACTATCGTTGACGCCTAATTTATCGGCTGTAGCTGAATCCAACAAAGATACTGTTGACCCGTCATCTAAGAGTGCGTAAGTGTCGATCTGACAACTTGGGCCATATAATGTCACTGGACATACTCTTAGTAGAACACGGTTATTAACAACATGACTGCTAATAATTTCTTTATTTTGCGGTTCGCTGTCCTGTTTGGCAAACCTCTCAATTTTGTCAGTATGGAGGAGACGATGGTGAAACAACCTGCACCCATTTATCCCACAAACCTTTTTTACTTTACATTTTTGGAGCTGGTGACGTCGAAAGCAGAAGAAACATAGTTTCTTTTCGACAATCATTTTCCATCTCTGCGATACATCTGCCTTCCTGAAAACTCCACATCGTTCACTTTCGTGGCTGTCGAGACAAAACATACAGTTAAACTGTTTGTCTTCGGTAGAACTGGTATAAACCGGCTTTATGTCAGCCTTCTTCTGCCAGAGTTTCTCTTCTGTAGGACGAAAGTAAATACTCAGGATTGAGCATTGGTTTTCCAACCAAGTGGAAAACTCCTTCAAGTCGGGACTGCTTAGAGCATTATTACTTACATGTTCAGCCCACCTCTATTTTAAACTATAGGGAAGTTTGTTGAGACATTCATTTAGTAAGTAAGGATTTAATACATAATTTTCTAGATGTAATGACTCTGCTGTAGCAGTAAAATTCAAAATATTTGTCGAAAACTCAACAAGACTTGTAGTGTCGTCTTCCTTGACAGAAGGTAGCCTACGAGTCTTTTTTAACATTGACTCCAAAATGAGTTCTGGTCTACCAAAACGCATCTGTAAGGTCTTGATATTTGACTTAAGATTTTGACTTGAGACAAAAAGAGGCTTAACCATTCTAAATGCTTCTCCCTCTAGGCAATTCCTTACTCTTATGAGGTTGTCATCCTCACTAAAAAGATAGGCAGTTTTTTCATACGCCGAAAAAAATATCGGCCATTCATCAGGCTTGCCACTGAAGCTTGGAAGTTTTTGACGAAATGAAACAGGCTGTATAGCTTTTTGGAAGGTATCCGCAAGCTTTTGCACGGCTGAGGTCATGATGGCTGATGAGGACTTAAGAACTGTCGGTTCTTTTTCATTCAACCACCTTTCAACCTTGCTTTGCGGTTCTTCCTCATCATCAAGATTTATGCTAAGTCCTACCTTGGTTTCAGATCGATTACTAGGGCGGCTTGACTGTTGACTGCCACACACTGAAGCAGACTCAAGCTCAGCTCTCGCTGTCAGCAGTTGCTTCTGTCGTTCTAGTTCTCTAGCTTCCATTCGTCGTTGTCGCTCCATTTCTTCAACTTGTCGTTGTCGTTGTCGCTCCATTTCTTCAACTTGTCGTTGTCGCTCCATTTCTCTTTCCTCATGGGCTCTTTCCAATTTCTGTATTTCTTCCAGCTTCTTCAACTCCACTTCCATTAATCGTCGTCTACTAGAAGAAGTACTAGATTTGGCAGATACTGATGGTTGGTCATTACTTGGCTTTGGATTAACAGTTTTGTCGTTGTTATTCCCAATTGCTGGAGTATATCTGTCTGGAGGGTGTCTTTCCCTCTCTGATCTCCTTATTGACATGATAAAGTCGGGTTTCGGCACCAAATGTAAAAAATATTAAAGACAGACAAGACTTTGACAAAAAAGATGTGTGTATTTGTTGGACATTATTTACAATTTTAATAATAATTAAACATGTGTTAGTTCAATTAAAATAAAGAAGGCAGGCATAAATTAAACATATTAAAGAACACTAATCAATGAGTCAATATGAAACATATTACAGTTGTTGACAAACTTATGGGAGAAAGTATGTGTCAGAATGCTGATACCGTTTATTTGTGCTTATTTTTTAGCCTATTAGCGAATTTCCCATATAGGGAATAAGCTATTACCGTAGTACTCATGGTAAAACCTGGACCCGGGACCGATTTACTTTTTCGTTTTGAGGTTCCTAGAGGCCAAAAACACCATCCGTTCAAATTCTATAAATATATTTATATATATATATTAATAAATATATTTATATATATATATATTAATAAATATATTTATATATATATTAATAAATATATTTATATATATATGTCCATTAGCACGATAACTCGAGCATCTGATTTTGATTAAATTTGGTATAAACGTGTAAACCTACATTTATTAGAACGAGTTCGCAAACCAGCATGATCGGACTATGGGAACGGGGGTTTATGGGGGGTTTTATGGGGTAAAAATAGATTTTCCCCATTTTTGACCATAAAAACACAAGATTTCACTATTTCTTTCCAAACCATTTTGTAGAGCTTAAAAAACAAACAATTTAGTATATTGAAGCGTTATTGAGCGCCTAATGGTTGCGGAAAAAAATTCCGAAAAATTGTAAATTTTAAATTACCTTGTTATTCTTATGGGGAATAAGTCAACTGTTGTAGTTTGCTTGTTTATGAACATATTTTGATCAAATTTGGAAAATACATTCATTTCTTACTAAACTATTGACATAAAAAATAGTAGTTTACGCAACGATTGCGTTAAGTGAGTCTTTACGACACGAGTAGAAAATTTAAGGCACGAGCCTTGGCGAGTGCCTTAAAAACTTCTTCGAGTGTCGTAAAGACTATTAACGCGAGTTGCGTACACTACTTTACCTACGACCGTTTTTAATTACTATCAATCTGGATTTAATTACTAACAATCACTAATGATAACTTTTTAGAGAGGTTATGTTTTCGTGTATTGACATTGCCAACGAAAGTGATGCAACGACTTGTTGTATAATCAGCTGATTTCCTGTAATTACGTGTTTGTTAAACATCGATATTACATTGCTAGCAGCATTCTTACCATAAATAATATTGTATCAGGTACAATTCGGCAAATATTTCATTTATTTTTGGACTTCCACCAACTTAATTAAGAATACGCGAGTATCAACATGAACAAGTCGGATCAACAATTAAATTGGTCAACTGATCAGCTGATCAGCTGATTAGTTGACGTTCGAAGCATTACAATTTTAATTCTTTTCTCTCAATACTTGAACCTCATTGGTCCGTTACCTGTGTGGATATGAGAAAACTATGCGGATATGAAATGAAACTATGCGGATATGAAAGTAAACAGCTGTAAAGTGAAACTTTTCAATTCTAAGAACTGGACTGAAATGGCTACTTTAAAAAGCGGTCGTAGGTAAAACACTTTTTTACCCTCCCTGTTGCAGCATACCTAAGTACCGGTACTCGTTAAACTAATTCTATTTAAATAGGGAATAAAAGTGATATTTTTAAGGAGGCATTTTAGTGTAAATCCAATCAGGCTAATGGAAATTCGCTTAGTCTGCAGGCTTGCTGCGGCGGGGGTATTTTAATTTATTAAGGGAGTCTGCACATCTACAGAAAAATATCTATCATTTGGTACCTCAACCACGTGTAATACGGTCCAGTAGTATGGACTGGCTATAGCTGTCATAAGTTTTGCAATATTTTTTTTAGTATATAAGATTATTTAATTTCTTTCAAATTTTGACTCCGATCACAGCCACCTATGCATGTTTAAGCTCTTGTATTAGCGAATTTCCCTGTAGGTAAGTTCAGAAGCTCCTAAATCCTGACTTGATCATGCTAGGTGTGGAACCATGGTGGAAGTAAATAAGGTGTGCTACTCAGCCGGACGAGTTTGAGACGTGACGTCACCTTGGGGGCAAAACCCTTCGCGCGCGTATATAGCTCAGCGTGACACTGCTCGATCTATTAACATCAACATTTTGAACTGTTAGAATTGAGGAAAAATTATGAAACTTGACATGGACATCAATTATGGGTGGACGATGCGTGTTGTGAAAAAATAGTTTGTAATTGTTAAAAACTTAAGCGTGAAATCACTCTTTATACTTGGCCTTTCTTAAAACTAAACATGTAAAAGTTAGTCGGCTACCAAATCACGTACTAGTTGGTTAGAAGCATTTGACCAGCGGGAAAGTTTTAGATAAAGATCCAAATTTAACTTTCCTTCAAACTATATACCGTTAGAGGCGTTATTTCTTGAGATATGCTGAGTTATATGAGCGCGTGATCGGTGCGCGTGCTGTGATTCGAGTCAGTTGCCAAGTATTAATCACACATTGCCATCCAACAAATAATGTAGTTTCATGAATATAGTATCATTGATATTTTTATTCCTGTATTTATATTTTTATGTGAAAAATTGTTGTTCTGTTGTCTGTAATTTGAATACGTTTGAAGATATGAAAACAGATGGAATATGGATCGTAAAGGAAAACAAAACTATAGATATAGGTATCGCAAAGAAATCATCGATAATAATGAATGTTCCCCTTAACAGGAAAGTACCGCCGAAACTCCACGGCATTGGCCAGTTTAGTGTAGAAGACATTCAAGTTGAGCTGTTCATTACATTTATTAAATAAAAATAGCTTACCTTACCTAGCTGGTCACTCAAACCTAAGCAGGTTTTTGGCCTCTCCAACAGCTTAGAAAATATGCCTTTTCACACTGCACTTGAAATTATTAAAAAAAACCCCTCAAAGGTCGTTAGCAGCTTTCTGTTTCTAATGATCAAGAGAGAGGGAGAATATGACGGATGAATTTCATCATGATACAAAAGGCTGTGGTTTGGTTAGTAAGTAAAGAGAATAGTGATGGGCGATACGGACGCGTATCGCGATACAGCGATACGATACGCATCGGAAAAAAATATCGTATCGCCGTATCGAATCGGGCGTCTGTATCGCGATACGCGAATCGTATCGTCAAAAATATCGAAAAACGATACGTATCGTATCGTTTCCCCCCCTCCCCTACCTAACCTAGAAACGGCAATGTATATAAGTACCTGGGGACCAAGCTTTGCTCGGGGAAAATCATTAGTTTACTCTGAAAACAGTTTTAGTATTGCAGATACATTAATCCATTTCCACACTCCACACTGCTCGCCTTTACTACTTCCTTTACAACTCCTTACGTCTTGGACCTGTTTCCCTATCCTTCCCATAGCATTTTAGGATTGGAGATACATTAATGTAATTGCCACAGACAGTTCCCACACTCTGCACTGCTAGTGCTAGATAGCACGCTAGTGGAAATGGACTGGACTGGGATGGGACTGGTACATTATCAAGTAAAAACCAAAAATACAGACGTCAAAAACTCCTATTTCAAACTACACATCCACAGAGTACAGATTTTGAAGTTTGCTCGGCCTGCGCAAAAAAGCATAAAAATATCGTTTTGACATGAATCGTATCGCTCTATGTGCCGATATAAATACAAATATCGTTTTAGGCGATACGATACGTATCGTTTTTCAAATATCGTATCGAAATATCGTATCGTCCCTCGCGTATCGCGATATTCCGATACGATACGATACGTATCGCACATCACTAAAAGAGAAGTATCATCGCTATGATGTCGATGTCAAAACATCTCTCACTCAGTTACTCTTGTAGACTTTAGTATATCCTATGAGTGAAAATGAGAAAATATATTTAGTCTAATTGTGTACGAGGACCCATCGTAATGGGCTCTCAACTATTGGAAATTCTCCGTCAAGGAATATGGGCTTCCTTGACGGGTGGATGGTTTTATGACCCTCATCAGGATATGTTCCACAACACATTCCATCTTTATATCTGGTTGTTTCTTCTTTGTCTACCATTCACAATATTTGTTGTAAGTATTGTTAGATATATTGTTTAGTATTATTTCACACATTTACAAATGTGCCATAAATTAACAAAATAGATAAACTTGATTTTTTTTAGCATTAAACAGTGCTTATTATTTTACACTTAGATGTAGGTCACTGTGGCCATAGGCTAGGGCGTCTTAGAATTTACACTATGAGTAACAATTTACAATACTTATCATAGGCTACATCCAAATCTGTTTTACTTAGCCTATACACAAGAAAATGAGTTTTCGTCCTTAAATTTAGAAGGGACTATACATTAGTTAGCCTAGGCTATAGATTTTCTAACTTTAAATGCAGGTCTTAGCAACATAACAAGTAGGGTTGGCAATCTTATCTTAAGATTTTTTTGTATACCTTAGCTCAGGGCCACTTTTATAAATGTGCCTGCTGGGCCGACCATTGCGTAAGAGCTAGTTGACTATTAATACAACATAAACATTCCATCACCATGTTAAATTTTTAGCTCCAGTTTTTTACCAAATTCGTCGTAGTTGATGTGAGCCACCGACAGATTGTGCTGATCCAAATTAAGTTAGCCTACTGATTTCTGTTGAATACACAATCTTTTTTACCAATTCAAACTACTTAATGGAATTACTTATTGTGAGCTTTAGTAACTGTTAACTTATGACCCATCAACTTGGCCAACAACTAAAAATAAGGTAGAAAATTGAGATATAGTCCCTAGCGCATTCTGTGACTGGCTCTGACAAATACATTCTTTTTAAAAAAAAAATGGCTACAGCTGGTCCATATAGGCCTAGATGGGAAGTCTACTCCTTATCTATTAACTTTAAAAACTTAGTCAATGGTAAGAGATTAAAAGGTTAGTTGGGGGGTAAGGAGGAGAAACATCCCTCCGAAATTTAGAGGGCACAATTATTTTGGGCCCATAGTGCATTGTACATGCATAGGCCTACTGCAAGTCTGACTTAGCTTCTTAAAATTTTGGTCATTCTGCAATTTTCAAAGAAAAACATCTTCGTTATGTAATCAATAAAGTAAATTTGCAGGCCCAAATTAAGTTTGATTAAGTTCAAAGCTAATAATTTATATCCTAATAATTTATCCGGCAAATTATTGCAAGCATTTTCTTTAAATAAGTTAGTAAGTAGGGCTATATTAGGCCTACCCTACAGTGTTTTTCTCTGGGTTTTAATTGTACAAAAACAGTCTGTAGGTAAGCTAACATAAACTAACAATTTGATTCATTATAGGCCTAACTTAAACTTTACCTAATCTACCCTAACTTCAAAACACTTAATGCAGTCACAAATTCGCATAAAGCTCGACCGACCATCCTGACATGCCTAAATAAGAACACTAGTGGCCTACATGTAATTAGTCAGACAGTCCTTCTATCTCTATGATGTGATGAAATCTCCTGTAGGCTACTTAAAAACAAGTTCATTGTCTACAGAATCACTTGAAATATTTCTCTAGTCAATGTTAATTTTGTAATCAAGATGTTGTTCTTCTCATCATCTATGTTAAGACTTAGGCCTAATCTTTTTGTGCTCCACAACGAACAGACCAACTCAACGAAATAGAAATTGTGTCATTTCAAACAAAGTTTACATCTCCTTGTTTTTTGCCCACTATATCTGAAGCTGATGTTGAAACAGTCATACTTTCTCTAAAAACCAAAGTTTCTTTTGGCATTGATGGTAGGCCTATTTCGAGTTCTCTGCTGAAACAAACGTATAAACCAATCTTAAAAGCAACCTCAATCCTTTTTAACAGATCACTCCAATCAGGCATTTTTTAAAGTTTAAAAAATAATACCGGTTTTTACAAAAGGAAGTAGAGGTAATGAGGACAACTACAGACCAATTGCTCTTCTTCCAACATTGTCCAAGGTTTTAGAGAGGCTAGTCCACAACAGGCTTGTATCCTTTTTAGCTAAGCATAAATTAAATAGCTCTGTACTAGTTTGGGTTAAGGTTTGTGTTTGTCTACTACCAATGCTTAGTCGAATTCACTTCCAAGATAATTTCGAGTCTGGAAAATGGTGAACCGGCAATTGGTTTATTTTGTGACTTATCAAAAGCATTCAATGGGATTGACCATAATGTTCTTTGTCACTAACTTGAATGTTTTAGTATAGGCCTACGTGGAATCCCTCTTCAATGGTTAGGGTCATATTTAGTGGGTTGTACGCCAGGAATACGTTGAGGTTGATGCAGAATGCTGTTCTGAACTCGCCGAAGTGAAATATGGTGTCCCTCAGGGCTCTATCCTTGGGCCTCTGCTTTTTATTCTTTATATAAATGACGTCGGTTCTTATGTTTGTCCTTACTCCTTAACTAAGAGCTCAAACTCCTGTTTGCCCTGCTTCTTGTATGCAGATGATACCACTATGTTTTTTAAGGCCTCGTCTGAGGTTGTTCAAGAGAACATATCTTATTTAATTACAAATTTTGATGACTGGCTTTTTAGTAATAATCTTCTTTTAAATCAGTTACCTAATAAAAAATAATTATTTCCAATTTCTATCATGAAACAAAAATCCACTGCACATTTAAAACTACCGTACCACAATCTTCAGTAAAAGAACTTTCTGAAGTCAAGTTTTAGGCGTCGTTATGGATTCTAAGCTGACGTTGCAATCACAATCACATATTTCAGATCTTTGTGATCGTTAGATCAAGGTGAGTTTTGCCTTGATAACATTGGTTTCCTTGCTTGATCAGAAGGACCTGACCAATGTTTCCCAAGGATGCTTTCAGTCTGTTAATGTTGGTATAGAGGTTTGGGGAGGTTCCACACATGCATACAAAGCATTTATTTGTACTAAAGCCTAGACACATGTCAATTATTCAGTATAATTTACCTTCTTTGGTAACCTAAGGTGTCAACAGTTGAGTTCTGCAGTACTCAGTACTGAGTATGCCTAACAACATGCGGTACCGTCGTCTGTTGTTCTTTCTAAGAATTTTGTGTGATTCGGCCAAGTCCATCAATGTCATAAACTGTGTAAATAATGTGTGTCTGTTGTCGTGTCCGTATTTCTATTTGTGTTCTTAGTTTTATTTTAATTTGTGACAAACACTCTCAATGTGAGCTGTTCTAACCTATACTACGCAGCTGATTATGTGTTGTAATTGTAACGAAATGCGTAGGCCTACTGCAGAACTCCACTGTTGACACCTTAGGCTACCGAAAAAGGTAAATTATACTGAATAAAGCATTTATGGAACAGAAACAAGACGTTCATATTTTATCTGGTTTCGGTTTCCCACCCTCGCACTCTTGTAGGAGAGTTTTTCGAACTTAATATTCTCACACTATCTTCTCTACCATATATGTTTTTAAAGTGGTCCTTTTCATCAAGCATAACATTGGGTCTTTTCACGCTATTGGAGATAGACAAAGGTATCCCACCAGACAGGGCTCAGATCTTCTTCTTCCACAAATCCTCCTGTCCATGTCTGAAAGAGAAAATTTTACAGCAGGTATATTAAGATTTTAACTGTCTTTCAACCAGTGTAAAGGAGTGTTATGAAAAAAAAAGTTTAAAAAATGTTTAAAAACCTACCTTGTACAAAAAGAACCGTAGGCCTGCAGTTTTTAATAGAATTTATGTCGGGCTGATCGAATCTTCATGTTTTATATATTGTCTATCTTATTTATTAAATGTTGTTAGTTCTGTTCCTAAATTGAAAAAAAGAGATTTTTTAGTTAAATAACTTTAAGTACCATCTTTTTAGTTTATTTGATGTTAAATAGTCCATGGTTTCATTTTATTTGCCTAACACAACGTTGCTAACATTGACTTGTAATAAAAATAACTTAGAAAACAACCGCTCAGAAGGCACAAGCGTGGCCATTTTACTCAGATTTGTCAGAAATTTCCTTCCGATACTTACGATACGATACTGGCCTCTTGGTATCGATACCAAGTAAGTATCGGAACAACCGATACCGATACGATACCAGCAGTATCGCAATAAAAGTATCGATACCTACTGGTATCGATAGTATCGCAACATCCCTACTCCTATTCAGAGAAAAAATGACTTATGACTTAGCCTAACATGAACTTAGCGTAGCAGACTAGAAGCACAGTAGGTTCTACTGGTTTTGGTATTCCACTATTCTAGTTCTAGTTGTAGAGAAGTGAAGTGTCGTCATTAGGCCTATTGCTCTATAACAGAATCAGAGTTAAGCTGGGTTTTCCTAGGCACGGAAGCAAAGAGCGGATAGAGGAACGCGGAGAGCGGAAAAGAGATTAACACGGTGTTCCGCTCCGCTTCTAGGAAAACAGTAGCCTAACATTAAATTATCTAAGACAAGTGGAGTCCGCTCTCCACGTTCCTCTCTCTGCTCTCCACTTCCGCGCCTTGGAAAACCCGGCTTAAGATATAAAGTTGTTAAATCAGATAATAAGTTTAGGATTAAGTTTTAAAAGTAGGCCAACTTGTCCATTTGAAAAATATGTCATAAAGCTAAAAAGTGAATTTCAGAAGTAAGTTAGGATAAAGACCTCTGAAAATGCTATGTACAAGTTAGCTTACCAAAAGACATGTTAGGTTAAATAGAACATCTTCAAAAATTAATTTTGTTAGTCAAGAGTGCAAGAAGAAGCTTGGCATGTTATTTATTATTTATTGTATTGTTTGACGTAGCCTATTGTCTTGTATGAACTGAATGGCCAAATAAATCATTTGAATCATTTGAGTTCAATCTAGTTTTATGGTAGAATTTTTATATCTATCAGGTGGGAATGTGGGGTCCAATCAACTTTGATGATCAGAGGAGCAAGGGTTTTTTCCCATTATTGGTAGAAGGGAAAGTGAGGAAAGAAGTAGGCTAAACTCTTTTAAATTGCTGGAGGCCAATATATAATATTTTACAATCAAAATAGTTTTGGAGATAAATTAGATCTAGGCCTACTGAATTGAAAACTAAAAAATGCTTGTGACAAACTTAGTGGTACAAACAGCAGAAATTTAGTAGAAAACACAAGCAGTTAGTAGAAATACAAGCAATTGGAAATGTGATTTCAGTTAGTCTAATCCTGATGTTACGGTACCGGTACATAAGTTATGGGGTATAGATAAGGGTTGCCACACATCCTAGAAAACCAAACCCGTCTCTGGTTTAAATTTGTTCTAGTGTCCCAAGAAGGAACACAAAATGGTCCGCCGTCCGGGTTTTACAAAATCTAGTTATTTTGTAGCATTTAATTTGGTTATTACCTATGTTAATTGTTGAATATTATTTTTATGTAGCACCTAAGTTCTATTCTAGCCTACATTTGAAATACGGTAAGATGTTTAATTTTTTAATAATTTGTGAATTTATTTTTTATTTCTTTTCTTTTTGAATTCAATATTTGAAATTTTGGAAATTTAACTTAGCTTTCCTACAACTCAAAAAAATGTTTTTTAAACAAATTCATCAAAACAAAAATTGAGTTCGAAAATGTTTTTTTAATAGGCTAACTCAAAATAATTTTATAATCCAATTCGAAGTGTTATTTGAAAATGCTACATTAAACGTTATGGTAGGTATATTCCATACATTTCTATAGTTAGAGAAATAAATAGGCCTATTCTAAAAACACATATGAATCTTAAAATTAAAAAATACCCCCACCGCAGCAAGCCTGCAGACTAAGCGAATTTCCATTCGCCTGATTGGATTTACACTAAAATGTCTCCTTAAAAATATCTCATTTATTCCCTATTTAAATAGGTAACATTAGTTTAACGAGTACTTAGGTTTGCTGCAACAGGGAGGGTAAAAAGGTTTTTTTTGTAAAATGTTAATAGCTTAGTATCAAATGAATGCATTTTCCAAATTTGATCATAAACAAGCAAACTACTACAGTTTACTTATTCTCCATAAGAATAACATGGGAATTTTAAATTTACAGTTTTTTGGAATTTTCTCCGTAACCATTAGGCGCATAATAACGCTTCAGTATACTAAATCATTTGTTTTTTTTAAGCTCTACAAAATGGTTTTTGGAAATAAAATGCTAAATTTAAAGTTTTTAGGGTCAAAAATGGGAAAAACCAATTTTTGCCCCATAAAACCCCCCATAAACCCCCGTTCCCATGGTCCGATCATGCTGGTTTGCGAATTCGTTCAAATAAACGTAGGCTTACACGTTTGTACCAAATTTCATCAAAATCGGATGATTTTTGCTCGAGTTATCGCGCTAACGGACACATATAAATATATATAGTAGCCCTATTTTTCTATTTTTCTATTTTTCATATATATATATATATATATGAATTTGAACGGATTGTGTTTTTGGTCTCTAGGGACCTCAAAACGAAAAAGTAAATTGGTCCCGGGTCCAGGTCTTACCATGAGTACTACGGTAATAGCTTATTCCCTATATGGGAAATTCGCTAATATTCCCTATATGGGAAATTCGCTAAAAATCCTGGTGGAGGACCCTTATAAGTCCCCCTAGACCTGCGAGGTAACCCATATTGGCTACCCTTATTTCCCTGGTAATTGAAAGTTTCCAAGAGCCTTGGTTGGGTACCAAATATGGAAACCCTATATGGGGGTTCTATATTCATTGACTCCATGAAAACTGTTATTCCAGGTTGATTGATCATAAAGAAGTGAGTTTTCTAATGAAGTCACCTTGGCCTTGAGAGTGCCTTAGGGAAACATTCTATCCTAACCTAACTGGTGACGAGAGCAATCCCATACTCCCAATCATCTGTAGGCTACTAACTAAATCATTTTTGTTGTAAGGCTAAAAGGGCCATGAATGTTTTTTCCCTTTATAAATAGGCAAATAACTGTAGACTATTAAACCAACATTGGCCATGTTAACCTACCCTTGAAGGGCTCTATTACAAACTGCCATAAGTTTTTAAACTAAAAACAATTTTTATAAACTTAGATTGATTAATTGATGTTGCAGTATGTGTCGAGTGTGTACGTGTGGGCATTGTACTGTGTGATCGTGGGTGTGTTCTTCACTGTGCTCAAGTTTGTCAACCTGTCTCTCCATCACATGTATGACACCTCGGAATGCATCATTGAGGCGGAGGATGATCGGACAGAAGCAGAACGGAGGAGGCAACCAGTCAGCAACAACAGGTAGAATAACGAAAAGTAGGCTAACTGTTAATGAAAATATTGCTAGGAATGGAAGGTAGGAAGCATTTCACAAAACTCAAAATCAATAGTTCCAAAATTACAGTCTTTACCAGAAGTAAAGTTTTGTTAACTTTTGAAAGAGACTGCCCTTTGGACTTTGGATCTTGTGAACCTAGTGAGGGTCAGATGATCTAAAATATATGATTCAATAGTGAAAAATAAATTAGAAAATCCAAAAGTAGTAATTATTGAATGTCATAGATTGAGGGCGTTTGAATAACTTCTGTTATCAGTTGCATTCCTTGCCTTCCGCGTACCGCGTTCCATTGGGATTCCTTCCTTTAAGGCCTTCAGGAAACTCATCAGGGAACTGGGATTGCTAAGAACAATCGTTACTTTTAACTGATTCTATAAAAACCCCTTACTTAAACTGGTACCTTTTCGGGGTACATACAATATTGGTTTGTTTTGAAACAATATCTGTTTAGTGAACTCAGAATTTGCTTTTGCAGATTTCACTCTTATTATTGTTTAATGTTTTACTTGAATATATCATTAACCTGATGATCCATTCCTAAAACACATAAAAATTACGGATGGACGAGATTGGATTTTTAGTTCGAGACGAGACGAGACGAGACGAGACGAGATTTTTTATATCTCATAAAATTTCGAGACAAGATCGAGACGGGATTTCCCTTCTCATACACAACGGGAAATGCACGTTCAAAATTTTTACCTGATTTTGTAACTTTGTTAGATTACTGTTTCAATTCAATTCAAATTCAATTCAAAACTACTTTATTCATTTCATGTACATAATACATTGAATAGTGTTAACAGTTGCAAGTAGGCCTAATAGTTATTAAATACATTTCTAACATAATGAAATAAAAATAAAATTTCACAAACTTATTTTTTTTTTTAAGTCTAAACAAAAAATACATAAATTGAATTTGTTTTTGACTTCAAATACTATTCAACTCTTCAAAAGAAAAAATAGCCTTGCTGATGAGAAATCTCTTTAATTTATTTTTAAATATTGTTTTGGAAGTCTCTGATTTAATTTCGATTGGGAGATTATTATAAAATTTTGATCCCGCATACATGGGTTTTTTCTCAAAAAGTTTTAGACTATGGTGGCCAATTGCAAGGTTTTCCCGATTTCTGGTGAAATAATTATGACTATCCCCAACTCGTTCCAAATCATGAAGTCTGTCCTTTACTGATAAAATTGTTTCATAAACGTACATTCCGTAAATTGTCATTATATTTTCTGATTTAAAATGTTCTTTATTAACAGAAGTTTCAAAATCTAAATTGCAGATAATTCTAATAGCTTTCATTTGCTTTTTTAGAATAGAATTCAAATTGTAATCACTAGTTGCACCATAAAGTGAAATCCCAAAAGATATACTTGAGTGGATATAGGCCTATGAAAAATATATAACTTTTAGAGTTTGTTTTTCACACAAGGGTTTCAATCTAGATAAAGCAAATAATCCTGATGTGATTTTGGCAAGTAACTTATCAACGTGACTGTTCCATTTCAGATTTTTATCAATTACCAATCCCAAGAATTAAATACAAAAATAATGATAATAGGCAAGAATATTTACAATCTTTTAAAACATCAGCATAACATTTTTTTATTAATCACGCCTAACTTATTAAAAATGCCTACGATTAGGAAACATAGTGATATCAGTTAGGATAGAGTTCAACTTATCCTAAAATAAAATAAATCATAAAATAAAATCAATATTAATTAATTTTTATAAAATAGTTACTGGTTTTGACTTTTAGCGAATTTCCCTATAGGGAAGTAGCTATTACCGTAGGTGGCACGGTAAGACCTAGACCCGGGACCGATTTACTTTTTCATTTTGATGTCCCCAGAGGCCAAAAACACCATTCGTTCAAATTTTTATATATGTATATATATATATATATAAAATCCTGTTCCCATGGTCCGATCATGCTGGATCGCGAACTCATTCAAGTTTATCCCGCCTTACACCTTAAAACCAAATTTAATCAAAATCGGATAAAAATTACTCAAGTTATCGTGTTCACGGACACATATATATATAAATCTATATATATATATATACATATATAAAAATTTGAACGAATGGTGTTTTTGGCCTCTGGGGACATCAAAATGAAAAAGTAAATCGGTCCCGGGCCTAAGTCTTACCATGAGACCTACGGTAATAGCTACTTCCCTATAGGGAAATTCGCTAAATAGCTACTTCCCTATAGGGAAATTCGCTAAAAAAAAAACGACGAATTTAGGAAGATACTTGAGCAAATTATCTAAATAGCATAAATAGCTGCTTATTAGGTTATCAGCATTGCCCAGTTCGTATACTATTTATTTTTCAAATGAAACTCGAATTAATATAAAACATTCATTTGGTTAAAATAATATATCGGTTTGATTAACATAAAATAGTTTATACAGGCAAACTATCAGTTCTATTTCATGTAAAAAATTAAACAACCCCAAAATAGAATACCAAGGTAAACAGTATTTGTTAATTATTATTTCTTTTATTGCTGACAAAATTCCCGTGGCGGAGCACGGGCGGTTAACTAGTATATATATATATATATATATAGACTTATATATATATATATATACGTCCGTGAACGCGATAACTTGAGTAATTTTTGTCCGATTTTGATGAAATTTGGTTTAAAGGTGTAAAGCGGGATAAACTTGAATGAGTTCGCGAACCAGCACAATCGGACCATGGGAACGGGGCTTTACGGGGGGTTTTATGGGGTAAAAATTGGTTTTTCTCACTTTTGACCCTCAAAACACAAAATTTCCCGATTTCTCTTTAGACCTTTTTAAAGAGCTTAAAAAAACAAATAATTTAGTATATAAAAGTATTTTTGTTCGATTGTTAGTAACGGAGAAAATTAAAAAAATTGTAAATTTAAAATTCCCATGTTATTCTCTTGGAGAATATTGTCAAGTGTTGTAGTTTGCTTGTTTATGGATATGTTTTGATCAAACTTGGAAAATTTATTTATTTTGTACTAAGCTATCAATATTTTACTCAAAAACACACTTTATTAGTTTCCTTGTAGCAGCAAACCTAGGTACTCGTTAAACCTAATGTTATTAAAATATATTTAACTGAAAATCAATTCAGACAAATGGAAATTCGCTTAGTCGGCAGGTTTGCTGCGGCGGGGGTATTTATAGTAATAAAACATTCCTCACACTGCTTACACTTAACAAAACTTCTCAAATGTTATTAAAGTTATATTATTAAAATAATTAAAGTAATATTTACATTTAAAGAATTAATTAAATAAGAACGCCTTCGCAAAGGAAACGCAACTACAACACGCTCCTGTATTGTGCAGGGTATTGCATTGACTTTCTGCAGGCATTTTTAATTTTTTTTTTTTTTATTTATTTTTTTTATTATTCTCGTCTTGATAAAAATCTTGGCCAAAAAGAAATCTTGTCTCGTGTAACGAGATTTAAAATTTCCCGAAATTTCGAGACTAGACCATCCCTAATAAAAATACAATAACACAAATGCAGTTTAGTTGCAGTTTCTGGATGGCAGTGTGTCGTTGCCTGAGCCCAATAGAAAATTTGCAAATTTCTCTTTTACAATATATACATAGTATTAAAAACGTCCGTGTTAGATCATCTCCTGTCACCATGGTAACGTCTTAGTCATATACTGCGATCATAGTAACATCGTCGTTACCTGAAACGATCATAGCAACATCATGGTCATCCCCTGTGATTGTGGCAACATTGACTACGTCGTTATTATCTCTCGTGATCACAAATACATCGTGGTCATTTGCCTTGAACTTATCTTATATGTGACACGTTGATGTGAAAAGATTATGGCGATTTTTGGCAGCTTACATTGGTCATTGTTCAAAACTTTAAATTCTTCCTCTCCATACAAAACATAGTAGATGTGTTCATGCAACGTGTAAAAATATATAGATTTGGGTTCATTTTCTAATTTATATTTCACTTTCTTTTCCTTAGTCACATATAGTTGGTCTTTTTATTTTTAAGCCCTTTTTTGTATAGTAAAAATCACCTGTTTTCTATTCTACAGTAGTAAAGCCAAGATCATCACACTTCATCCTCCATTCACCCAGCATTCTTATTCACCTTTAAAAAATGTATACAAAGTGTGTCATTGTCCGCAATAGTAAATATTACTTACCAAGCTGATCACACTGCAGACTAACTCGTGATAGATATTAATATTTGATGTTCCAGTTGCAGAATATGATTTCTAATAACACGCGATGTTTCAGTAACCGTCCTGAGGAGAGTATTGAGCTGCAGGTGCTGAAGACTTCCCACGGCAGTCCTAGGACATCTTCGATTGAGGCTACCATCGGTTCAGAGGACAGCAACGAGAGCACAGACTACAACCAGGCGACAGGCACCGACCCTCCTACTATCGGTAATGTGCATAATAGTTCTGATCTCAATAAGTAGTATCAGTTTGTGATGCTAGTTTTTTGCTCTGGATTTTTTTTTACATTTTTCACCTACACTTAAAAGAACAATTACCTTTATTGGGATCGGTTGTTTTGTAAGATGACAATAATTTTGTGTAAGAAACAAAATTTAGGTTTTTCCAAGGTTTAAAAGAGTCAAAATTGATAAAGAAATAAAAATGTAGTGCTGGATGCAGCCTTACTCAATTGTCTATATGTATAAGGTTAGGTTACACTGGCCCGAGGAGCTAGGCAAGATTTAAGGTACCTATCCTGTTTAAAAAAAAAATTTCTTGATTTAGCTGCCATAAGTTTCTTTAAAATTATAGGTCTTGGATAGTTTTCACTATAAAACGAAGCTATTTTGGCTCTGTCTTTTATTATTAACTCTGCATTTTCAATGTAGGCTGTATGAATGTAGATGTGTGTTTTGAATGTAGACATCAATGTGTACTGTATTTAGATGTAAAACAACAGTGACAGACGGATCCCGGTCTTCGAGCGGGATTACATTAATTCAGGATTTTCTTGGGAGGAATTTGTTGCAACCGTTTGCGATTTCATTACGATCATGAGTGACAAAACATTTTATTCTTTAAACAAATTTTTAAGTGGAAATTGGGGGTTAAGTGTTGAAATTATTTTTATTTGGATTTTATACTATTTATATTTAAGTATTATAATGCATTGACAAATGTGCTGTCATTTTATGATGTAATGGCATTCTGTAAATAAAAAAAAAAATAAAAAACAATGATGTTGTCCTCGCCATTGTAAGATATCCACAATTTCTCCGTGACCCCTGAAGATGCTCACAATGTCGCTGCAAACGCGGGAGATATTCACGTTTTGGTTGCTAAGATGAGAGATGTTCACGCTTCTGATGCTTGATTTATTAGTTTGGTTTTATAGTCAGGTCCTGTTGAATTTTGTCAAATAGTTTATGATAGAGATTTTTCCAGCTTTTAACTTTTTTGTTTCAGACCTAAAAGTCGATGTGCATCGCAAAAACAGCTCAGAAAGTAGTGAAGGGGTCAGTGTTGTGATAGAGAAACCTCATTCTAGTCAGTCAACTGAGTCCAAAGGTAACTTACTGTGATGTTACTTTTAAACTCTGAGGATAGCTTTAAAATCACCTGGTCAGTGCTTACTCCACTAGCTGTATGATAAGGTTTAGTAAACAGAAGTCTGCAAAAGATTATTTATTAAAAAAATGTGCACATAGGCTATTTTTGAACTTCTTAATAAGATATTTTTTATCGGAATGAGTTAAAGACCTTTTTATTCAAAGAGTTAGCAATGTTTGTTCAGGCTAAAACATCTTCAGATTATTACCAATGTATACATATATAAAATTTTGCTGAATAGACCTTATAATTTGTTAAGTAATTGAATGGGCTTGCTAGATTCCAAGCGAGATTGTTACTAAACTCAGTTTCTGTTTGTCATTGTTCTATAAATTATTGATTCTACCTAACAAAAAGGTCAACGTTACATGTAGTAAAAAGATTTTGATTTGTACCATTCATTCCCTAAAAAAAAATGTAAAAAAGTTTTAATGGCGTAGCTGCGTAGATACACAGGAATAAATAACAAAAATATTGTTCCCTATAAATTTAATTTGGATCTTTTAAAACATATGATAATGTTTGAAATTTTGTTAACAGTTGAAAGCTACGCGATTTCTGTCTGTTCTAGTTTTTTAGTGAATGTTACAAATTTACGGTAGGTACTCAGTAGCTTACTTGTAGTGTCCTGGGCTAATAAGCCAGACATTTGCTGATTAGTAACTGACCACCTTGACTGTCTAATCATTGCAGTTCCCACTGGCTTGTTCACGTAACTAGTTTGTGTAAGCTACAAGTGTTACTGGTGTTGTTTATGACGACAGATGAGAGCAGTAGGAGGGGGCGGGGGAAGGGGGAGCCGTCGACCTCTGTGACAGAAGCCCCCAGTGGCAGTGGTAGTGGAAACTGCGGAGGTGTCCGGAGACGAACTTCCAGACACAACTCTGTGGACTCTCCCGGAGACACTACGCTGGCCGCGGTTGTAAGTTTAATAAATAAGGAATCTTTTTAGTGGACTTCCCCTGTGTCAAATAAGCTATTACCATCCGGCTATTATCATTATTATGTCTCATGGTGAGACCTGTACCTGAGACCGGTTTACTCCTTCATTTTGATGTCCCCCAGAAGCCCAAAACACCCTTTTTTAGGCCTATATTTGTGCCCGTGTCTATATTTGGGCACTTGAGATTTAACTCACCTGCTAACAGACCAATATACAATTACAGTATACCGATAATCCCTTTTTTTCCTAAAATGATTTTTAGAGTAAAAAAAAACACTATTATTAAGTTAATCACCATATTTGAAAATATCTGCTGATCATCAAAATCCAGAATTGATGTTTTCCATGGCCACTAGTATATCAGTTCTTATTTTTAGATTTGTTGAAAAATTTATACCTAATGATATTTTAGGCCAGTGCTTGGTATCAGAGCTGTAACTGAAACCTAATGGGAGTGGGAGCTATAACGTTGTCCAGCTATAACTTCCTTCTCTATTCGCTCCATCGTTCACTACACTCCTCTCATTCTTACTGATAATTGTGTTATTATAGCACAGCAATCTATCTATATACTATTATAAAAAGAGGTGGTTGCTGTATGTGTGTATGGGAAAAGTAAACTCGAAAAATACTGGTCAGATTGGGCTGAAATTTGGCATGATGATAGCTCACATTCCCGATTAACATATAGGCATATTCTTATTTCAAAAATCCTTTCGGGCTCCGCCCCAGTGGCTCTGGAGTTTCCCATGTTAACCTTATGAGAAATGGAATTATTGAATCACGAGATAATCTTGAAATTAAGAAGTTAAACGGGGCAAAGCCCGCGGGTTACAGCTAGTGAATAATAAAGTAGGCCTAATTAAACATCAGTTAAACAGTTTGAAATTTTATTAGTCAAAATATTTTTTGAACAATCGTCACCTTCAGAGCTAGATCTTTTCAATCCATCAGATTGTTCTTTAACTCGATTTATCAAACAAAACTCAGGAGTACAGTTAACGTCTGTTAATTTACAACCACATTATAGTTGAATGTTACAGTAAACAATCAGCTAAGGATTAGGTTATGCCTCGGTTCCAACCCAACCCAACCCCATCTAAATTATCCTAACCCCAAATAAGATTTGTAATAATTATAAAAAAAAACGAAAAAAAAACAGAGGTAGTGAACTAACAGAAAAGGTTCATGGTAGACTACAGATAGGCCTTTATCATGTGTGTTTGCCATTGCAGGAGTGTGTTAGGGTCGGCCACTCCAGGTTGTCCAGTAGAAGACACTACTCTAACAGTTCTGGTGCTGGGCTGAGTGAGACGACAGACCCTATTAAACCCACAGGGTCTCTGGAACTGGGCCTGACCCACAACGACTCACTACCCACCATACACAAAGGTAGGTCTACTAGTTAAATCCGTCTGTCTGGGTATAGTTACCAAGAAATCTTGACATATTAACTATGAACTAAAACTTTACATGTGTCATGGTACTAATTATTACTGCCAAAAAGTTGTATTCAGCAAAAATGTTGTTTTTAAAACTTTAAGCATTGATTTAGATCCTATATTCAATATTGAGTTGACATTTTTGTCTGTTAATGCTAAAAGTATTTTTATTCATATCAAAGGCACAAGGCATTAAGACTTCAAAGAAGTAGGGAGACCAACTCCCTTAAAGATGTCTAGTAATGGCATAGATGAACTTACTCCTCTTGACATTTGATAAGTAGATGGAGTTCACTTAAATATATAAGACCACTTGGATAGACATTCAACTGACCTAACCTTGTTTAATCACTGAGCACTCTTCAAATATTTAATTGCTGAAAACAAGATTTTACTCACGATAACATAAGTTACTTTTCATACTCTTCTTAAGTTTGAAGCTAATTTTTGGTGATGGCAAGTTTATGTTTTCTGAGGAATTATTGTGAACATTTTACATAGAGGTGGGCCGATACCGATACTCGATACCAAAATAATCTCGATACCAGCGGTATCGAGGTAGCGTCGATACTCGATACTTGCCTGTTTTGGGTTCGATACTGACACTGAACCACTGAATGCTACGAATCGGTGCGGAGCGGATTAAGTCAGTTCAGTCAGAGCGCCGAGCGGGTAAATTGCCGTTGCCGTTACGAATCCTAGCTGTTTGCCTACTTAGTTAAATATACTCGCAACTCGAGTCGAGTAGTAGAGGTTAAGCCGATTTCGTTGATATTTGACAAGTAAAGAATAAGAAAGAAAATGTCTGAGTTTTATTTAATCCCTTAACCCCTTTCAATATTGACATACTAGGCCTAATAATAATCGGCAACCTAGACATCGCTTGCGTCATCCATTTCACTGACAGCGACAGCTGACACTGGGTGATAGTGATAGGTAGTGGTGTGCAGCGAGTGCGATGTATTGAAATTTAAATTTGATTCTAAAAAGGGATGTGTCGATTATCGTCAACGATACCACCATCCATTGGTTACCACTGGACATTGGTATCGGTTCGGTACCAAGACTCGATTGTCAAAAGTCGATTCCGATGACACCGACAGGGATAAATATTTTATTTTAACATTTATTAACTTTATAGCTACAGTATTAGTTTTGTAATCACGGTTAACAATTTTCATAGCCAACTTAGAAACTACCTAGTTCAAAACAGCGACGGTGCCGGTGACATTGTTTAGCTTCAGCTCATTGCACAACACAATCTACATTTCAAGATGTCAGACTCAACTCATGAGACAACCGGCGCGCGAATGTCCTGCCAACACGAAATTAATTATACTAAACAATGTCTGTATCAATAAGTTAGACATTTAGATGTATTATTTTTATTTTTAGTACAAAATAAATAACATAAACACGTCGAAATGTTCAGTTTCCTCCCTGCAATATTCAACCATTAAACTTTAACATCGTCATTGTCGTATGGTTAGGCTTGCTTTATATTGCGCCAAAAAGTAGGTCCATATTTATCTGTACAATCTACCTGATTAAAGAGTTAAGTGAAGTTTTAAGTGCTACTATGACACAATGCTTTTATTGAAACATATCATAAGCCTTAGTCCATGTAGATTTTGTAATGTTATAACGAAGGGTGAATGTTGACAATAAAAGTATGTAACAACAGTTCTCATTGGTCAGGAGGCGACAATGCACTACCATGTCAGCCAATCGACTTTCGTGTTTCAATGGAGCAAATGACGATTGCTTAGACATCGTTTTATGTGCTTACTGCTTATTGTGGGTGGGAAGGGTATCGATAATTTATCGTGATTCGAGATCCGATATGTAGTACGTGTTCGTTTATGCATAATGAGTATTTAAGTATAAAAAAACTAGGTTAGTTACAGACAGGTTCAAAACATCGATTGTTCCCATCCATTTTTGACACCCCTACACGGAAGATATATTGACGTCGTGCATAAGGGCCAGGCAGGCCGGTTCACACTGAATCCACTCTGCCGAACCTATACTCTTGGTATCATCGGGAACATAGTCAAACACTTTTTTTACTAAATAAAACTATGGCATGTTTTATAAAATCACTCTTTTGGAGATTCTAGTCCCAAAACATAATCTTTATTGTAGGGTAAAGTTAAAATTTATCTATTACTTTTCTCCACAGACGTTGACTTATTCTACAATCTCTTTAAAAAATACCAGGTTTCAGTCAAAATACTTTTGTAAAAATTGACAGTGTGCTGTTTTAACACAGTCATTCCTTGACCACGATCGTTTTTACTCACTATAGAGAAAATACTCTCCTTACAAAAAGTATTTATAGGTCAAGATGTTTGTAGTTTTTTTTAAAGTATAACTGCAATTGCTTTTAAAAATAAATACAAAAACTGTCAAATGACTTAGATTAATACTTGTAGGCCTAAGCCTATTTATAAATTACAGGAAACTTTATTAGATCTCATCATAGTCAAATTCAAACATTTACAGTGTTTTAAAATAATCAACACTCAGAAACGTTTGTGTAATGAAAATCTGCAAGCGACTGACGCCAAGGGTAAGGGAGGGCATGTGAACCAGGCTTTAGAGCAAACTTTCTCTTTTCCTACCCCATGTCCCGTTAGAAGGTGGGCGGGGCTTCACACTAAATAAATACTCAGTTCATTCATTCACAGTAGAGAATAGTTTTTGTGGCAGTGACATATGTCTCTTGTCTGCTCTTCATAGCTCAAGCTCACACGTAGATTTCTTTCGAGAAATTATAAGTGATAATCTTTATTAAAAATAAGTGAAAAACTGTTGACATTTTCAAGGAAGAAAAGTTAAGAAATAAAAATGTTAAAAATGAAAAGGTTGTTTGATTAGTTATTCTGTATTTCAAAAATATCCTCATTTATGAATGTGTTTTCAGCTAGACTTGGTGACTTTTTCATAGTTAACACATTCACTGCTAATGATATGTAATACTTTTATAAATGGCTAGAAAACATAAACATTAACATGATCATGTTAATTGAGTGACAATATATCTTTAATTAAATAAATTTTATACTATAAATTGTGGATTAAAATATATTATGTAATTATATACATCATGTATTATATATCTGCTAATATACTTATGACGCACAAGTGCGTCATTAGCAGTGAACGTGTTAAGTAAATTTTGAAGATATATAACTGTTTCTATATAAGCCTATTTATAAATTAGAGGAAACTTTATTAAATCTCATGCCTTAGTCAAATTGAAACATTTACAGTAGGCCTATTTTAAAATAAACACAATTAGTTCCATATTTTTGCAATTGTTTTTTTTTTTACAATTAATAATAAACGTTTAACACCAAAATATAAGTTTGATACACATACATATTGTGTTTTTTTATGATATAACAGTTTATAATATTATTAGTGGAAGAAACTGTGCAAAAAAGATAGGTATCGGAAGTATCGGTATCGATAGGTATCGAGAGTACTTTGGTGGTATCGGTATCGGTATCGACAATTTTTGGTATCGGCCCATCTCTAATTTTACATCATGATTAGGAAAAAAACAAGTTTTTCTTAAGTTTGTTGCTCTGAGGCCTAATCTTGTTAATATGTGAGAAAGTTCTAAAACATACCAAGATCATAACACAATCTCAGCTAAAACTGGAACATCACAAGGGGAAAACCTCACACAGAACTATAACGAATATTGTGTCTACTTTCTCATAGGGACAATCAGATTCCAGGTCCCAAAAAGTCTTAAGCTTAGAAATTGTCTTATAATCATAGATTTGGGATTTACGGAATAACACCTCAAAACTTTACCCTATTGTACAGGCCTAGTCTACTGGAAACAGCGGCCCAGTGGCAATGGCTGGAGACACAACTCTGAGGCCAGTAGTATGGTGTTGCGCAACAGACTGCTCTGTCCATACTACGGCTACGGTAGTGAGATTGTCTACCCAATAGCAGAGCAGAGCGATGAGCCCTCGCATGCAGTGGACAGTGATGATGAACCTACTGGTAAGCAACCAGTGTCATGTATCAAATTAAATGTGTCATGTAATTAAATTAAGTCACTGTAAACCTATGCTAAGTTTGACCTCTAATGCCCTTGATAGTTGACACAGTTCTAGCAAACCCAGCAACTATGATAAGATTACATTTAACACTTGAATCAGACACTATAGAAACTGTTAATCAACCAATATCCATGTATTAAGATCAATCAGAAATATATACTGTATAGTCTAGGCCTTTTCATTTAGTCTGTTTACACAGTTGGAATTTTTTATTTTTTTTATAAGGGAACGGTCCAAACCCTGGTCTTGTGTAACATCAACCATTTGTTAGATTGCATAATTATTTAATAGCCAATTTAAAATTGGCACCTAGGTCCAGAATTGACCCTCTTTTTGATTAGGCCAGCAACTTTATTGACATGGTAGGAATCTATGTCGATGCTATGCTGCTGTGTTAACAAAACATCCCATGTAGATTTTTGTCTGATAGAGGTTTGTACAATCAAAGTGTTAAAATTGAATAAACTATTATTTAATAACACTCACACAATAATAACTTTTATTTACTTATAATCATAACAAAACTAGATATATAACATATGATTTTATAAAACAGGTAATAAGTAAATTGGATGATGTTGTAACTCCAACACACCCTCTCAACATCATGCCTAGTAAAGTCCTAGGTAAAAGAGTGATCTTTTAAACACTTGCCCTAGAAGTGGCTTTGTTAAAAGGTCCGCTTGATTATTTTCACTTGGACAGTATTCCAGAAATACTTCGTTCTTATTTATCATTTCTCGGACGTAATGTTTTCGAATATCTAAATGTTTTATTCTAGCACTTATCTTTTCATTTTCAATAAACTTGATACAGCTCTGATTGTCTTCAAATATTACTGTAGGATTTTCTTGGGGGAAGCCCATATCTTTCAACAATAGTCTTAACCACACTACTTCTTGAGTGGCTAAGCTTGCGGCCATGAATTCAGCTTCTGTTGAAGAAAGAGTGACATTGGTCTGTTTTTTGCTAATCCAGTTTATAGTGCTGTTTCCTAACTTGTACATCATTCCGCTGATTGATTTTCTATCTGCTAAGTCACCCCCCCAATCAGCATCTACATAGCATGACAATTTCAATTCTTTTTCCACCCCTAATTTTAATTTCTTGTCAATGGTACTTTTCAGATATCTTATTATTCGCTTTACAGCATTCCAATCACTTTGGGTGGGTTTTTCAACTCTTCTAGCTAGAATTCCAACAGCTGACAAAATATCCGGTCTTGATGTCACAGCAAGATAAAGAAGTGATCCTATTGCCTTCCTGTACATTTTGTTATCCGGCAGATCTGGTGACATAGCTGTTGAGTTGATAAATCCAACTTCCATTGGTGTTCTTGCTGGTTTACTGTTTTCCAGCCCATGTTCAATTATGACTTTATTTATTTTTCTTCTTTGGTGAATGTAAAAGTCTCCATCCATCTTATCAATTTCAACTCCTAAGTAGTTGTGAACAACTCCTAAGTCTTTCATTTCAAAGCATTGTGTCAGTTTTTGAAATGTTTTCTTGACATTTTTCAATTGATCCAACACACAAAATGTCATCAACATGAACCACTACGTATGTATAATTTCCATCAGTATTACTCGTATATAAACAAGGGTCAGAATTGCTTTTTTCAAATCCCATGCTCATCATTGTTGTATTCAGTGTTTCATTCCAGGCCCGAGCTGCTTGTTTTAGCCCATAAATTGATTTCTTTAATTTATAAACTTTATCTTCATTATCAGATTTCACAAAACCTTCGGCCTGTTGCATATATATTTCTTCTTCTAACTTTCCATTTAAAAAGGCTGTTTTTACATCAAAATGATGCACAGTCAGATCTTTTGTCGCTGCTATGGTTAGTAAAATTCTTACTGTTGTTGAATTAACAACAGGAGCAAATATTTCATCATAGTCTTCTCCATATTTCTGTGAGTAACCTTTGGCTACTAAACGTGCCTTATAGCGCTCAACCATACCGTCATCTCCATACTTTGCTTTAAATATCCATTTACATCCAACTGCTGTTTTCTGTGGAGGTAAATCTACAAGTTCCCATGTATCATTTTTTAATAAGGCTTCCATTTCTTCTTGAGCTGCTACAACCCATTGTTTTTTCTCAGGTTCAGGCAATTTCTCCAATTGTTTCCAAGATTTTGGCTCAATCACATTTCCTTGAGCTATTAATGATAGTCTGTTAGGAGGAACACCTTTTGTTTTTCTTTCAGATTTTCTTACTTTCAAGTTAATATCATTATTCTGATGATTCTCCATTATTATCCCCATCAATCATATATGGCTCGTCATGTTCAATCTCTTCCATTTCATTTGACATATGTTCTTTAGTTTCATTTGTTAATGTTTGCCTATCATCAAGTACATTTTTCTCATCAGTACCTTTTGGTTGATCAACTTGAACACTTCTTTGATTTTCTTCGACCTTTTCATGTCTTTGGAGTAAACTGTCTACAGGCAATACCCTAAAGCTTGAATTAGTATGATTTGCATCGACATGTGGAAAGGAAGATGTGTCAAAAACTACATCTCGAGTTGTAATGATTTTCCTATCTTCGGGTAACCACATCCTCCAGCCCTTTGATACATCTGAGTAACCAACAAATATCCCTTCTTTTGCTCTTGATTGAAATTTGTCATTTGTCTTGTCTAGGATAAAACCTTTACAACCAAACTTTTTTAGATATGAAACATTTGGAATTTTCCTGTACCATCTATGATATGGTAATACACCATCGATTGCATCTGATGGGCATCTATTCCTAACATGAGCTGCTGTTGCAACTGCTTCTGCCCAAAACGTTTGAGGAAGATTTGCTTCAATGAGCAAACATCTTGCCATGTCGTTTAATGTACGATTCATCCGTTCAGCCACTCCGTTTTGTTGAGGCGTTCCGCTACATGTTAATCTTCTCTGAATACCATTACAATTCAAAAATCCATCGAACTCTCTGTTAACATACTCTCCTCCATTGTCTGTTTGAAGATATTTAATTTTTCTTCCTGTAAAATTTTCTACCTTGTTCTTGTACCTTTTGAAAGAATCTAATGCATCACTTTTCTTCTTCAAAAAGTAAACTTCAACCCATCTTGAGCTATCATCAATAAAAGTAATGAAATATTGAGATTTTCCATGTGACTCAGTTTTCATTGGTCCACAGATGTCAGAGTGAATAATGTCCAGCACTTCAGATGTTCTTTCACTTTTAGGAAAGGGTCTTTTTGTAAATTTTCCTTGAATACACACGTCGCATTGTGGAATAAGCTCTTTTGTGTTCACTTTAATACCTTTAACCATATTTAAATTGATTATTCTTTTCAAGTCTCCAAAGTTCAAGTGTCCAAAATGTTGGTGCCAAGACAATAGACTTGATTTTTCACAGCTTATATTCATTTCTTCACTACTCTCTTTTACGTAATAAAGTCCATTTAACCTATTCGCATGGATCTTTGTCTGTCCATTCTGATCTATTATCAAAGCAGCATCTTTTTTAAACAAAACTTGATACCCATGGTCAGTAATTTTAGCTACAGACATCAGATTTGTTCGAAGTTCTGGTACATACAAAGTGTCATACAAATTAACGCTTAGATTTGTACTCCCATTTAAAATGTTCATATTAACTGTTCCAAACCCTCTTGCATCAGTTGATGAATTGTTGGCAAGAGATATAGGCCTACTTCTTCCATTTACAGGCTTGTACTTGGTAAATTTACTGTTCACATGAGTCATATGTGAAGTGCATCCACTGTCCAAACACCACTGTATATCTTTCATTGACAAGTTTCCAAAATAAGAGTCATCTTGTACTGAAGAATTAAGTCCTACTTCTTCTAGCTTAGCAATCGCTACGTTTTGTTGATCTTTATTTGCTTTGGGACAAAATTTTGCTTTATGCCCGATCGCTTTACATATAAAGCATCGAAACGGAAAATCAACTGATTCCGTTCTATTTCTATAAGAGTCTTTTGAAAATCTTCCTGGTTGAAATCTAACTTTATTCTGAAATTTTCCTAGCAGAGCTTCACTACTCTCTTTCTTACCATGTTCTTTTCTCGCTTCCCACTCTTCTACAATTTTTATTTTCAAAGTTTCAGGAGAAGGCAGTGCATCTCTAGTTTCAATAGCAATTCTAAAGTTTTCAAATTCATCTGACAGGGAATACAAAAGAATAATTGTCAAAAGATCCTCATTAATATCGATGTCCATTCCTTTTAATTTGTCCACTACATCAAAAAACATATTCATGTAATCTCTGACATCATAATCAGGGGTCAGTTTTGCCAAAATTAGCTTCTTTAACAAAAAGGCTTTCCTTGCTGGTCCACTGGAATCATAAATGCCTTTTAATTTTTCCCATATCTCTGCTGAAGTGTTACATCCTTTCACTTGCTTTAATTCGCTTGGGCTGATAGAGAGGATTATATCTGCCTTTGCCTTTGCATCAGTGATTAGCCAAGCAGTCATTCTTTCACCTTCTTCTAGAGGCCTTTTAATGGTTCCTAACACATACCCAAGTAAATCATTTTTAACTAAAACTGCTTCCATCTGCATTTTCCATGTGTCATAATTATTTCTGTTCAAAAGTTCAATGTGATTACTCATATTTCTTTCCATATTCCTCACTTAATTGAGTCTCATAATCTGTTAAAATTGAATAAACTATTATTTAATAACACTCACACAATAATAACTTTTATTTACTTATAATCATAACAAAACTAGATATATAACATATGATTTTATAAAACAGGTAATAAGTAAATTGGATGATGTTGTAACTCCAACACAAAGGTGATGGCTACCATGTAATGATTACTAATGATGAGTGATTACTACACTGAAAACCAGAATTAATGCTCAGTATACCTGACTTAAAATGAACACCAGGTCTGCTTCTGACATGAGGCACTAATTGGAGGGTGTCACAAATTTTACCCTACCTAATAGCAGTGCAGTGAGTAAACCAACTCATGAAGCCTCTTCCAAGTAAAAGTTTAATCTCCAACAGACGTTGCTGTTGACACCAAATACACTATGGATTCTAATGCCACCAGCCACAAAACAGTTGAAGAATAGTTGGATGGTCTCTTTGATGTTGCAGGAAGCCAGTCGCCCTTGCTTGTGAGAGGGCCTAGCAGCACTACCAGCAGCTTGGAGAAGGTGTGTCAGTCGTTGTTCCAGAAACACTTTGGCAGTGAAGGAGAGGTGCAGAGGGGAGAGGAGGGGGGGAGCAGTGAGGGAGAGTGGGATAGCAAGGGAGGGAGACCGGAGCCGGCGACCAATCAGGGTGAGTGAGTCACCAGATCAGTGGTATAGGGGTCTCAATCCTTGGATTTCAGGAATTGAAACTGTTAATTTGATATACAGGGGTGGTGAAAAGTCCCGGTACGGCTTAATATTTTTTTAACCGTTACAGATCGAGGTTTTTAAGTTGATACACTGTTACTGGGTATAAAACACGATTTAACTAAAACTTCAATGAGCCGTTACCACTTTAGGGGGACGGCCCACAAGGAGTCAGAAGAAAATCTTAAATAGAAGCATAGGTTGATATGCACATCAAATTAAAGGTCTTTGGGTACTATTAGAATACAATTCCGCAAATTTGAAGTCAAATGGACAACCGAGTTGAAAATGGCAGCCGTTCAAAGATTTCTTGAATCTGCCATTTTGAATCTTTGAACGGCTGCCATTTTTTACTCAGTTGTTATTTTGAGCTCAAATTTTCGGCATTGTATTCTTCTAATAAAGCCCTTTAATTTTATGTGCATATCGACCTATGCATAGTTTTTGATTTTCCGAATCCTAATGGGCCCCTGAGAGGTTAGTGTATAAAATTACAAATTCAATGCATCTTTGAATAGCTGTAATTTTGGACTCAGTTGTCCGTTTGAGTTTGGGTTTGCGGCATTGTATTTTACTTACAAAGACATTTAATTTGATGTGCACATTAACCTATGCTTACATTTAAGATTTTCTTCTGACTTCTTGCAGTCCCCCTGAAGTGGTAGGTCATTGAAGTTGTAGTAAAATAGTGTTTTATGCCCAGTAACAGTGTACCAACTTGTATAGGTAAAAATCTGTAATGGTAAAAAAATATTAAGCTGTCCCAGGACTTTTCACCACCCTGTATAGGCTCATAGCTATTTTCTTACACTATTCCTTTTTTCAGACATGCAAATAAATTATTTTTACTTTATTAAGTTAGTATGTTACTTTTCAGCTTTTAAAAAACAACAGTCTAATGAAGAAGAAGAGGATAGAGGAGAGGTCGAGAAGGCAGGAGAAGTAGAGGAGGAGAATGAAAAAGAAGCAGAGAAAGGTGGAGAGAGTGATAACCAGACGTCTCCTGACGGTCCGCACTTGTGTGGCCTCAAATGGCTGTTTGAGCCTGAGAGTGACACCGAGCCCTGTACAACTACAGATAGTAAGTGCTGATCTGGGAAAGAAACTGAATTTATATACCTAATACAATAAGGCTTTTTGTAACGTCCCTTTTTTGCTTGCTCTACTCCTACTGATCTTAAGCTGATCTTTCAGTTGAGTGTTTAACCACAGTCGGATAGTAAAAAAGAGACGGAAAACGGTAGACAGTAAACAGTTAATGGAAATGGATTTTAATTAGTTTAGGAAACTTTTATTGAAAATTGTAATGTGATTGAGGTAGGAAAATCACGCTTTGTCCAAAACGATCCATTGTAGTTTGTTGTGACTACAGCTGTTTTGTGCTTCGCAAGGAGCACATCATCAGGTCTGAAGAATGTCAAGTAGTCATTAAATATTCCTCATGGTGGAGTTCGCCAGAAGTTGTTCATTTAGATTTTGTAATATTATCCTAGTAAAAGATAAGCTGTAGAAAAACAACAGAGTTATCTCATAATTATTTTAGTAAATAAGCCTATGCAGTATTGTGACAGTCTTCTGTAACCTGTGTAAGGCCTAATGATTTCCATATGTTCAGCAGGTGTTCTCAATGAAGTGGTGCCTGCTCCACCCCACTGGCACTACACCCTGGGAGTGTCAGAAACTCTGTCTGACGATACAACCTCAGACACATCTAACAGCCCACCTAACTGTAAGTTTGTTGTTTTTGTTTGGATTAGAATCATCGTATGTTGTTTAATAATTCCCGTTAAATCTTGAGAAATTAATAGCTTTGATGGTTCAAAACTGATTCCAGCTATCTGTGACCAGTGTATATTAAATAAATAGCCTTGACTTAAAAACTCTCCAGTCATATTTAATTGAAAACATGAACCTGAATGTAAAGAACATGAAACCTTTGAGTAGTCTCTATCTAATGTCTAATTAAGCAACTTCATAGGCAGGGGTATAGTCCGTGAAATTGTAAAACCTTAGAAATGAATGAGAATTAGTTGAAAATTTAAGTTGAGTCTTGGTAAAAAAGAGGGTGTTTCGTAATGTCCTAGTTCACGTACTAGCATCATGACTTGGTTTATATTATTATCCGATAATACCTTTATGCATTGTCATAACTTAGCAAGGAATTTTTATATTTTTGTGTTACAAGGAAAATTTTGAAATTAATGGATAGTTTTAGGATTGACTCTTGAGTATCTTAATTGGATTTTAGATTAGTAAATTATAAACTTGTAAATATTTTCTTTGTGATTCCTTAACATAACTTAACTCATTCACAAACCACGTCCACAGGTCACAGGTGTATTTACCTCTTCAGCATTGTGTTCATAATGGTCATATGTTTTAGTTGAACTATCAACTTTAATTTTATATTGTTTGTTGTCAGATATGAGGTCGAAGCGGAGGGATGATTCAGGAAGTTCTACCAACACGACAGCAAGCGTAGACAACGAGGGTGCTCAGCTGTTAGAAAAGCACACCACTAGGAGCGGTGAGTGGATCTGCTCTTGTACTTAGTAAATAAGTTGTTGTAGAACACCTCAGTCAAATGCACCCAGAGGCATACAAAAATAGTGAAAATACAACAATTCACATAGAAACCATTTATAAAGATAAAAAAACCATTTATCAATTTACATTCTGGTGTTACTGTGAGTGTTTTTTACAAGTGGATGCTCTTGAAGTTTCCTTCTGGGGCAACTACAAGATTTGTATTGGGGGAAATTAGAATTACAGTAAGATAAGTGCACTTTGTGTGAAGAAACACTTTCTTTGTGAAAAGATTTTGCTTATCCACCCCTGAATTTGAACCTCAAAATCCAATATGTTTTTAACATTGAGTAATGGTATTTTCAATTAAATTTATAATCACTTTGTTACATATAATTGGTTTGTCTCCAGCATGTTGGAATATGTTATGTTTGTCACTGAAAAATTCTCTATGTTTTAAAATAAGCTTAATGAAAAATAATGACATAATAAAAAATTTATATGAGTGCTAATTAATACTAGGCTACTAGTCAGAAACCAGGACAGTTAGTTTAAACCAGTATTATTAGTTTATTAGTGCTCATCCTATTTACACTAGACTCTGTACATATACATTATACTATGAATTGTATATCTACATTGACCTGGCCTATTGTATGACATGTACTTAATGGCTATAAACTATTCGAATTTGAGTGATAATAATTCAACATAATAAAGCAGTAGCCACTAAATTGTACACAAGTCAGACTTATAATCAGTTAAATGTGTCATTTAATTAAGTTAATTATTTAAATGAAAACACTTTAACATAAAGATTGTACTTAAAATCCAGGTAAGTATTGTTCTTATAAGATTGCAGCAACTCTGTTAAAAACAAGGTTTTGTAAAGGTTTCATGGTATAACATATAAACTATTGTTTAGGCCCAAGTGAGAAGAGGAAACACAGTGGAGAGGCGACTGGCGAGGACCAATGGCGATCCAAGAGGAGTCAACAGCTGGAGAGAGGTAACAGAACCCCTGTCACGGCAAACCTGCCCACTAAACTAACTCTAACTGCTTTGTTGGGTTCTTATTAAAACTGTTTCATAATTAATGAAAGCAGCATAGCTGATATCATTTGCTAAAGGTCCAGGATCTAATATCACCAATCGCCATCATGGATAGTTAGCTTTTATCCATATAACAATGCTAGTGGTTTGGAGTCTACCTTAAACTGTACTTCACTACATTTATTGTGAAGATTCTACTGACTAACATGGTGTGTTGTAGGAGAAGCGTTGGACACAGCTTCTGGTGGAGTCAAACCTGACGACATCAACAACAACAAGGATAATGAGCAGTTTGGACGACAGAACAGCTCCTCATCTGGGTATGTTATACTTACTGGCTACTGTGGATCACAATATTTGTTTTGAAGAAATATAGTTAAGCTAACTTGATATATTTTAAGGGCTTTTTGATACACAAAAGTCTTATAACAGAACACAGATTTTTTTCGTATTGTTGGACTTCTTAGGAGAATCATGCTGTCTTGAATCATTATGTTTTTTATAATTGATTCAGCCTAAAGAACCAGCTAGGATCAGTAACAAGGCCATTATAATATTTATTCAATACTTAATACAGCTACCAAATATGTTTTTATTTGACTGCACCCCAATTGTAAGTACTTGCGCAATATGAGTTAATCATAGTAATTGTGATTGGTTTGTAGGTCCAACAATGAGCTCAGTTCGCTGCTGCCCCCTGCCACTCCCCTGCTGGCCATGTTCCTGTCTACCCGCCAGGCCCCCCCGCCTCACCCCCTGCCGCTCCACCCACCCGTGGCAGAGCCTGACCCCCCGTCAAGAGCTGACGGACGCAGCAGCCGCAACCGCCATCGTCGCCTCAAACGGTCCACTCAGACACACAGGTCAGTAAATTGAGTCGATGATATAGAGAGTAAACCAATATATTTTGTCGAATTCATAAATTGGTTTCTTTCTAACAGTTTTGTTTCCAACAAAATAATTAGAATCAATAATTCAGAGATTCATGAGTTGGTTTTTGATACACAACCAGGAACGGCTACTGTTTATTTCACATTATTATAGGCTACTAACATAAATGTCAATAGACAATTCTTAGTAGTCCTAAATCCTCATTAGGTTAAGAATGCTAAGTGTAAAGTGTATTCTTTCACGTTTTTGTATTAACTCCTGAAGTAATTAATATGTTTATTTTTTAATTAATAATGCAGCAATATGTTTCTCACTGGGCAACCTTGTTGAGTGTCTCTGGAAAAAGTATTAGTAGAAAATCTTAAAAGAACTTATCAAACCTTAACATTCACCTAATTGAAGATGTACTTAGTAAACCATAAACCAGTTAATTTTCCATTAATTAATGTTGAGAGTCATATGGTATGTTTTTAGGATGGCTCGTCCTAGAGAGAGGCAAAGTTTACCATCCACCTCTACCCAACCTCCACAAAGCTCCATCCAGCTGGCAGCTCTGATCAGTGGAACACACCTTGCCTCCTCTCACGACGACACCAGCGAAGGAGCCGTCCATGTGTTCCGAGATGAGAACGGTCAATGGATGACTTACACGTTTGATGAGAAGGGTCTCGGAACTGCCAACCCTCACAGGACGGCTCCCAACAGTAGGAAATTGTTACACTCCATCCTGCGCAGACACAACAGTCAGTCGGAGAACAACTGGTTGGACAACTGGGAGTGGCAATGTCCTGAGTCCTTGAGTGACTCTACAGTGTCTGTGGGTGGAGACTGTGGACAGAACACAACGACCACAGTATCACAGGTCGCACCTTCCCCTGTCAGACCTCTGCCTTCCATCCCCTCACAGTCATCCTCACAGCTGCACCAGCTGCATCAAAGCAGTAATGGAGTCTACTTGCTGGAAACGGTCGCCACACATATCCTCAACAACCCCAACAGAAGAGCTTTCCACCAAGTGTTTTCGGAAGCAATGGCTGAACGTTGTGTGCAAACTAGGTCGAGCCCAATTATATCTAGATCGCACCACTACAATATCGGTGCAATGTCGCTGTCTATGAATCCTTATTACGATCAAGGGATGAACTCTTTCGATTACCCCAACCCCATTGTCCCTGTGCCGCCCCCCTCCAGCTCGCAAGGGGAGACTGACACGGATATCACGCTTACTAGAAGTAGGTTTAGGTTTATGGACTCTGTTGATATCGGCCTCCCTGAATGTCCGAAGACTCCTAGAAGATATTACAAGTATAAAATCTCACCTTGTTCTTATATCAAAGTTAGACTAGATCGGTTAGCTCTCTTGGCCCTTTTAGATAGGAATCTAACGATGACTGAAATGTTACTCTCTTTGTTCCTCGCTGTTCTAGTTTCGTGCTTAGGAGCTATCTTGTTGAATTTAGGGTTTTATAGGGATGTCCCCGCTTTTATATTTTGTTTTGTTATCGCTAGTTGTCAGTATTCGTTGATCAAAAGCGTTCAGCCCGACGCCGCGTCTCCGACTCACGGGTTCAATAGAATAGTAGCGTTTTCAAGACCCGTCTTCTTCTGTTTGTGTAGTGCCTTGGTGCTCTCGTTCCATTATGCGGCCCTGGCCACTAACAGAGAGTTCACTTTCTACGGCGTGTTAATTAGAAGTAGTGAATTGCTCAACTTAATGAAAGACTGTCTTTCCACTTTTATCCTGTGGTTTCCTCTACTGTTCAGCTTGGGACTGTTCCCTCAAGTCAACACATTTGCGATGTATCTACTAGAGCAGATAGACATGCACATATTTGGAGGGAACGCCACTTCTTCTCTCACAGCAGCAGTGTATTGTGTGTTCCGTAGCTGCCTTGCTGTAGTCGCTCTTCATGGGTTCGCCTACGGAGGTCTCAGTGAAGTCAAGTCCACCCAACATATCTTGTTCTCAATCTACTGCGGACTGCTGATGGCTACATCGTACCACCTTAGCAGAAGCAGCAGTGATCCCATTCCTATTTGGAACATATTGAAAACTCACTTATGGCCCGGAGAAGAAGAATTACAAGAAGCACAAATTCGGAAGAAGGAAACAAGAGTGAAGTATCCACGTGATAAACGACATAAGAAGCCAGACACAAAAAGTCATTCGCACACTGTAAACATACCTTCCACCGATAAGAAGGAAAATGCAGAAGAGAACAGTGAAGAATTAGTAGATCCGTTACCTAGTAAACTGCAGAGAACTGTCAACTGCAGGTTGAAGTCTGACCTGATTATATGTACCGTAACTGCAGTCTTTGTGTTTGGCATTCACTGCAGCACTGTCTTCTCTGCTCTGCAGCCTGAACTTAATCCTGTAAGTTTACAAGTTGTTTTAACCATTGAAAAAAACCATATAGTTGGCATAGATAGTTCGTTATACCATATACCAAAAGAAATACACAGTTCTTTATTCATTTTTAGATCCTCTTATGATGTAATCCTGTTGGGCAGTCCTCCCCACAGTAAAAATAGTAACCGTAAGAATTTTAGCCAAAAATCATGCTCTTCCTGGTTTTTTTATCAAATGCTACTGTTAACAGAGTTGAGAGTAAACAGTCTAGGATTTGTTAAGAAATACTGTGTGATTAAGAAATATATCAGCATTGTAATTTGTGTGTTGTCAATGGCTGTGAGAAGGACAATCTACAGCTACATTCCTCAAATAATCAGTTACAGTAGAACCTCTCTAATCTGTCACCTTTGGGACCGGGAGCATGGTCGGATTATCAGAGGAATGTATTTATTGACATTTAAACATAGTCAAATTGTATTTTGAACATACCACGGAAAACTGAAAAACACGGTTAATCCAACATGACATAAAACAGTAATTTCTAACTCATAAACAACGCCTAATACTAACTGTATAAATGGACTTTAATGTGATAATTTGCATATTACATCATCAAAATACAATTAGTAGGCTACTGCACAATCATGATGATTAAGTTAAGTCATTAACCTTGGTCCAGAAATAAAAACGTTTACTCAAGCAAGCAAATTGCCAAACATTGTACGGCAAAATAAAGAACAGAACAATAGAAGTCTAGTAAGCTACTGCTAGTCATAGGCTACAGCTATGCTGGTACAGGACAGAAGAATGTCAATAAAAACATTAAATAACTCATATAAAAGTACACATAAAATAATAGTAGCCTACTTATAGATGATAACAACAGTCGTAAAATACACCGATAAAGATAACAATGACATAATAACATCGCTTATTCTTTCTCTTTGTTCTTCTATTCTTTCTAGAGTTTCTCTTCTTATCCATCCATGCAACAAGTTGCCATGGTTACTAATCACCCAATCACAGGCTACAAAAGTTCTCATGGTTACCAAATACCCACTCACAAAATGTTGTGACATAGCAAGCGCACAGCAGACAGTATCATCATAAAACAAAAATCATCATAAAAATAGTTAAATATATATTGTTTTATTTTTAATGTTTCAGTGATACTGGGATGTTTGGTAAATAAATAAGACGGTGCATATGGGTTAAACCTTTTCAAATGTTTGTGTGAATAATCATGGTGTTGTTTGTGTAGGTATTGTGGTGTGTGACCACCTGTGTGGGTTTACTGTTGCACTATGTCATGCCACAGTTGAGGAAACAGTTGCCTTGGCTGTGTATTGCTCGTCCCGTCCTCAGATCTCACGAACACTCACAGTTTGAGGTGCGCGACGCTGCCAAAGTCATGTGGTTTGAGAAGGTATGCACAGTTGTGTTAGGTTTGTAGATTAGGTTAGGGGGTTGAAATGTTTTGTTCTGATCTATTTTCTGTTTTTGGGTGCTCTAAACATGAGCTTAGTAGTTACAGAAATGTTCTTGAAACTCAGAACAGAATACCCCCTACAACTGATGGAATTGTAAGTTTTAATCTTTACGTTATGAATCATAAGAAAGAGCTTTGCAGTACATATTGTTTTTAAATAAAAGCCACTCGGCCGTTTAAGGAATATTTTCAAAACTAACCCGCTTAACTGAAAAATCAAGAGTCCAGGGACTCACACAACATTACTCTATTATATGGTCCTAGTGTTGATCTTCTCTTCTTAAGAAAGCAGATTGTCCTGATCAAGGACAAAATATCTTTTTAACTCTCAACTAAGCTAATGAAACTGTAACTCTTCTCCAAATAAAACTAAAACTAGACTACAAGTAAGTCAAAGTTACAGTATAGCATTAAATTTTTATTTTTGAACTCTTCACATTTTTGTCGAGTAATTTTCTAAATGTTCACACTTCACTGGTATTACTACTATACTGTTACAAACACATGTCTGTTTCATAGCTGTATGTGTACCTGTCTTATCTGGAACGCAACATACTTTACCCTGTGGTGTTCCTGGCTTGTCTCACCACGGACTCGCCCGTCATCGTACGCAAGTTTGGCCCGTACGTTGCATCAGTGATTATCACTGTTTGCGCTCTCAAGTGTCTACGAAGCACTTTCTCCCATCCTCCCCTGCAGTACCTCATCACGGCCTTTGCTGTTCTCTTCTTCCAGTTGGACTATGCGGCCGCTAGTGAAACTTTTCTCATAGATTATTTTATCACCGCCATCGCCTTCAGTAAAACCTACGAATTCTTTTGAAGGTAAGAACCAAAAAATGTTGTTGTAATTTTTTTTAAATTCTTCAACTAGGGGTGTGCGATGCAGCATATTTTTTTCGATTCGATGCATCGATGCGATTCAAAGAATTTCGATTCGAATCAATGCGATTCGATTCGATGCAGCACGGCATGATTTTCTTCAAAAATTTAATACAACATGTGTTTTTGTAATGGATCCTTTACCTTAAAAAAAAGTTAAAGTAAAAAATGTACTAAATAAAATTATGAACAAGAGGATAGTTGCTGACCAAACCTCATTAATGGACATTGGACACTGCTAATTTTATGGTTGGCCTAAGGAAATTCACCCTTCACTAACAATTAGAATAAGCCTATATATCAATAAAGCAATCGTTAAGTTTATTACTATTGACCTGTATTAAATAAAATAGAGTTTTATTTTTTGACGTATGGTAGTATTGTTACTTAGTTTTCACATTTATATTTGTTGGCTTTCAATACTTCTGGTTCATTCTTAAATCAGCACGAACCAAAAAAGTTGATTATCAGTGTTTACTGTCTATTTTAGTGATGGTCGGATCCGGATATCGTACTACCGGATCCGCCGGATCTGAGCTAGAACCGACGCCCGATCATATCCACAAAAAATCGGATCTTGGCTGGATCCGGTTTTAATGGATCCAATTTTATTTATACTATTAACACAAAATGGACGAGTATTCGAGATTTTGAGTTTGAGTAAAGTACAATATAGAAATAAGCAAGAGGTAGTTGTCCTAACCTATTTTTATAGCTGTCACGACAGAATAGGTCAACTCAAAGCAGTCGCCGGCGACTGACTGGCAATGGCAATGGTATACTGACTTGACACAGAATAGAATGACATGACCGGTAGTGATTTTGTTTTAAAGTAGGCCTACTGTTTCACAATAGAAAATTTCACTACTGAACTACGTAAGCAATAAATTTATGTTTATAAAAGTCAGAATAGAAACACTATAAAGGCAAAACAATAGACGGGAGGCAGGCGTTGTGCAATGACCTTGAAATGAGCGGAATAGTAACATTGAGTAGGGGAAGGGAAGGGTGAGACCTTTGAGCTATATTTAGACTAGACTTTCACCACTTCCCAAATGGCTGGGTACGGGATTACAATAGCAGGTTTTTTCCTTGCCTGGTTTGACTTTTGTCTTTTTGTGTAGGAGATTTGAATAATCAAAAATATAATTTGAATTGACCACAATTATTTAGCATTGATAATGCAATTTGCAAGGGACCAGGAGGAAATAGAACAAAACACTAAAATTAATAGAATAACAAACAAAGTAAACAACAAATTAAATACAGAACACGGTGATTTAACACTGTCACTGTCACTCAATTTTGTTGTCTAGAAGGGTCAGTGAACTAATCAATAAATAGCCAAAACCAGTTTCCTCCCCCTCTAACCACCACCCCTCCCCCCTAAGCCGGGAGGCCCAACACTTTGTCCTTGAAACACCCTAGCCTCTGAAACAATAAACCCTTACACCTGCGTTGCTGTTTTGACAACAGGTTTATGAATGTGTTCACTATTTTTCATTTTCCAGAATTAACTATCAATTATTATTATTTGCAAGTTACAAATAGGAAACTACATGACATTATGGTACCTATTCAATGACCCATGTATTATCAAAAATTTATAATTGATTACTTATTTTGATAATAAAAAGCATTCATTACAGCACGCAGCACTTATTTATATATATATATATATATATATACTGTATATATAATCATCAAAGTATCTGTTACTTTATACAAAATAAAATAGGTACAAAATTGTGTGGCCAGTCAAAATTTATAAACAAACATTTTATTCTATAAAATACAGATGGTAAATAGGGGTTGGTTTAAAGGAAATAAAATACAAAACAGATTAATTAATTATTTTGATAAACGATAGAAAGGTTATGGGATTGATTGAACTAAAATAACCACAGGGAATCTTAAGTAGAAAAGTCGTCAACCACAATCTGTTTAATCAGTACATCGTTAGAGAGAGAGGGGAGGGGGGAGAGAGAGATAACAGATAGGGGCGTTTGATAGGGAATCTGAAAAAGTAAACAAACAAGGAACAACGACGCGACAATACTCGTTTATAACCTTATTGTCAAATCTAGGTCTTTGTAAGACAAAAGAAAATCACACCGTTTTAAACTTTAACCTAATTTTATACTCTTTACAAACAAACACGTCCTACATAACGGTTCTTGATATTTATCAATGTATCTTAGCAATCGTCACTTGCTCCATTGAAACACGAACGTCGATTGGCTGACATGACAGTGCAGCGTGGCCTCTCGACCAATGAGAACTCTTGTTACATACTTTGATTTATCTTAGATGGTCAACATTTACCATTCATTATAATATTACAAAATCGACATGGACTATGCGTATGGTGTTTTTCAATCAAAACTTATGTTATAGTAGCACTTAAAACTTCACTTAAACTCTTAAACTAGGTAGATAGTACAGATATAATATGGATCTACTTTTTGGTGCAATAGGCAAGTGCAAGCCTAACCCTCTGACTTCGATGTTGTAATTGAATCGAATTTTTCTAATGATGCGTAATGCAGGGATGAAACTGAACATTAAGACAAGTTTAGGTTATTTATTTTGTTCTAAAAATAAAAATAATACATTTAAAGATCTGACTTATTGATACAGACATTTTTTAGTATAATTTCGTGTTGAGGACACTCGCGCGCCGGTTGTCTGAGACTGAATTCTGACTGTCTGACATCTTGAAATGTAGATTGTATTGTGTTGTGCAATATCATCTGCCTGCAGAGAGAACAGCTGAAAATAAACTTTAGCTGTTTTGAACTAAATAGTGTGCTAAGTTGGTTACTAAAGTTGTTAGCGTGATTACAAAACTAATAGATATCAAATAAATAAATGTTAAAATAAAATATCTATCCATCCCTGTCGGCTGTCGGTATCGGCGGAATCGGGCGAAATCGATGTTTGGCAATCGATTCTTGATACCGATATTCCTAGTATCGGCAATGTCCGAGTATCGGTGGTAGCGATAATTGACACTTGACTAATGACAATTGACATCTAAAACTCATTTTGGATTCCTGAATTAGTTTTAAATATGCATCGGGACGTAATCGTTGCATCGGGAGCTAACCGATGCATCGGTCTTTTTCGATGCATCGAGGCCAAATCGATGCATCGTGATTTCGATGCATGCTGAATCGAATCGCGATTCGATGCATCGAATCGAATCGAAATTTCGATGCATTTTCGATGCATCGCACACCCCTATCTTCAACCAAACATTGACTAAGTTAACTTAGTTAAATATTGCTGGTTCAGCTACTAGTTATTTTCTTATCACTCCAGTGACCTCTGGTTATCTCATGAGACTTATGCTATAATGATACTACATTGTGGATCTTTGGACATATTCAATTCAATTTAATTCAAATATCTTTATTCAGTTTTATGTATATTGTACAATAATTAGTGTCAAAATAATCACACAGTTTCAACATGATAAAAACAGCACAATATGAGGAATGATTATAAAAACAACAAATACATATTATAAATCTAGTAAGATAAGTCAACTATCATAGCGACTTTGTCAGGTGTAAAAATCTTTAAAGGAATAAATTGCTAAATTTATTAAAAAAACTCTTTCAATCTTTTTTTAATTTGTTTGGATCTATTTCTTTTTTAATATTATTTGGAATAAATTTAAAAAATCTATTACCTACATAAGAGGGTTTCTTTAAAAAAAAAATTAGTCCTGTGTGGTTGTATATTTTCTTTCGTTCTTATCTCTAAAATTTTAAGAATAGGAATTTTATTTTGGTTCTGAATTTACTTCTTGTGTTTTTGCTAGTATTTTTTATTCATATATACTGCCTGTAAACAGTAAAGATTTTTAGGTCCTTAAAATGTTCTTTAGCTGACTCATCACGCTGCAACTTAAGCATGATTCTAACCGCTATTTTTTGCTCCTTAAAAATTCTATCTAGATAAATTTTTTTTGTTTTTTAGTGCTATGTCAAACGAGATATATATGCCCCTGCATGTGGTTTAGCCTAAAAACTGTTACCAACAAATGACCACTTTGAAGGCCCGCAAGTCCCACATTATTTCTCCGAATCATTTACTTACTACACATTTTTATTTCTAATTTATTACCATATCAAAATAAAATAAATTTTTGAAAATTAATTTTTTGACCGAAAAGCCTTAACACGTTGGCGGCAGCACGTCAAATGGTGGGCGTATCCCCAGTGCGACGCAGCCCTAAGCGTCGAACAAACCCGATTGCCGTGTGTGATTGGCTTTCCAATTTTGGTCTGACGAATAGCAAATAACAAGCGAGGATGTCCTGCTTTACAACGAGAGTTGACCTAGTTCGCTAAACACCCACAGATAGCAGCAATGCTTGGAACGTAGCCGGTCCCATTGGAATTGTATTGCCAAATGGAGGGAAAAAGGCAGGACAAAAAGTAGATTTATGAGATTGCCAGACGGCGATTTTACGGGGAAATTTACTACCAACCTACACCACAACAATATACAGTATACTATTGAGCAGTGCTGTGCGAGGTTTCAAGTTTCTAGCTCTAATCCTGGCTTAAAAATAAATCATTTCGTACTGCATTGCAGCTTGAGAGCGATCGCACCCACCAGGATAGCATTAGGGTTTTGTATGGGAGCAATTGCTCCCATGCCGACGTGAACGAGTTAAGCAGTGATGGCTTAGAAAAACTTGCAGTAATGTACTGCAGGAAATTTGTAAAATCTCAAATGAAATTATTTTCCTTGAGTTGATATTTCACTGCAAGCAATTTTATGTTTACATTGAAAATGGTTAAACAAAGTGCAATTTTGTTGTAAAACCACATAATGGTTATGCCTGTTGAAATGAAGGATTTTCATTCAACTCTTGCTGATTTCACAGGTCCAGTTTGTGGTGACGTACATCGCTCCTTGGCAGATCACCTGGGGCTCTGCCTTTCATGCTTTTGCTCAGCCGTTCTCAGTGCCTCACTCCGCCATGATGTTTTTGCAGGCTGCCATATCAGCTGCTTTGTCAGCCCCCCTCAACCCCTTCCTAGGTAAGTAGTAAACCTCTGGACTTGTGTAGCTTCTATGTTACTTAAAAATTTAATGTAAGACTATAAGACAAATCAATAAATTGTCAAGCAAATTTGATGTAGTGTAATGATTGCAAATAAGCAACAGATTGCGCAGTTTAATAGGATTCAAAACTTGTTTCTGATGCAAAATGGATCTAGTGCAATACCCATTTACCTTTTAAAGTTTAAAGATTACCGTATGTTTAAAACAGTTGTAAGAAATTTGAACAACTAATTTACAATAAATTTATTGATTGTAGATCTATACTACAGTGATTTACCTACCTCAATTAGGCCACAATTGTAAAAAAGTAGCCTATATAAATACATAAACTGTATGTTTCTGGTTTACAATCTGAGTGTGGTTAAACATTCAATTGAAGGAACAGTTGTTAAATTACAATTCACATCTAAACTATTATAATAGAAAGTTCGTCAGCAATACTGGATCTTTAAAAAATTAAATGCTAGGGGTCAAAGCCTTAAACAAAATCACGTTTTACGTTACCATTTTTTACTCTGCTTGACCATAAGCCAATAAAAAACCTTATTGTATTAAGTATATAGAATTGGAACTAATGTTTATTTTCAGATGGCAATACGTTAGTTCCACTATTTTAAGAAAGTGTCTGTGTATTTAAATGGAGGTTATTAGGCTGGATGATGTGTGATTTGTGTTAATTAACAGGCAGCGCAGTGTTCCTGACGTCGTACGTGAGACCAGTCAAGTTCTGGGAGAGAGATTACAACACAAGGAGAGTGGATCACTCCAACACTCGGCTGTCGTCACACTTGGAGCGTAACCTCGGCGCAGACGACAACAACCTCAACTCAATCTTCTACGAGCACCTCACTCGGTCTCTGCAGCACTCGTTGTGTGGTGATCTCATACTCGGTATGTTTCACCTGTGAACTATTTAATTTAAGTGATTGTCATCAGAGCTTTTATTCATTTTGAGCTTAAAGGTAAATCCTGATTTGTTTTAATGTACCAAGTAGATTCAAGTAGTCCTGAGAGTTTATTTTCATAGCTTGGTTATTGCAACAGTGAAGTCTGTGATGCACAGATAAAGTGAAATGAAGAGTAAAATAAAATGCCCAAGCTCAAGTTTTGTTCAACTGATTTAAAGTTGCCTTGTCTTTCACAAATACCAAATTGCATTGGCGCCTGGCGGGTAGTTTTATCCTTCTTACGTAGGCTAACCTACAAAACAAAGAGATTAGTGTAAAATGTAGAAGAAGGTTTGTGTATAATTTTATGGATGTTGATTAATGTTCTTTACTTGGTTAGCAATTAATGCTATTTAATATAACATCTAACTTAGTAAGAAAACTAGAGTTTTCACTGTTTCATTAAAAACAAATTTTTAAAAATGGTAAAAATTGCTAACACTGTTGAGAGCTACAGAAATAAAACTAATCTAAATAGAAAAGAAAACCAGTAACAATTTGCAAGGTTACATGTGATTACCAATTTGCTTGTTGACTTACCAGAAAATCGAATCACCAATTCTCACCTATTTCGAGTATAGTTTGGCATATAGTTCAGTTGTTGTGGTGGACTATGTTGAACAAACAATATAGTTTATTCTTTATAGTTGAAATTGTGTCACAAAATAGAATATAAACATTTCTGTTGACCCCAGGACGCTGGGGAGCTGTCGCTCAAGGAGACTGTTTTGTGCTGGCGTCAGACTACCTCAACTGTCTGGTGCATATCATAGAGTTGGGGAATGGACTAGTCACCTTCCAGATGAGAGGGCTGGAGTTCCGAGGCACTTACTGCCAACAGAGGGAGGTGGAAGCCATCTCTGAAGGGGTGGAGGACAATGAAGGTATTGTACAACTCTGAATCAGGTAGTTGTAAAGAAAATCATAAAATGGGGATACGATTTTATAAAAATCAAATAAATTCTAGTTGTTTTTTTAATGATATATTTTAGTTTTTACCTTTAATGTTTTAAATTACAGTTGAATTCTACTATACCCTTAGCAATATAGGAAGGCCCATGAACATAATTGTACTTTACCTGGCGTTCAGGCGCCCTCCCATATTGCTAAGAGTATAATTCTGATTTTACTAATACAAAAAATTGTCTAATCCTATTAGGATTTGGGAAGGTGTTTTCGTTAAAGGCTCTAGGCCATAATAGCTTTGATTTAGTTTTTGATAGGAATAACAGGCCTACTTGTACATTGGGCGAGTCTTCGTAATAACAAACACATTTATGAAAAATCTTCATTCATGTGTGCAAAATTATGTATACACTGTTTGCAATCTTCCTTTATTTGTGATTGATGAAGTGTTCAGTAACCCAATAAACTCGAAATATTTAAATTTTGTGTGTGTATAAATGTGTTTCTTGTAGGGATGGTCAAGTCTCGAAATTTCGGGAAATTTTCGGGAAATTTTCAATCCCGTTACACGAGACGAGATTACTTTTTGGCCGAGATTTTGATCGAGACGAGAATAAAAAAAAAAAAAAAAAAACAAAAAAAAAATTAAAAACGCCTGCAGAAAGTCAATGCAATACCCGCAATACAGGAGCGTGTTGTAGTTGCGTTTCCTTTTCGAAGGCGTTCTTATTTAATTAATTCTTTTAATGTAAATATTACTTTAATTCTTTTAATGTAAATATTACTTTCATTATTTTAATAATATTACTTTAATAACATTTGAGAAGTTTTGTTAAGTGTAAGCAGTGTGAGGAATGTTTTATTACTATAAAAAAAGTCAAAACAAGTAACTATTTTATAAAAATTAATATTGCTTTTATTTTATGATTTATTTTATTTTAGGATAAGTTGAACTCTATCCTAACTGATATCACCATGTTTCCTAATCGTAGGCATTTTTAATAAGTTAGGCGTGATTAATAAAAAAATGTTATGCTGATGTTATTTAATGAAAGATTGTACCTAAATATTCTTGCCTATTATCATTATTTTAGTATTTAAACAGTCATCTAACAATGTTACAAAATCAGGTAAAAATTTCGAACGTGCATTTCCCGTTGTGTATGAGAAGAGAAATCTCGTCTCGATCTCGTCTCGAAATTTTATGAGAAATAAAAAATCTCGTCTCGTCTCGTCTCGAACTAAAAATCCAATCTCGTCCATCCCTAGTTTCTTGTTGAGTAGACTCACCTACTGTGCAGGTAAGCCTGGTTTTCCATCAAAACCAAAACCAAATCTAGGACTAGGAAAGGAATAGTCAAAACTACTCAAATTGTGTCAATTTATACCTCTGAGCACAGACACACAGTGCAGTCCTCCTAACTGTTTACTACAATGTGTGATTTATACCAATTCTTTGCACAGTATTATATGATAGAACTCCATTATGCACTGAGAATTTGAATTATTAGACTGTATGAATGATAATCTGTTTCCCAATTGACAACATTACTTTTATGTGCTGCAGGTTGCTGTTGCTGTGAGCCTGGACATCTGCCACACATGTTGAGTCTCAACTCTGCGTTCTCACAGCGTTGGCTAGCCTGGGAGGTGACGGCCACCAAGTACGTTTTGGAAGGCTACAGCATATCCGACAACTCGGCTGTGTCCATGTTGCAAGTCTTTGACTTCCGCAAAGTTCTAGTCACTTACTATGTAAAGGTGAGTAAAGTAGAATTTCAACCCTCAAATACGCTGTGTATGCATTTTGTATCTCGCTAACGATTATGTTATGTCCCCAGTAGCAAAAAGATTTGGCTCGCCTTTAAATACAAAGGTTGCCAGGTTGATACCGATTACAGTGTAAACTGGGCCCAGTGGTTGCCTTTTTTCATTGTTAGTTGACTATGCCTAGCTTGAGTTTTGACCACTTACAAAAAGAGTAAATTCCTCAAGTAGTCTTAACTATCATTATAATCATTGATATAATTAATTGTCTTCCATGTTTGATGATAGCCTCTTTCATCGTAGGCTTTAGATGAAGCTCCTGCTCTTCTGCTTGCTGTTTATCTGTCTATATTAGCTTCCATCTTATATTTTGCCATTAATTTATTTGCCACACAACTGTTTTTTTCTGCCAATTTTTCTCCTAAACAAGATTATAGCCACTCTTCATCCATAATTTTTAAGTGAACAAACTATAGTTTTTTAGTGTCAATAATGATAGTTTATCAATCTTAATCAATAAATGAAGTGTCGTGTTCTATTTGTAACGATTTGTCACATGTTCATTGGTTTTCCAGAGTATTATATTCTACGCAGTAGATTCACCTTGTTTGGAGAAGTGGCTCGCATCGCCTGTTATTCTGGAAGCTCTCCAGCCGTACTGTGATAGGAACTTTGTTGACTTGGATCCAGTCTTTAACATGAACATAGACGAAGACTACGACTTTCGAGCTGCTGGGATCACACGGAACTCATTCTGCAATATCTACTTTGACTGGATCCAGTATTGTGTGGAAAAGCGAACTAAGGTATGGATGGTTTTGTTTAACAAAAGACTATATGCCAGTATTTTGATTTGTAGAATAAATGGATTGCTAGCCTACCTTAGTAGTTAGAAATACAGGTCGGGCTTAAAACCAACGGAAGTCACAGAAAATGCACAATATTTTATACCCTGAAGGTAACATTTCACTCAGTAATAAATTTGTCAATTTAACAATTTTTTAAATAAAAATTGACTGAACTGTATCTAAATTAAAAACACTTGTGTTAAATAGGTACCTTGTTTTTTTTACCGGAAACTAATTTTGAGGTATTTGATCCAGTGTTGAATATTGCTGAATTTGTTTTCATTTTAGAGTTGTTAAACCTTTATAGGTATGGATTTGACTTGATACATTAAAAAACGTAATATACTTGACATAATTTTAATGTGAGTGCTCACGTAAAATGCTTAAAATAAAAAATTCCACTGAGAAACTGCAATCATTTATCACAGCTACAGAGCAGGGACTGCTGGGCAATGAAATGTTACAATAGAAAGAAATGGATGTGGCTAAACGTTTGTGATGTGTATCAAATTCACCTGTAAGGTCAATGATCTAAGGTCAATGTTTATAAGTTTTTTGAAAATGTTTTATTTTTAATAATTTTGTTGATAGCCTCTCGCAGACAAAGGCAAGGATTCCACATTGGTGTCTCTGTGTTTTGCTCTCAGTCTGCTCGGAAGAAGATCTCTTGGAGCTGCTTCTCATAACACTCTTTCAAGGTAATTTAAATATTGATCACAAAGCATTCATTAGTTAACATTAGAGTGGTTGTGATCCATATCAATACCCTCTTTGGTTATTTATTGTTGAATCATAAAAAACTAGCCTGGACATAAGTTTTGACACACAACTACAAAGGCTGCAAAGCATCACAAGGCTAGTCTGCAAATTAAAAGTAAAGTCAGTCAGCAAGTCAGCACTCTACTTCACTTTTAACCAAACGAAAGGAAATTAATTTAAACAATAAATACAACTCGAAACCAATGCAAAAGTAAAATATATTTATGTATAAAAAATAATACATCATAGTTGATTGAAGAGAAAATCAAATCTAGCTTAAAAGCAGGAAAGGTTGGCCAAATGCCAGTTTTAACTTTCCCTTGGTTGTGTTTCAGTGTGGACTTCTTCCTCTATGGTCTTCATGCTTTATTCAAGGGTGACTTCCGCATCACCTCAGTCAGAGATGAGTGGATATTCTCAGATATGGATTTGCTTGAAAACGTTGTGGCTCCTGGAGTCAGGATGTCACTGAAGCTGCACCAGGTATGTGTATTTTCTTATTGTATATTTATTTAGAATGTTAGTGAGGTTAGCAGGCTTGCCTGGATGGGAAAGAGTCCAAACTGGTACAAGAAACTCAAAACTTGACACTTTATAAAAACAAAAATTAGAATATTTTATTTCACTGTCACTGACAGCTTTAAAAAATACAGCTGAGTTTTTAATATTTTGTATGCCAATAATGGATTTATTTCTTTAGTACTTTACATGTTAATATGTTTACATGTTCCCGGTTTGAATTGACTTTATTCTATTTGTCCTCTTATGCCCGGTTCCTTAAGGGTCAGTAAAGGGAGGGTGTAATGTACATTGGTGATGGTCAAAACTAGCAATTTCTAATCTCGAAGATGAAACAAAACTTAAATAAAATCCTGTATCTCAAAACCTAAACGCGTCACTTTTACACTTTTCTGGTTAAGTTTACCCAAAAAATATAGGTTTAGGTTATAATGCATAACGTTTATTATGCAATCAAACTGAATGAAGTTGGATTTCTGACCCTAAAACAGCAACATGAATATGTTGTGACCATTACACTTGAAACTTAAAAAGCTTAATTTTCTTTAAGCAACTAACACTAAAATAAATTAAATTCCTGGCACTGACATCAAAAATATGAATAAATTTGAAGTGGTGAAGTTTTAATTCACGAAACCTGCCGATCGAATTTTGAAACCGAAACTAAGTTTTGGTGGTTACCAGATATGAGATTCAGTGTTGACACATCATTAGCCTTCATTGTTCTTTTTCACATATTGTCAAGTACAGCCAGCTGTTAATTGTTATAGTTAATTTATTCTATCATGTTATTTATTCAGTTAAAACTTGATGGGGTTTGCAGGACCACTTCATGTCACCTGATGAGTACGAGAACTTGTCAGCTTTGTATGACGCCATCAAGATGCACCATGAGAACCTGGTCATCTCACACGAGGGTGACCCTGTGTGGCGCAACGCAGTGTTGGCTGGCACCCCCTCCCTGCTGGCCCTCAGGTAGGTGGACTGGTGCCTAAAGCAGTGTTCTCAACCTGTGGTACGCACAGGCGACTGTGATGGTACATGTAGTTATAACTACAACTATGATTTGTGCTAGACGTCAACATTCATTCTTGGCCTCCTATCGGTAACTGTGAATATTCAACATTACGCTAGAAGGAGGACATTGTTAATATAACATATAATAAAATCAACTGACAGACTTAATAATTGATCTCAAGTTATATGAAAAATTTGAAACTCTTGGTATGGTGCTTAGTACTTCAATCAAGGGCGTCCTTCACTAATTGTGAAAATATCAACTCCGATTCAGAAATGATTGTGATCATCGAAACAATCTTGGTCCAGACATTCTTAGGTTTTAATCTTCAATCTCAGCATTTTAATAACAGTTTTGTTATTTTTATTACATATCCTGTTCAGTATTTGTTTTATTTCCAAATGGTATGGATTTCTTATTCAAATCAGTTTCAGTTAGTAAAATATTATAATACTCAAAAGATATTTTTATTTTCACATCCTACTTGTCTCACGGTTGGAAAGTAGGGTACTTTGATTAGAACAATAATAAATAATAAACAGATTCCATCCACAACTAATTAGCCTACATTCATGCTGCTAAATATTAAGCCAAATATTATTGACTATTAAAGTAGTTGGCCTACACCAGAAAAAAGGTTGGGAAAAACTGACTTACAGAACTCCCTGCACTAAGTGACACTATTAATTACCTAATTTGTTGCCTGTGTTCTTGAGTTAGTATTTTATATTCACCCTACAACTAGTTCTACTAGTAGAACTTCGGTTCTTTTACTAGTTATAATACTAGAACTACTAGCTCAAGAAGGCAGGCAACCTAAAAGGTAATAATATAATTCAAGTACTTGAATCTGAGATCACAACAATATGAGTGATAATGTTTTAGAGTGTAGGTCTTCATAATGAGTGTGACTGTTACAGACATGTGCTGGATGACAGTGGGGATGAGTACAAGATCATCATGTTGAACAAGCGTTACCTCAGTTTCCGAGTGATCAAGATGAACCGTGAGTGTGTGAGAGGCTTGTGGGCCGGGCAGCAGCAGGAGCTGGTGTACTTACGCAACCGCAATCCGGAGCGAGGCAGCATACAGAATGCCAAACAGGTAGGTTTTATAAAAAATATTCATTTAATTTTTTAGAGAAATATATCCTCAGCACATTATGTTCCATCTGTCAATCGCAGTCATTATAATGATATCCCCGCGATCGTGGGAGATGACCTCAATTTCAAGGAAAAATCCTGTTTTGTCCTGGCCCCAACTAAAAGTGCAATCCTGTGCATTCATAGTTTTATTTGACTATGAGAAACAAATGTTTCTCTTTTTAAATTTAAAACCACCGTATATCAACACTGGTTAGCTAATTCCAAGACATTGTACCATCACCCTTTTTGGGGCCCCAGAACATTTGTAGCTAGTCCAGTTGCGGTCCAGGAAAACTAAGCTACCCTACTTGGGCAAAAAAAATTGCTAATTTTAAGGGATGGACGAGATTGGATTTTTACTTCGAGACGAGACGGGGGTTTTTTATTCTTCATACAATTTTGAGACAAGCTCGAGACGGCATTTCCCTTCTCATACTCAACGGGAAATGCACGTTCGCCATTTTTCCTGAATTCGTAACATTTTTAAACTTACTGATTTATGACAGATGACTGGTTAAATACAAAAATAAAAATAACAGACAACATTATTGAAAATCTTTTATTAAAAACATTAATAAAAAACATCAGTATAAAAGAACCAAATATTAATTAGATTTACCTTTATTAAAAGTAACTCTTCCGCATAGGAAACATGGTGATATCACTTAGAATATATCGACTTAAAAATACAAAATTCATCAGTCTGAAACATCAGTCTTACTAGTTAAGTATCAAGATCAAGCAACAATTTTTCAGTCTTCTGTTATTTTAGAATGATTTTGGAGTGACTTGTTTTGGCTATGTTTACAGTAGTAAAACATGCCCCACACTGCTTACACTTAACAAAATTTTTCATTATTTGTAATATCCAAACCAAAAATTATAAAACAATTAAAGCAATATTTACATGTAAAAACTAATTAAATAAGAACACCTTTGCAAAGGAAACGCAACAGCAATGTTTATTTTTATTTTTTTTATAATCTTGTCTTGAAAAAATTTTGATCAAAATTAAAATTAAAATTTTTGCAGGCCTTGAGAAACATAATCAACTCTTCGTGTGACCAGCCCATCGGATATCCCATCTTTGTGTCGCCTCTGACAACTTCCTACGCAGAGACAAACGAGCAGTTGTGTGGCATCGTCGGGGGCCCCATCAGTTTGGGAACCATAAAACGAGCAGTGCTCAACTTCTGGGCAAGGTAAAATAATCACCATTATTGTTTATACTGTATTGTTCTAATTGGTTCAATAGTGGAGAGTTTCAAAACTCTCTTTACAAACCGTCGGATGGTTTACATATTTTAACATTTTGTGTTTTATTTTGGTCCAATTATTTTCTGTACTTTTCTCTTGTGTTCCATTTATGATTATTTTTCTACATCCCTGTTTGCCGCGTCTTCCTCATTTTTGTTTGTTTAGCTCTACCTAAATTTTGATTTGATTTTGAAGGAATGACACTCAAAAACAAGAGAACAGCACATTTAAGAAGTAAGATTTTAAATTTTCAGCATATAAACTAGAATGTGTTCAAGTTAGTTTTAAGTGAAAAGGTAAAAGAAGGCACTACAAAGGTTATTTCTCTTAACGTAGATACTAAGGGGTTGACTTGTGTAGGGTAAGGAGAAGATGTGTGGAGGGCTGCTCCAGTGGGGGGTCAGTACCTCATGACGATGGCGGCTTTGGACATGATGGGGTGTATGCTATGACAACATACAACATCCACACAGGTAAGCATTCCTTTTCAACTTTTATTTTGTTGTATTTACCCTAAAAAACCCCAATTCATGTTCCTTAGTGTTTGACTACTTAACTTCATTGTAACTCTAGTACCAAACCAAGTTAGCTTAGTAGTAGTGTCTTGGTCAGATGCAGTGTTTGGGAAGCTACTTTTAAAATGTAGCTAGCTACAACTACTGCTACATTTCCAAAAAAATAGCTTAGCTACAGCTACAGCTACAGTTCCGAAAAAGTAGCTAGCTACAACTACAGCTACAATGAAATGTAGCTACAGCTACAATTTTAGCTACTTTTCCAAGACGTTACTTTTTATTCCACGCACATTAGGTAAATGTAAAATTAATTGCAACTACATTTTTATTGAACAAACATTTAAACAAAAAATGTCAGTATTGTATCTAACATTACCTTGTACGGTACTTGGAAAACAAATTATTCCTAGATTGTATTTAATTTGTTGGCATTATAAACCTAACATTACAACAACAGAACCAAAGTTGGGTGTCCCATCATATTTAGTACTGTACTTATTTTTAAGTATTGCATTATTTTTAAGAATCTTATATGTAAATTTCATTAAGTTCAAAGGACATATAACCAAAATATTTTAAAAGCTCATTTTATTTCTTTAATATAGATTCATTTATAGATGTCTTATACCTATCAACAATTAAGACCAATAAAACTGTAAAACGATTATTTAAAAATACTTTTTTGTGTTACAGAGCCTAGCCTACTGAAATTGGAGTTTATTGCCTTTCTTCTTTACTTTTAATGTTAAAAACGACATTTAAAACCACAGTGATTAGTTACTTGTTCTATGAATAACACTTTTCAATGTCAAGAATTTTTTTATTGTCATTATTCGTAGGGCAAATTGTGCTTCGACCTAGTTGGTACAGAAAACAGTATTCAGCAACTTATCCTGAAATTGGCTTTTAATTTAAACATGTTGAAATTTGTAAAGTAAAAAAATAACATATAGGCCTACTTGGCTATGTAACAAGTTGGCTATAGTAGGCTAGTTCTTGCAAGGACTAAACAGATATATTCCTAATAATTGAACTTGGAACTAGGTATTCGTCTTAAACCATAGCATAGCCTAGGAATAGTCCTATACAAGAGCTGTTAGCAGCAGCAAACTATGCTATTTTTTCAATGTAAGTTTCATGTTATATGGAGATTTTTTCGTTACAATTATCATGTAGTCTAGCCCTATCTTAAATCTCATCAGGTAATTTCCTCTTTGTTAATTTAATAAACCTTTGAAAAATCTTCGTAATCTAACCAAGGAAGGGCTTGTGATGATGAACCAGAATCAACAGCTGAAGCAAAGGTTGATAGACCAGCTTTCTCATTATTTTAAGGTTTAGTGTTGGTTTCCATTAAAACCCAAGTTGAAACACTATCTATATAATAAAGAAACTAAATTGATAACTAATTTCCCTGTCAATCACTTGCAAGCGCCCAATTATAGCTTCTCTTGTCACCTCACCGGTAACGTTTAAACGTCGTCTGCATCTAGCGATTTTATTTTATTTGACAGTAATCATAGAGTAGTAAATTAAGGAAATGAGAGCCATAAATGTGGATAACACTCATTTAATGGCCTCCATGTCCACACAACGTTGTAATAGGGAATGAAACGGCTGCAACCAGCTGTATGAAGCAAAGAAAGTGGGCATAATTTTTTGGAAAATCTCAGTTTGAAAGAGGTTGTTTCACATAAGGTTGAGGTTATGATAAAAATCACTATCTCAAAAAATGTTTATGTAGCGAGAAAAGTAGCTAAATTTCCACTACAACTACTTTAAAAATGTAGCTCGCTACAGCTAAAGCTACAAAATCTTAAAAGTAGCGTAGCTACAGTTAACGCTACAAAAAAAGTAGCGCGCTACTGTAGCGACGCTACTTGTAGCGCGCTACTTCCCAACACTGGTCAGATGAGCTAGACATTGTTGGTTTGAGCCTGTGGGGCTGTATTCTTATTTTATTGAAACTGGTCTAAATTCCTGAAACCTTTGTGGATGTATGCTCGGAATCAAACATGTCCCTCTTTCACCGAGACGCTAATTGCTAGGCTAGCAACATACTTTCAGGCTCATCCTAATATATTTTTTAAGGGCTCAAAATGTGTTATAACAGGTTACATACCTTGACGTCCACAATTCCTTAGTCGGTATCCGTTGACTATAGTTTCGACTGCTATGTAGTCATTATCAAAAACGGAACGTTAAAATATTACATTCGTTGAATGTCGTCAAATCTTAAATACATCGAACACACAAACAAACATAACACGAACACGGTAGACATTTAACATAATTGGCCGGCCGGCACACGTCACTGAACTGGTCGACGACGATGACTGTTTACCCCACTCCATTCCGTTTATCAGCTGTGCCTCCAGGACTCGTGTTGCCTTGCGCTGTCGGAGCACTACTTGTTGAGAGTGTGTACACTAACACCGGGGCTTTAGAATACTTTAACATCACGTAATTATTAACATCCTTTAACATTGAAAGAATACGTTTATCGTTGTATTCTAAAGCCCCGGTGTTAGTGTACACACTCTCAACGAGTAGTGCTCCGACAGCGCAAGCATCAAAGGTACGAATTCACAGCCCAAACGAGTTAACATATCACATTTTTTTTTATTCCAACATACAGATACATTTTTCCCAAAAACAAAGAGCTATTTTTAAATTTTTTTTTAAATTTTTTTTTTAATTTTTAAAAAAAATTATAAAAAATTATTTTTTTTTTAATTTTTTAATTTTAAATAGCTAGTGATTATTATCTTATTTTTCCACACCTGAATGCAAATTTTGGTGAGAATCGCATTACCCATTCTCCCTGTGAACTTGTACCAAAGATTAAAAATTTACTACTTTCAAGCTCCATATCTCGCTTAATATTCAAAATAAATAATTTTTTCTTATATATTTGTATCTCTAATTTTTAGTACAATTGAACAATAACAAAAAATAAGACATCAAATTTTTGACCAAACACCCTTAAGGTTTTCATTGAGCATGTTGTACGGGTCGGATTTAGTGGCTTTGTATATTTCGAACTCTTCGAGGGTGTCTAGCATGAAGCCTTTCTTACAAACATGTAGAATTTCTGCATTATCATTAAAACTAATAACAGTATGGTTTGAATTTAATAAATGTTCAGAAAACTTGGATTTTTGTTCTGTTTGTTTTGGTTTAGGTAAATGTTCAGAAAAACGTTTCTTAAATGATCTGCCGGTCTGACCTATGTAATAGTTTGGACAGTCTGAACATTTAATTTTATAAGTACCAGTAGCTAATTCCTTGGGTTTATTGTTGTTCGGCAACCTTTTATTTAGTTTCGCCCCAAGTTTGTTAGACGTTCTATAGGCCAGAGTTAAGCCGTGAGGGTTCAATTCTTTCCTTAGTGTGTATTGTAGGCTGTTGCTGTATTCCACAGAGACAAAATGTTTATTAACTGTTGTAGTATTACTAGGAGAGGGTTTTGGGTTTTGTTTATTAATTATCCTATCAACGATGGAACTTCTATAACCATTTGCAACAGCAATATTTTTGATTATATTTACTTCTTTTAGGTAATCCTTGTCGAAATGTGTTTTGTCTACAGTAGTTGTACAAAGTGGCTTTGTGTTCACTTCCATGTTCGTCTATCAACACACCCAAAGCCTAGTAGTATATTTTTGTTAGGGCAGTAAAATGTGTTTGGTCTGCAATGGTCATACAGTGTGGCATTTTATTTTTGTTCTCTTCCATGTTCGTCCAGCAACGCTACTAACACCAATTATTGTTCTTTTGAGACCTAGTTGGCAGTTGGTCCAATATTCGTATTAGTATATTAAGATTAAACTGTTTCAGACTGTTAATATTAAAACACAGTCGTATTTAATTATTTTATTTTGCTACTATTGAAGTAAGATTTTTAGTTCTCACATAACTGAAGCAAAAAATATAATGTGCAATTTAAGTCAAAATGGCTTTTGTACTGTGCTAATCCCACAAGGCACTCTCCTTGAAAAAGTGCAACTATGCTCACTAGTTGCAAAAAAAACTATTGTTTTATAAGTAAATTGCAGCATGTTTTAGCATTGAAATGTATTTGCAATGTAAGGGCTATGATAGAGTTTACAGGCCATGTGATTTTCAGGATACGGGCACACAGGCAGCCAGTCTATGGAGGGTACGATGGGTCGAGGAGGGTCCCTGGGCCGCAGTGGTAACCGAGGCAGCATTGCTAGCGCAGGCAAACCTTCGTCCTCCACTCTAGCATCACTGGCTGGACTGCTGACGTCCACTCAGCCCTCGGTCCCCCAGGAGGAAAGGGATCAGGTCATGCAGAGAGTGAGGGTATGTTGTAGGCCTATACAGTAGTGTCAAGCATGACTAGTGGTCAAAACCAGCAATTTCAAATTTAGAAACCGAAAAAATCTTTTTAAAATCAAATCCTGACGTTTGTGAAGATTATATGTAAAACCTACTGTAACTTCTTACCGAATTTCAATAAACCGTTTCATAAGTATTTAAAAATTGGTTTGAGAATGAAATAATGTGAATAAATGGCAATTTTGTGCAGGAATAAAATTCAAAAACAAGTTTATACTACTTTTTTGGTAAAAACATTAATAGGTATTGCCTGCATTTTTTGAGAGGTTGTATTTTCTGTTATGAACAGTAATAATGACACCATAAAGTCATATACTCTGCCCATACTCTGAAGGTACATGTCATGATTTAGGTATCTCCAATCACTCCACTTATTATTCAAGCATGTAGAATACCATTCAGTTTGTCACCTCCTCACACCTGCTTACTTCTCTGCTACTCGTCTTGTCAATGCAACATGGAGACCTGAGTTGCTGAGCGGATGAACAATTGTGATGTTTTTACTTTGTCAGTAATTTTTCAAGTTTGTTTTGACAATGATTTCAAAACGGAGACATTTTCAATGAAAGAAAAACTTAATCCTAATCTTAGCCTTGGTTTACAAATAAAACGTTATTTGTGCAATCTATATATATAATACGCTAAGCCGATTTTTGTGAACAGAACTCCTCGCTCATTTTTGGACCGATTTTGATGATTAAAGTGTCAAAAAAATTGCCCTGATCTGTAGTTTTGTAAAGTTTTTTAGTTTTTTTTTATATCTTTATTAGTTTGGTCAGGATCTTCCATCAAAGTTGGGTTTTCTCCCATAAGATTAACATGGGGGAATCTAAATATTTAATTGGAAACTTTGTCTCCACTTATTTGAGAGAACGGCTGGGCGTAGAAACTTGGTAGAGGTGTCCAAAGAAAGGTCTTGGTCTGTAGATGAGTTATCAAAAGAAAAACGGAGTAAATTCGCTTAGGGCTCTGCCCCAGACTCCTTTAAAGATCCCTCCACAGATTTGTTTACATTTTGGTCATGTGGATAATACTTTTTTAATAAAACAGCTGTTAATTTTAAAATTGTGTTTTAAACAACACACATTTATTGGGAGTTACAGAATTGTCCAAAAGAAGTATTTGCAATGTTATTTTCTGTTTTTAAAATTGATTTTCCTCTGTATCATTTGTGTTGCAATATAAAGTTCCATTACGAAATCAGTGGAAAATCCTTTTATCACAATAACTCCTACAATTGTTTCTTATTGAACTATCTTATGCCTATATCTATTTTACGGGTTGGTGTCTGCCTTTTTCACACCTTTTCCCTATATTTTATCATATTATTCTAGACAGATCATCATAGGTTCATGAGATTATTGTCATACATGCTTTCAATCATTGGAAAAATCTTCGCTTGTGTAATACAATACAAAATAATACAAGTGCAGAAGGGCACGGTGCCCATTTGAGCCGTGTCCATATTTTGTTAAATTATATAATAGTGGTTGGTTTACAGCAACTGGATAAAACATTTTACAATATTTATGTAGAAAGTTGTGCATGATTTAGAAAGTCATTAAGCTGGAAAACTGCAATATACTGCAGACTTTTCAGAGAGGTTACTTTGATGTATTCATTCAGCTTAGTGAAAACATAATATAGATATGTATACAAATAAGAACTTGAACTCTCTGAGAGCCTTTGATTGTTATTAGACTAACGAAAAGGGTTGTGCATGTTTACTAGCGCTACTCAGCAACAAAAACCATTTAATTTATCTCCAAAATATATATTCTTAAAGTGCACTGAGCAGCAGCCTAAAAACTCATGTAACTTACCCATATAATATAGATACAAAACACTCAAACTCGCATTGTGACATTTATAATTCGGCTCTTATTTCTCCAACAGAAAATTCATCTGCAGAAGAATTTTATTGTGCTCTTACTATGTCATTCGCGTTATTTGTTGGCCATGAAGCTGCACTACCATATAAATGAGGAGGTCCCTAACAGTTCAAGAATATAAGCCAACTTCACTTCAAGTATATTCCACTACACCTAACATTCCGTAGAGAGATTATATTGCCCCAGTCAGAAAATCAGAAATCAGAAATCGTTTATTGTCCTTAAGCAAAACAATCGTGCAATAGACATGGTCACATATTATGGTAAAATAGGGTTACACAGTAACCCAGTCAGACTGGATTAATAATATTTTCACTCTATCATCGCAGTTAGCTGAAGTTACATAAAACCTCAAGAGCAACCGTCGATTTCGACGGGTTTCCCCTAGTGATTATTAATGGTTAACAATGGGTTTTTATTATTTACCATGTTATAGTATGATAAAGTTTTGTATGGCTGACACAAGGTTCATTCTTCTTTAGCCTACTATACAAGTTTAAAAACAGGTCTGTGAGGTAATCAGTGTTTTTATTTAGAACATAAATGCACAGGTTTAGTACAGTTAGAATATCAATGTTGGGTACCGCAGATAGGATGCAAGATGTGTATGTTTATTGAGTGTTAATAAACATGTTATCAGTCACATGGGTTTCTATCAATTTAGCTGTACATTTTCAAGAAGAATTTACAGTATTTAGATAGTTGGTTATTGTTGTTTCAGATTGTAGATCCCAATCAAGTGTATGATGCCATCAACCTGGGCCGTCGCATAGACGTGAGCTGGCCTGATGAGAGGATGAGGGCGAGGGGAGGACGATCTCACTGGCGAGACTGGCTGCCTGAGAAGGGCATGGAGGGTCAGGTAGGTCAACATTTGTTTTCAAGTTTGTTATCAGAGTGTTTATAGTTGTCAACCAACTTAACCAGCTACAATCACATCCATCTGTTCTACATTTTTGGTCTAGATATCTCTGACTTGTCATTTTATAACACAGAAGTAAAATGTGTGTATTTTGCCACATAATGAAAGGTATTGATCATAACTTGTACTGAAAGTGATTTACTGGCACTTGCTTCAACTCACCTTGTATGGTGTATGAAATCTGGTGTTCCTGTATTCAGCTTGCTTTGCCCCACACTTGAAACTTAAGCGTGCACAGGAAAATGCCACTTTCAAAACTAATAAAATATGGCCTACTAGTCTTGGCTTTTCAAATTGTTCAAGGTCTCTGAAATTTGTTGTTGAAAGTTACTACCAAACCCGGAACTACAAGCTATTTTAATCTTTCCTAGATGTTGTATTTTGACAGTTTTGTATTGTTGAACAGGTGGTCCACAGGTGGGTGCCTAGTCACAGAGACCCCAGCCGTAGATCTCACGTAGACAGAACCATCCTACTGGTCAAGATAGAGGACAAGTTTGTCCCCATAGCTGAGGCCGGGGTGGTAGACCTGGGGGCCGAGGTATAGCAGGTGAGGGTCGCAGTCAGTTAGACCTATAGGCTATTTAAATAATGCAGTGTCTACAATCAATGAAACCCTGAACTACAACGACATTATGTGGCACTCGGACAGCATGATTTTGCAAGCATTGGAATTTGGAAACACAAGGCTTTAAATTATTTAACTGCATTTAATATTATTTGTAGTTTATTCAAACCCCACAATAATGACTTGTGTTATTCTGGTTTAGGTTTCATACATTTTTAGTGAGTACTTTTTGGGATAGCAACTTGTAAAATATAGAAAAATCATTTGTATGTCTCATAGAAAATAAATTAGATATCTTACATTTTTCCTTGACAAAAATACTTTTGAATCAAATATGGTGTATTTTCACAAATAATAAGCTTCGCCAAAACAAAATCCTCTATTTCCATGCGGCCAAAGGCATAGATAGTGTTATAGTCCTATATGTGAGAAATTTAGACTTTGAATCTGATGTTAAATGTGTTATTTTACAGATTCCCAGAGCATCTTGAGGTACCGAATGCCTTACATCAACAGACTGATTTAGTATTAAGTTTCAAACGGTAATCAAACGTTATGTAAATATTATAAATAGTATTGTATATAAGAACTCGTCTCGTATTGTTACGGCCTGCTTGTTGATTATTTGTTTTGTATGGATTTAGTCGATGGCTGTGTTAATGGATTTATCCATTGAAAACCAAAGTATCCAGTTTATATTAATGGAAGTACGCTTTTGAAGCTTTTTAATGTTTTTTAGCTTTCACTTAATCAAATAATTGCAGTATCGGTGTAGCTGCATTGTTCTGATCAGAAGTGACTGGTTAATCATGTAGACACTAGGTGTAAAGTTGTTTAATTGAAATTAGAAAGAGTTTATTTTTACATGGCTGGGGAAAATTACTTTACCATGACTTGTTACTTAATGTTATCCCACCTTTAACCATTCAGTGTTATTAGGACAGAATTTTTTTAACAATGAGTTTAAATACTGAAGTAGACATTTTATCTGGTATGGGACAGCTTTAACCAGTTTTTTTTCTTTTTTTCAAAGAGGGTACAGTTAAAAGACCCTCAGATGGAGTGTGTTACTATTGGGGTTCATATTTCCCTTCTTTTTATTTATTATGATAGTTCTTAAAGACAAAAAATGCCTATGGTTTACAGTAAGTTTTAATTTTATTTGGGCTGATAAAAGTTTTTTTATTAATAAGATAATGGTTTACAGCAGCATGCTCTAATGGTGGTTAACAAATTGTTTTTTTTTTCTGGCTTCACTCTAATGCATCTATAGCCAAGTTTTCAATACTGTATCTGTGTTCCTCAGTTTACATATAACTTTATTTTAATTCTTTCAACTTAAATAAGGTTTCCCCAGCTGTCGCTAAAACCCTGAAAGCAAGCTTACACATAATTGATTAGCTGATGTTCCATTTGAATTGATTTTAAACCCAAGTGCAATACCTTGCAATGAACGTCTAAAATCCTTTTAAGCTGTGTAACCAACACAGTGATTTTTTTTTAACTGTGTGCGTTCCTAATAATATGCATTTGAATGTTAACTTCTGTTATGACAAAGTTTTATGTACATATTTTATAGTATGTCATCAACTTATAAAACTCAACTTAACTTTAGATTGCCTAAAGCAAAGTAGTGTGTCACATTGTTTAACAATAAAATAAAACAGTACTGCTAATTTCCCAGCAAAAACATCACTCTCATTACTCATGTTAACAAGCTCTTTTATTAACTTGTTATTCCTATTTATGTGCAATTTAAACTTGTTTTATACTCATACACATATCACGTCGTTACTTTATTTATCAAAGGAAACTACTATATGTTTTGTATCTAGCCTTTACACCTAGAATGATTGCTGTTTCCTGGCAATTTTAATGATCAATGGTTTGTTACAAAACTGAAGGTGTTCAGGTAATACCTTCATTATTCTTATTTACAAGGTAAAACCTGTTTTATGAACCTTGATAATCTCGCATTACCCCTAGTAGCGTTATTTGTAGGACAATCTGTAATTTTTTACAATAAAAATATAAACTATGTTAGTGATGACTCATCCATTTATTCAATATGAATTTTCCAAAGGAACTATCAAATAATGTAAGAAGACTGATTTAAATCAACTAGTACATTTGATTTTACATTGGGAAAGCGTTGTAACTAAATAATTTTATTTTACTTCAGTGACTCCTTAAATACATTGCCACTATCTAATTGGCTTTCCATTATTGCAGAATAATACCACTGTTTGGAAGTAATAATAATAATAATTTTGCATTTTTTATGTTTCATAGAAGCTGTCCTATTTTTTTACAGACCAATTTACTGTGTTGTTTCTTTGATTTCTTGTGATTTTATTGTTACTTATTGCTTGTGATTGAGAAAGCTATGAAATATTTTCTAGTTCTTGTTAGTAGTACTGGGGTCTGTTCTTCTGGAGAAGGGATTTCAATTAAGAAACAAAATGTGTACGTTGATAAACCCAAACTTTATGGCAAAGCGTTATTTTTATATTACTTGTGTCTAAGTTTAAACCGTGAAGAATTTGAGAAATAATAGAAAATATCTGTAAAACTGAACTAAAAATGTAACAAATAAAAGTAAGAAATGAAGTTTTAACTTCCAGAGAGGACTGAAACAGCAAGACTTTCATTGTAACGGTTAGTCAATCATTGTTAAAAAGTTTATTGCAGTCAATAAAATTGCCCAAAGACATTAGTTTTGCTAAGATTGTGTTAGTCAGAGACTGTTTGGAGTGGTTTGTTATACATAAGAGACTATATGAAGTATAAGTTGCAGTCATCTTTTTATAATATTAATAAAACTAATTTTGTACTCTGTTAATTCATTCACAACCCTTATGTAATATATAGGTACCACCTGCTAAATTATATATTACTCTCTCCCCCTATACAAATACATAGTAGCCTTTATATAGAAAATATTTTTTTATCAAAATTTTTTTTGTTTTGAGTTTTGGGTAAATACATACTGATACATTTCGACTATTTTGAGTCCCCCTGAACCCAAAAAAGTGGTTTTCAAAGTGATGTCTGTTTTTGTGTGTGTATAGATGTGTACAAAACTACTTATAACAATAACTTCAGTTATAAAAAGCCTCGGTATAGCACACCATATATTTCACTCGTTCAGGTATTTTCACACCCGTGAATTTTGATGAAATTTGGTATGCAGGTACTAATCCATGTGGAAGATTGATTCTAAATTAAGAATATTGGTGGTAAAACATTATCTTCTTCTCATGTCAAATTTTGGTGTGTCACGGTTACGGTTCGATTTTGGGACTATTTTATTTCTTGTCATGGTAAATTATCTGATGTCTAGTATTAAGTAATCGAAAACCATCATGTTTGCTGACAACACATCCTTCCTCAAGTTAGTTAAGATTTGCAAACTGTGAATAGCACTGCTGATGAAACTCTATGAAGAGGGCTGTCTACTAGTTTAGATCCAATGGTTATTACAATTTAATGAACCAATAATACAAAAAGCTGTATATGCCTACTCCTTGATTGATGAAATTGAATTGAATGCATAAAATTACTAGGGTTACAGATTGATTGTAACTTGAAATTTAATGACCTGGTCAGTTTGACAGACAACCTCTCCCGGGTTAACACTCTACCACACAGACGATACTGGTAAACAAAGCCCAACTTTTAGCCTGATCAGGTTATAACTCACTATAGGCTGAGGTTGAGTTGACATAGATAGTTGTAAGCAACAGTTGAGTCGTACTATGTGCATGGTGACCAATTAATATGTTTGGGGCATAGGGGTCAAATACACAAAGTTAAAAGTAGACAAATTTATTACACTTTAACATTAGCACATTGAAGTTTGCATTACATTTCTTGTTTGAGCAAAGTGAAATATTTGGGTTTAAATAATAACATACACATACACTTGCTCCTATGCTACAGTAGTTCATCTTCCACTCCTACAATCATCACTTAACAACTATATAAGTTACTTCATAATTATATTGTTTTTTAATTCATATATGTTTTCAACTCTAACCCAGAAGTAAGGGTTTACATTATTTATGCTCTTTTTCAAACACTTTTTTCCAATTACCAAAATTAAAAAAAAAATAACCATACAGTCTTCATTTGTGATGAGTTTAAAAAGAAAACATCAACTACTCTATTTTATACTTTGTAAAATACATTATCACAAATTTGTTTATCTAAATATTCATATAAACTTCACAATTGACTCACACTTTCATAGAGGCTATGGCACATTTAGTGAATCAATACACATAAAATATGTAGGCCTAATTATTTCCTTAACATTTCACCAAGATAATATATCCTTCCAAAATATTTTACACACTAAAGCAGATCTTAATATTTGTAAGCTAAGGCATCTTTTATAAAAAGACTAGCTACAAACAGTCAAGTTCACTGGTAAGGAACAACCAATAGTGCCGGTAAACATATGGTAACATTTCAACCAATTAAATGAAAAAGGGAATGTTTAAGTTATAGCATAGACAAAAAGATTTAAACATAGACCTTCAGCCGTGTTACGGTTTCCACAGGTTCTGGCGCAAACCGCTGGGGCGCCAAGTAGTTACGGCATTTTTGCTGCGTAATTACCAGGCGCTCCCAGCAGTGTGCGCCAGAACCTATGGTACCCATGGTAACCGCAGCACGGCTGACAGTCTATATTTAATTCTTTTTGTAAATGGTTATAGTAATTAAAAAAAGTTTGCCGTTAATAATTTAACCTGCTGATGGCAATATATTAGAAGTTTGATAGAAATAATAATTGTTCTAATACAACTTTACACTTGAATCGTATTCATTCGGATGCATTTTAACTGATGAGTGATAAACTCATGTTTAACATTCCTACCTGTGCACTTCGAGGGAGTTCTATGAGCAAAACAGTACCACACATAACTATGTCACAAATGGATAATAATAAATAACAAATAGTAGCATAAATTTAAAACAGTAGGTATAGACTGATCTGATAAAATTGTCAACATTTTGGCTTCACTCATTTTTATCCCAATTCAAACACTTTAAGAACCTTCCTTTCATGACTTTCCATAGGTTACCAAGAAATAAGGTTTAAGCAGCAGCTTTTTCGTCAACTTTTGTGCCAAACACTTTCAGTTCCTCTCTGAGTACCTTGCCTGCAGGGTTGCGGGGAATCACATCTAGGAATCTCACTCCTCCAGCGAGCTTCTTGTAGGCCGCCACCTGTGGAACATCATTTGAAGGTATATTTATAAAGTAACCATCCTCTAGGACCAGACTTATAAATGAGACAATGTTTTGATCCGTGTCAAATAACATTTACTGCCTGAAAACAGTAGAACACTTCAAGGGATACTTATTAAACAGTCCGTATTTTGTCAAATGATGGGTATACAGTATATGTAGCATAACTGTAGCAGTCCCTCGCAGTGATTAAAATGTAAAATCATTATTTTTTAAACATTCAAACACTTGGGTTGTCACAGTTTGTCTTTTGTTAGAAAAAGGTTTGATCTACATTTAGATTTGGTAAAAATAATGAGGGACATTAACTTTATACATACTTTTTATCACTGGTACTAGATATTACAGAATTTTTGAATTATATTAAAATAAATAGAATTTATAAGTGTGTGTAAACCATTATTCAAGCTACTTGTTTGAAAATAGCATCCTGCTAAAACATGCTACACCCTAGCTGATTAAATCGATCTAATGTAGAGTCAATATTCCATCTGTCAATAACCCCTGCCCTAACTATGAATTTTCATAGGGCAAATTAGATGAGATGTGTACATTAAGCTCTGAGTACACCAAAAGATCAATTTTCCCCCTTCTAGTCTTTTTCCTCTTCATATATGAATAATTTTAAATAGGAAATCTATAAAACATTATCAACATACAGTATAGTGAACTTACCTTGGGTTCAAGGAATGTAGTGATCTCAGATTCGGTGAGGTGGTAGCCTGGCCGCCGCACAACGAAGGCCCGAGGGATCTCTCCAGAGAGGATATCTGGAATGCCTACGACTGCACAGTCAGCCACCCCGGGCATCTGCATGATGATGCCTTCCAGCTCTGTAGGTGAAACCTAACGAAAATAAATTATAAAGTTAATCAATGTGTAATACAATAAATACCTTATTAACTGTACATAGACTTGGAAACTGATGTTTACCATGGGAATTTATCAAACTAATTAAGTTATTTGCTTAGAAAAAAATCCATAATGATTTTACTATTTTTTTACATTAGTTTTTTAAGCTACAGTAGACTCCCTCTTATCCGAACTCCTCGTGACCGAGGCTAGTCCGGATAACGGTTTTTCCCGTTAAGCCGACGTCACCAAAAACTCGTTAAAACGAACCATTTACGGTGATATTCTACTTAAATTTAGGAGAGCATTGAATTAAGACATGTGATCACTGGTCTCAAATCTTTCCCACGAGAACAGTCGTTTCAGTACCACCCACTTCCTGCCGATCTAGTGTGGTTAAACCAATGTACTGATAAAAATTGTCCAGTTAGAGATGTCATTTCTGTCAAGTGTAGTCCGGTTAAACCGATGTCCGGTTAAAAGGTGTCCGGATAAGAGGGAGTCTACTGTATAAAGTACCAGTACCTAATTTAATACAGTAATTATTATTATTAAAATACAAGAATAGTTTTTGGGACCTAAATGAGTGTAGAAGCATAGATAAACATATTGGTTGGATTAGAATTGTCTGTTTAGTGTTTTTTGATTTGATTGTACTCGTTTTAGCGAATTTCCCATATAAGGAATAAGCTATTACAATAGTACTCATGGCAAGACCTGGACGCGGGACCGATTTTTTGTTTGTTTTGAGGTCCCTAGAGGCCAAAAACACCATCCGTTCAAATTCATATATATATATATATATATATATATTTATATTTTGTTATTGTATACATCAATGAGGGCTACTTTAAATGTTACTAAGCAAATCAAAATACCACAGTACCCTAAGAACATTTTATTTTATATTACTTACTTGTTTCGGACATTAATGCCATGATAGTATAGTATATTGAATAGGTTATATACTATACTGTGATCATGGCATTAATGTCCGAAACATGTAAGTAATATAAAATAAAATGTTCTTAGGGTACTGTGGTATTTTGATTTGCTTAGTAATATATTTATATATACATCTATATCTATAAAAGAGGAACTATGTATGTGTGTGTGTGTGTGTGTATATATATGTATATACGTTATGGACTCCGAAACCGCTCGACAGATTGTAATGAAACTTTCAGGCATTATTAAGCATCTTTCAAAGATGGTTCGAGTGAAGTTTGATGCAGATCTGTCAAAAGGGCTCTGCCCCAGAGGGTTTTAAGTGGGCCGATGTCAGACTTTTTGATCTACAATGTTTACATAAATAGAATTTAAAAGCAGATGTTTACTTTCACCAACTGTTTTGCACGTTTGAATAATTACAACATTCTGTATTACCATTAGTCATGATTTGAAATAGTGCCACAGTGTTTCTACAGAGTGCAGCACAGAAAACTATTTTACTTTTGAATAAGTCCAAATGTATTAAACCCCAATCGCAGCACACCTGTGCACTTAACAACATTAAATTCTCCAATGTTAAATATTAAAACATAAAAACCTTTATCAAAGTATTATAAACAATAAAAGGGATGACTTTTTAAAATTTATGAAAACAGCTAATTTTCAACCAAAAGGTGAGTGAGCGTAGCGAACGAACATCAACCTGGAGGCGAGTTAGCGTAGCAAACAAGCTAACCTGAAAACAAGTGAGCGCAGCGAACGAGCTTCAACCTAAAGGTGAGTGAGCTTAGCGAACGAACTTCAACCGGGACGTGATTGAGCCATGCGAATACTTATGAAGTTAAACGGGGCAAAGCCCGCGGGTACAGCTAGTATATATATATATATACTAGCTGAACCCGGCAGACGTTGTCTTGCCTTTGACTATTTATAATTTAAGTACCGTAACGTTTAATTGTCTTATTGTATATGAAGTGCTTATAACTAAATTAAAATACGAACGATAACTAATGAAACACATATAGTACAAAGGATAACCGATTCTTTATTATTGCTCTTATATTAATGCTAGTGGGTAGACAATATTTTTGGTCTTTCTATTCGGCCCAATCACGTCCTGGTTGAAGTTCGTTCGCTACGCTCACTCACCTTAAGGTTGGAGCTCGTTCGCTGCGCTCACTTGCCTTCAGGATAGCTCGTTCGCTACGCTCACTTGCCTTCAGGTTAACTCGTTCACTACGCTAACTCGCCTCCAGGTTGAAGTTCGTTCGCTATGCTCACTCACCTTTTGGTTGCAAATCAGCTGTTGTTATAAATGTAAAAGAAATAATAGTGCTGCACCCTGTTGGTAATCCTTGTAACTTTAATGCTATTGAACATCATAGAACAGAACCAACTTGTTTAATTGAAACAGCTGTTAAGATTCATTAATTCCATTTCTCATAAGGTTAACATGGGAAACTCCAGAGCCATTGGGGCGGAGCCGATTGGACGGATCACGAAATTGATGGTGTATAAACCTATTCCATGAAATTCTACACGTATGTACCAAGTTTTGTGGCAATCGGTTCAGCGGTGTCTGAGTTTATCACTGCCAAACATATATATATATATCTATATATATAAAAGGCAAAGCCCTCACTGACTGACTCACTCACTCACTCACTCACTCATCACTAATTCTCTTACTTCCCATTTACCTAGGAGGCTGAAATTTGGTACACTGATTCTTTAGGAATTAAATAGGAAAACTAAGTTGTTTTTATCCTGATCGGACTCTCGGGCTCTGCCCCAGTGGCTCTGGAGTTTCCCATGTTAACCTTATGAGTACTCATATTTAAATGGAATTAATGAATCTTAACAGCTGTTTCCATTAAACAAGTTGGATCTGTTCTATGATGTTCAAGGTCCATAAAGTTGGCCCCCCCCATTTAAGCACTAACGTCAAAAATGGTACCAATCGTTAGTGCTACGTTAGTGCTGGTTAGTGCTGAAATCCCCAACGTTAGTGCTCTTTTGGTTCAAGTATTATTATTAAAAAACTGTGGGTGGGGCCAACTTTATATAAAGTTAGCCCCCCCCAGTACAAATAATTAAGCACTAACGTCAAAAATGGTACCAATCGTTAGTGCTACGTTAGTGCTGGTTAGTGCTGAAATCCCCAACGATAGTGCTCTTTTGGTTCAAGTGTTATTATTAAAAAACTGTGGGTGGGGCCAACTTTATATAAAGTTAGCCCCCCCCAGTACAAATAATTAAGCACTAACGTCAAAAATGGTACCAATCGTTAGTGCTACGTTAGTGCTGGTTAGTGCTGAAATCCCCAACGTTAGTGCTCTTTTGATTCAAGCGTTATTATTAAAAAACTGTGGGTGGGGCCAACTTTATATAAAGTTAGTCCCCCCCCAGTACAAATAATTGAGCACTAACGTCAAAAATGGTACCAATCGTTAGTGCTACGTTAGTGCTGGTTAGTGCTGAAATCCCCAACGTTAGTGCTCTTTTGATTCAAGCGTTATTATTAAAAAACGGTGGGTGGGGCCCACCATTCTTCAATATCGATGTCTCTACAATTAAACACTTGACTGGGGCTCTGGTATAACAAATCAGTGTAATAAAAATGCTGTCTACAACCTAATTCCTCTGAACTTTACTTTTCCCTTTTTAAGTTTGGATTACTGTACATATGCTGTCCATACATTTTTTTGTTTTTAAACTGTGTTAAGTGTTTGTAGATATTACTACAGAGTTTATAAAAGTCATATAATATATTCTTTATTCCCTTAACTTATCTCTCTCTGCATTTGTGTGTTAAATATTTTATATCGTTTTGCTTACTTTTTCTAGTTTTAAGTATTCAGTTTTTAGAAGTATTTAAACCCAACAGAACTGTGTGATTTGTATGTCATCAGATTTTACAAATTTTTCACAAATGTCAAATATCTGGCTGGTGTAATTAATTAGTATAATTTTATCCAATCACAATTTCTCAGCAGATTCAGAATCAATTTGCTTGTCAGTGTTTTTCTAGGATTTGTCTACATGTATGGTTATGTCTTACGTTGTTATTTTGCATTGACCTGTCAGATCAGTTATACAATAGCTACTATTGATATTTGCTGATGTGCCATTTTCAGCAGTTTTAACTTGGATTGTAAAAAGAAGAATTTCAATCTTACGGGTATATTTTAAGATCAAATAACTTTAGTTTTACGGTTCTGTACTGTCAAAGCTATTGGGAGTGTGTTAGTTATTGTTGTGCGGTGCAATTGTAAAATCTATTAAAAATAACTCTTGAGATTAACTGAATATCTAGCTTTTTTACCCTTTCACCCCATATTCAAGATCAAAATCAAAATCTCTTTATTGTCCTTTCAGTAGCAATCACAAAAGTCAAATGAATAATATCTTATCACTTACACACTATTAAAACACGCTAACATTTAAAAATATATGAATTTACCATAGTTTGCATAACCATACTTTTTCTTTATTGGATAAAAACTTGTACCTAAAACCTCCATGATCAACAGGTTATATGATGGAACTTATTAAAAATAATTAGTACCTAAGTTAAAATGAAAAAACTTGGCAGGAGAAAATTGGACCATGGGTTCTATGAACGGTGGAGTTGAAATATTTACAATCAATGCTCCTTCCATCACACTCTTTATTTGTGTTTTATTATCAACATTTTTTAAATGTAATTTTGTGTTTGTGTAAGGTAATGGTCCAACATCAAATATAACCAAGTTGTTAAAAAGTATTATAATTTAGTATCCCAATAAAAAATAGCAACTGGGGCTGCCAGAAAAATGCCACTCAGTATTAAACGTGCACAGATGTGGCCAATATTCGAAGATATACAATAAGCTATGAACTTCTACCATCAATCAATCAGTCATCAAAAACTTTCAAAAACCTGAGGTCTGGTACTACTATTCTTTGTACTTGTTATTTTCCATGACTTCGGTGAAAAAAGAATTTATATTTTATACTTATTTTTGTTGGTTCACTAAAAAAATTGTAGCCTACTAAAGCTAGGACAATTTTATGGTTCCTGTAAAAATGATCTTTAGGCCAGCTAACTACAACATAAGCAGCCCGTCATATACAGGGTGATTGGTACTCAGTGTGAAAAAATATTTTTTTGGTGTAAGTACAAAGTAAATGCAGAGTGATGATGCATATAACAGGTTTCAAGTCTAAAAATTAGCTTCCCAAAGAATTATTTTATGTTTTTAAAAAATAAGTATGTTTTTAAACTTAATATAGCTATTTCTCAATTACCTGTAAATGGATTTGAGTAGATAATGTCATTTTCGTGTTCTACATTAAATTTTGAATAAAAATAATAGAAAATGACGGAGGATCAGTTGTAAAAACTCCATTGTAAATAGATTCAAAGATAAAAATTAAGATGTTTGATAAAAATTAAAAAAAAACAACGGTCTATTGCATTTGTTCACACCCTGTATACAAGAAAGTGTCGGAATATGTTAAAAAATGCGCCATTTTATAAGCTTTCCAACCATATGCTACACTATTGAGGTTTAGATATTTTTTTGTTTGTTTTAGTGGTTTGAATACCAGAAAACAGGGAATTTTTTTACTGTTTTAGGTATAAAATAGTGATAAGTAGTTACATCTCTCCTATTTTTTAGACAAAGAAGTTTTTCGTTCAATATGGTGTTTAAAATTATTTAAATCTTTTGCCATCCGTAATTGTAACTAGTTTTTAATACTATCAGTAACTGGTAAAAATTTGGGTAGGGCTGACTTTATATCACATTTGACCCACCCACATTTTTGTAATAATAACACTTGAACCAAAAGAGCACTAACGTTGGTGATTTCAGCACTAACCGGCACTAACGTAGCACAAACGATTGGTACCATTTTTGACGTTAGTGCTCAATTATTTGTACTGGGGGGGCTAACTTTATATAAAGTTGGCCCCACCCCCAGATTTTTAATAATAACGCTTGAATCAAAAGAGCACTAACGTTGGGGATTTCAGCACTAACCAGCACTAACGTAGCACTAACGATTGGTACCATTTTTGACGTTAGTGCTCAATTATTTGTACTGGGGGGGGCTAACTTTATATAAAGTTGGCCCCACCCACAGTTTTTTAATAATAACGCTTGAATCAAAAGAGCACTAACGTTGGGGATTTCAGCACTAACCAGCACTAACGTAGCACTAACGATTGGTACCATTTTTGACGTTAGTGCTCAATTATTTGTACTGAGGGGGGCTAACTTTATATAAAGTTGGCCCCACCCACAGTTTTTTAATAATAACGCTTGAATCAAAAGAGCACTAACGTTGGGGATTTCAGCACTAACCAGCACTAACGTAGCACTAACGATTGGTACCATTTTTTACGTTAGTGCTCAATTATTTGTACTGGGGGGGGCTAACTTTATATAAAGTTGGCCCCACCCACAGTTTTTTAATAATAACACTTGAACCAAAAGAGCACTAACGTTGGGGATTTTAGCACTAACCAGCACTAACGTAGCACTAACGATTGGTACCATTTTTGACGTTAGTGCTTAAATGGGGGGGGCCAACTTTATGGACCTGTTCAATAGCATTAAGTTACAAGGATTACCAACAGGATGCAGTACTATTATTTTTTTAATTTATGACAACAGCTAATTTGTAACCAAAAGGTGAGTGAGCGTAGCGAACGAACTTCAACCTGGAGGCGAGTTAGTGTAGCGAACGAGCTAACCTGAAGGCAAGTGAGCGCAGCGAACGTTCTCCAACCTAAAGGTGAGTGAGCGTAGCGAACGAACTTCAACCAGGACGTGATTGAGCCATGCGAACAAGCTCACTTGTGAAGTTAAACGGGGCAATGCCCGTGGGTACAGCTAGTATATATATACAAACATCCTCTTTTATACTTATAGATATATATGTGTCCGTTAGCACGATAACTCAAGCAAAAAATGATCCGATTTTGATGAAATTTGGTACAAAGGTGTAAACTTACGTTTATTCGAACAAGTTCGCAATCCAGCATGATCGGACCATGGGAACGGGGGTTTACGGGGGGTTTTATGGGGTAAAAATAGGTTTTTCCCATTTTTGACCCAAAAACCATAAAATTTAGCTATTTCTTTCCAAACCATTTTGTAGAGCTTAAAAAAAAAAACAAACAATTTAGTATATTGAAGCGTTATTATGCGCCTTATGGTTACGGAGAAAATTAAAAAAAAATGTAAATTTAAAATTCCCATGTTATTTTAATGGAGAATAAGTAAACTGTTGTAGTTTGCTTGTTTTATGAACATATTTTGATCAAATTTGGAAAATGATTTTATTTCTTACTAACTATTAACATTTTACAAAAAAAAACTGTTTTACCCTCCCTGATGCAGCAAACCTAAGTACTTGTTAAACTAATTCTATTTAAATCGGGAATAAATATTTATATTTTTAAGTAGACATTTCAGTGTAAATCCAATCAGTCAAATGGAAATTCGCTTAGTCTGCAGGTTTGCTGCGGCGGGGGGTATTATTTAGTTTTAACTGGGGGCTGAGGCCTGTTTCATAATAAACTACAAGTTACAAGCTGTAACTTAACTTAACTTTTAAATTTTGTAACTGTAATTTAACTTTTTGAAAAAAAACTTTATATGTCTTAAAATGGTTGATAAAGTCTTGGTTTTTGTTCCACTTTGATTCATCGTGCAACAGACCTTTATTCCCTACCGAAATTTTTATTCCATTTGTAACCCAATTTAAACAAAACTGTAAATTTAAAATTCCCATGTTACTTTTATGGAGAATACTGTATTGTAAAATGTATTTATTTTATTCTAAGCCATTAAATTAAAATGACAAAATATTTTAATATAATTTAAATACTGATATTTTAATATAATTTAATAAACTCGGACAGTTGATTTATTTAAATATTATTAGTTATTTATCAAACCTCGGACAACTGCGATTTTCCTAATATTTTGTAGTTTTTAACAAACTCAGACAAATGATGTGATCCCCATAATACCGTACAATAATCATAATAACTTGTTAAATATAGCCTATTTGGATTTGTAGTTTATTTTTTAAAATATATAAATGTAAATTACCATTTTTATTGCTTTTTAATCAGTTTTAACCATAAAAGATACTACTGTTTTTTATTATATTTAACAATATTAAATAATTGTTATATACGTTCTTATATTTGAGTAATAAAGTTGTTATTAAATACAAGTGTACATAATTAAATCCTTATGATGACCAAGTTTACATATAAATTTAATAATTATTGACAGTTTTAAGCTCTCTATAACTTCTATATTAACCCCAATTAATAGAAATCGTTCTAAGTAAAAATATATGTTAGGATATCAGTGTTTTGGAGTAAAAACGAGACCTTACCGACAGGAACACCCCCCAACCCCCGCCACCACGCAGTGCCGAACGCTTCCGAATCTTACCGAGCATAGCCGAACTGTTCGCGGTAAATTGTTATCTCTATCCACGAATACTACTAGGTAATACCATAGAAAAAACATACTCCCTTAGTTGGTTAGTCTATGGTAATACATTAGAACAGGTATTTTTGTTTGTAGTACTGTATTCGGGTCTCTATCAAAACGTCTCGTTTGTAGTAGGTTAACTGTAGTGAGACTTGTGTCTCAGGTTAACTCCTTAATAGTTTACCTTCGTTGTTCCTGTCGGGAAGGTCTCGTGGGTAACCTACTATACTATTATATTGCTATTGAACATGAACATAATAGAATCAACTTGTTTAGTTGAAACAGCTTTTAGGATTCTTTAAAATTCCTTTTAAAATAAATACTCATAATCATAAGGTTAACATGAACAACTTCGGAGCCACCGGGGCGGAGCCCGAAAGGAATTTTTAGATAAGAATAGGCCTATATTAATTAATGATTGAGCCCAACCCAAACAAACAAACTTTCCCAATAATAATATAATAGTAGGCTAAGATTAGTATGTGTGCTTATACTACTATTTTCGTGAACAATGTAGAACAAACAAAAATCTATAACCATCCAAAGCCGTAGCTAATCATTGTTTGTACATATTCTTAATATTTAGGGAAGGGGAAGGGAGTTAGAATGAAACAGACTAATAATCAAAGACCGGCATCTAAACACCAGTGTACTTTGCAGTTTGTACCCTATACTCTTCTGATAATTTTCACCATAACGTCATCCAAAACCAACAAATAAATTCAAACACCAATTTAAAACACTGGACTTCAAAAGCCAAATCATTTTAATTTTATTTGTGTTTTTAGTTAAAATTAATTAATCAATAAACCTATTATTGATATATAAAATTCATTCATTTTTGAACAATAGCCAAAACTTAGAACAGAACAACGGTATTTACACGGGTATTTAACAGTACTTGTATTATTTTGCTTTGATTAATTGTGGTCACATTTCTGTTACTTTAAAGTATTTTAATCTATATACAAAATATTCAATATACAATTATACTAATAAATGTTACATATAACTAGTCAAAGAGTTATTATTACTTTCTTACTCGATGGGTTGTCATTGATTACGTCAATGAGACAGTGAATTGTATTGTATTTGAAGTGCAAGTTAGCCAACATGAATATTTCATAACGTTACGTTACCGAGAAAGAAGTTTTCCGTTTCACGGTGAATTATTTTAAGTGATTATTAAAATTGTTGATCACGTAGGAATATAGGTTATAAATTATTTTTTGTTATTACAGTCATGGATTTTAATAAAGAACATAGTTTAGGTCATTCAAGCTAGTTTACTCTGGTTCTTTCACGATCGTCTTTGCACTTTGCAGCGCTTGGTAGTGGCAAACCTGTTAAGAAAGTGACGACGAATCGAAAAGGCGAAACGCGAATACTAAACTAAATCTCTGGCACTCGCAGTCGCTTCGCTCTAGTGTAGTGTAGTAGTGTTCATGTTGTTTGTGTTTTTGTGTATGCAACCGTCTTTATCTAGCATTTAATTAAATTGACAATATCAATTTAAATCGTTGGATTTTAGATAGATTTTTGAATGCAGGAAATATATCCAGATAAGTATAATACTTCCAACATGGAGAACGCAGAAGATGTAATGCAGTTGCTTGAAGAATTTGCGAAAGTTAAACCTAAAGACATTCCAAAGGAGTTGGAAGAATATCTTGGTTATGTCGCGAAAACGGGGGACCCTGTGTTTCAGTGGAGCTTGATTAGAAATTTACTAAGAGAAAAATTGCTCGCAGTCGTCACAGACTTCTATGAAAGTACTTTGACTGTAGAACTTCCCCCTTGCCCTAATGTGGAACCATTTAACTATGATCGTATGAAGACGAGCTTACTGGAGAGATTCGATGCCTTTGCTGGCGCTCCATTTACTATTCAAAGGATTTGTGAACTGCTAATAAATCCTCGTAAGGAATACAATAGGGCTGACAAGTACATGAGGGCAATAGAAAAGAACATTTTAGTTGTTAGTACTCGTGAACCAGGCTCAGGCAAGCGACCATTGGAATGTGATCAGTCAGAAAGCATTTTGAATGGGATGCCAGATGTTAAACTAAGTGAATCTGACGGTAGTTTGTTGCATGTTCCTACAGACTTGCCATATTTTGGAGCCCCTCCTGCCTCTAATGATGTGACTATCGAAACAACTGAACCTAATTCAACTATTACGGACAGAGTGGGACTAAGTATCAATGGTGATGCAAGCGATGAAAGTGAAAAGATATGTAACCTTCAAGAATCTCATAGTTCAATAGTTGCACACGATACACCTCAAGTTAGTTCTAGAGTACCGGTAGATATAAAGAGTGACGACGTTCCTTTAGTCAATGAAGTTAAAAACTTAGAAGAAAATGACTGTGATAGTAACAGTAGGTTGTCTAACGTTACAGAAACCATCAATCCATGTTCAGACACTGAGCTTGAAAGTGTCAAGGAAATGACATCAGAAACAAGTGATGCAATCTTACCGGACAGTATTGACTCCTCTGATTCTTTACAAGTGTGTTCTGAATCCTCATTAGCTTTAAAAACTGAAGATGCTGAAGTTGAAGGCTTAAGTGATGAAAATGAAGTAAGCTCTAGTCCAGCTGACCCTCCTGAAAATATTACTAACACTCAAGACAAAGTCATTGGAACATCTAATTCAGAAGCAGAAGCAGTTGATTCTTGTCTTGTCCAAACTGACGTAAATTTGTCTCCTGACAGTGATAACAGTAATAACGAAAGAGTCACCTCTGAAGAAGAAACACAAGTCTCTATTACTGAAATAACTGCTACTAGATCAGATGAAGTTGATTTGGAATGTAATGAAATATCTGGTACAGTTAGTTCACCAGCTTCTTCAGACAACCCTCTTATTGAACAGGCTGATGGATCTGTGGATAACAAAACTAATTTTGAGTTGGTTGAAGAATGTGAATCAACCAATTCACATCCTGATTCCAGCAATGATTTAATTTTTCAAACTAAACAAAATTCTGATGAGTCTCAAAAATGTGAAACAGACCTCGGCTCGGAAGCAGATTCTATATCCGTAGAAAGTATAGACCAGTCTTTAAAACAAGATGATGTCAAAACATTTACACCAGACCAAACCGAAATAATTATTGTCCAAGAAGTCTGCGCAGAATCTTCTCCTGAGTGTACATCTGAAGAAACTTGTAGGCCTACTGCAGAAACTGTCGAGGAACCACTATCAAGCTCACCAGTTCCAACCGAAGAAGCTGTTGTGAGTGAAAGTCCATCATCTTCACAATTTAAAGAAGATGGACTTGCACAAGCGGAACAACAAGATGTGGAGAGCACAAGTGATATTGTTGTAGAGATGTATGACAACGAAAGAAGAGATGAAAGTGTTATACAGTCAACTTCTCACATTGCTCAAGACAGTCAAGAGCAAATCACAATTGAAGAAATAAGTGTTGATCCAACCTGTGATACAGATGAGGCAATGGATGTTGATGATGGCAGTAATCAGATGATGGTTAGTGAAGGAGAAAATGATGGTGAACCAATGGATGAAGGTGACCAATTGCAGAGCTAATCAACATCTGAACTCATTTCATCTCACTGGTAAGATTAGGCCTACAACATAGGCCATTACCATTACCAAATACTTGATTGTAGCCCATCTCTGGATTATCACGTCAATTACATTTTTACATAAATTTTATAACTTAGGTTGGTATTTAACCTAACCAAGCCTAACCTAACCGATTATTCAGTTTTTTCGTCCTATCTCCGGTGTTTTTCATCGGATCAAAAAAATTCATATTGCATATTCTTAATCTACACAATATTCCGCGTATTTTGAGTACCCACATGACGTATTTTGAGTAAAAAAAGCAGCTCCGTTTTTCGGTAATTTCCGGTATTTTCCAAAAAATAAAAACGTCATTTTCGGATTCAGCGTGAAATTTAGGTCATTATGGAAAAAAATTTCACTTTTGCGAGTAGTCACTACGTCCAAATAAGTTAATTACCCTTAGGTTACCTAGGCTACTTCCTATTTTTACACTTGAACTTATTTACATTTTATGTTAAATTAACAGGTTAGAGGTTAGAGTAAAGGCTTAAATGTTTTTCTTTTTAGCCTAGGGTATTCCCTATTACCCACTCTTGTTTTAAAAACTGCCTAATAGGAAGGATCATGACTGCCTAAGACAGAGCATTTAACATCTTTGCAAGCACTGGGTTGCTATCTTTTATCAAACTTAGGCAACATCGAGGACATGAATAGGCCTATTGGCTCTGTCACAAATGTGTTTAGGCTATTTTAAGTTAGGTCTAAGTTACACTTTAAAACTTGAAATATAAGTTAGGGCCTAGTGTATTTTTCAGCACACTACCGGGTAGCGTCCTGTAGCTCGAACCCAGACGACTTAACAATATAGCTGCCTAACTGTAGTATAGTCCTAATTACGGTAGGGGCCTATTGTGTTACCTATGTTATTTTAAATGGTGATTCTGAGCAATTAAGTTACTTGGTCAACCCCAAACTTGTTCATATTTTACCACGGTCATAAGGATGTTCTCAAAAAACAAGAAACATCATTCAAGCCCCGCAAGGCCATCATACAGGTTGCCGAGCGATAAGAAGGTTCAAAGTCCACGCGATAACAGTGGCTTGCGGGAGACGCGCGAAACGCCAGTTGTGACAGTACCGTTATGTTATGTTAGGAAGTTCGGTTTGGTTAGGTTAGGTTAGGTTAAAAATATAGGCTATCGGTAGGTAGGCCTAACTAATATAGGTTAAAAAATAAAATATCCTAGGTTAACCTAACCAAACCTAACCTTGCGGGGCTTGAATTGTTTCTTGTTTTCTTGAGAACATCCTTATGACCGTAGTAAAATATGAAAAAGTTTGGGGTTGACCAACTAATTGCTCATGGAGGCTAAAATGTTGATTTTGGTCAGGATATGTTAATCTTGGATCAAATAATAAGCTCAAGTCAAATTATCTGAAAACATTATTTTTAACAAAAAATGTTTTAGCCTAAATCATTTTGCCCCTCAGAACGTGTACTGGTACCACCTACAGTGGAGTTCTAAGGGGGGGGGGGGCTACAGGGGTTAGAGCCCCCCCCTTGAACCCTGGAAAAATAAATTTAAACGTACATTTCGTCCTTAAAACACGCAATGTCATAAAAGACGACATTTATTAAACTTAAAAGAGAGGGCAGGAATAGGTAGTATTAAGTTCCACGTAGATAAACTTTGTGGACAGTGGCACAATGAATAAAACAATATTACGCTACGGAGAGCTGTAGGCTTCATCCAATTTTTACAGCAGTCAGCTGTTGACATGCTAGGGCAAAGGCGAGCGTGCGAGCTAGGACAGGGAAACAGCTGATTTCCTGATTTCTTCATAATATAGTTGTTTTTCTAAACCTTGTTAACTAATCAATAAAAGGTTACAGTACCTGCAGACTACCAGTCGAGACTCGGCAAGAGAGATGCTTGCATCATATCCTGTTCGGTTTTTTAATAGTAGGCCTACATGTATTTAATGTTCGTTTTGTGTATGACGTGTTCTATTTTCAACTTTGACGTGATTATGTGTGTCGAAAAATCAAGATTTTAAGCTTGAAGTTCTGGATCTGATGATGGTAATATATTTGCCGAAACGTACGTAATCCTACTGGATTAACAAAACCCACAAGGCAGTCTGCAGGTACTGTAACCTTTTATTGATTTCCTGATGTTCCATAGTTAGTTGTCAAATTGTCTGCTAGCCACCAGCTTTACACAGGCAACAATTAGCAATCGGTAGCACCAGTAGCCTATTACCACTGACTATACTGTATAAACACTAGTGTTAAAGTTTATATAGGCCCTAGTCAATGCTTTTACTGATTTCGATACCTACACTACCCTGTACATATTGTGACAGATCTATGAAATGGAGAATAACGTAGGCCTAAGGTTAAAAAATGTGTCTACTTGCTTGCATGACATATAACAGATGAAATGGAAGGTTTTAGGACAATTGGGCACAGTTCTAGCCGTTAGAAGTGGCTTTATAAAGTCACAAAACGGCTTTTAGGTGATATAGTTTCGTAGTATACAGTAGGCCTATGTTTTGAAATTCATGAATGAAAGTTCGTCATAGTTTGATTTTTTAAATGTTTACTTGCTCATGACAACGACAAATAACAGGTGAAATGAGAGGTTTTTTCGACAGTTGGACACAGATATAGACATTAATAATGGCTTTAGAAAGTTACAGCTTTTAAACAGCTTTTAGGAGGATATAGCCGTAGCCTACAATATGTTTTGAGATTTATGAATGCAATCGTCATAGTTAGTTTTAAAAATATCTTCTTATTCATGAGAAATAAATGGGGAAATGCGAGTATTTGCAGACAGTTCTAGACGTTAAAACTGGCTGTAGAAAGCCACCCAATGGCTATGAGAAGGATATGGTCGTTGTCTACAGTGTGTTTTGAAATTCATGAATGCAATCGTCATAGTTTAGTTTTTAAAATTTTTATTTGCTCTTGACAAACAACAGGTGAAATGGGAGTTTATGGACTATTGGGCACGGTTTTAGGTGTTAAAAATGGCTTTAGAAAGTCACCAAACGGCTTACCCCCTGCTTTATTGGGGGGTCTTCCAACCCCCCCCCGGATGCCCCCCCCCCTTGATGAGGTCCTAGAACCGCCACTGCCTACTTAACTTAAAAAATTAAGTTTTAACTATCCGATTGGATAAAATTAACCTTTTAAAGTCTTCTCCTATTGAATAATCAAATTTAAGTCAGGTTATATAATCATGTAAAGGCTTAAATAGCCAAACCTATTTTTTTAAATGGAAATATTTATATGTCTAAGTTAAATACTTGTCAGACTTTTATTAAGTATACGCCTGGATTCCAAAAGCAAGAAAATTGTGTAAAACAAATATGTTTTTAGACCCTGAGAAAAAATGATAGGGTAAGTTAGGCCTAGTGTCTAAGCCTTAACTTCAAATGCAGCCTACTTAAATCTAAAACTGTCAGTCTTATATCCCAATAAAAAAATTACTAGCCTTACTTAATACTTGTAGCTTTTTTTATGTTAGTTAACTTAGGGCTCTATTTAGCTAGTTCAGTAGGCCTAAATAAATTTGCTATGTTCCTTTTAGCGAATTTCCCTATAGGGAAGTAGCTATTACCGTAGGTCTCATGGTAAGACTTAGGCCCGGGACCGATTTACTTTTTCATTTTGATGTCCCCAGAGGACAAAAACACCATTCGTTCAAATTTTTATATATGTATATATATATATAGATATATATATATATATAGATTTATATATATATGTGTCCGTGAACACGATAACTTTCGTAATATTTATCCGATTTTGATGAAATTTGGTTTGAAGGTGTAAGGCGGGATAAACTTGAATGAGTTCGCGATCCAGCATGATCGGACCATGGGAACAGGGTTTTATGGGGTAAAAATTGGTTTTTCTCACTTTTGACCCTCAAAACACAAAATTTCCCAATTTTTCTCTAAACCTTCTTAAAGAGCTTAAAAAAACAAACAATTCAGTATATCAAAGTGTTTTTGTACAGTTATTAGTTACGGAGAAAACTAAAAAAATTGTAAATTTAAAATTCCCATGTTATTCTTATGGAGAATATTGTAAAATGTTGTAGTTTGCTTGTTTATGGATATCTTTTGATCAAACTTGGCAAATATATTCATTTTCTACAAAGCAATAATTATTTTACTTAAAACACACACTTTATTAGTTTCCTTGTAGCAGCAAACCTAGGTACTCGTTAAACCTAATGTTATTTAAATAGATGGATTGAAAATTAATTCAGCCAAATGGAAATTCGCTTAGACGGCAGGTTTGCTGCGGCGGGGGTATTTAATTTACCTACTAACTTAACTTAAGTTGATAGGTCCTATAAAAATACATTATCCTTGTCCTACACATTTCCCAATTTTTGCTACTCTGCCACTTTGGGTTTTTCAGCATGGTACCTATGATTTAATACAGTAACATGGGTTATATCATAGACAAATAGGATAAATATAGACCGGCGGTAGTGCTGCGGTTAGCCTATGTTCCGGTGCCCTGCCGCTAGGAGTGCCGTGTAGTTACGGCGTACACCGCTGCAGCATCTGCTAGTAGCATACGGCTCCTGCGCTCCTCGCCTGCAGCGGTGTGCGCTGTAACTACACGGCACTCCTAGCGGCACATGGCGGAACTTCCCTTTGACAGTCTATAAGCTATATTCTTTTTGTCTATGGTTATAAAAATTATCCGTGCACAAAACTAAGGCGGTTCGAGAAGAATTTCCAACACCACTTAATTTTCCTATGCCTATATTTTTATTTGGGCATTTTGGCCCCCTGAAAGCCTTCACCCCAATTCACCGCATTATTTGCATTGGCGTTAGTTACGCCACTGTCGTCAAACCAGTGTCTTTGTACGCTTTACGAGAAACGCTTGTCAAAACAAGGGGGCTTATTAGGCCTCTTAAAAAGTACAAGCAGTTTATATAAACTTGAACAATCTGGAGGTTATCCTCAAGATCTTAAGTGCAGAAATTGGTAAAAAGAGTTTTTATCAACGTTTAAATCCCAGACCGAAAATTCCATGTTGTAGCATTAGGCCTACAACTGCGGGATTTTTAGTGTTAACATTATCGTGTAAGTTTTCTGAGTAAGTAAAGTGAAGTGTACTAGCAAAAGTGCATACGTGAAAACCGATCTGTGGGCTTTTTCATCGTTTGAAAATAAAATATCAACTGTTGGTTTTTACAATGTAACACTGAAAGTTAAAACTAAGTTATGGTATTGTTTCAGGTTTCGTTAATCACATGGTTGCTGGCCTGGATTAAACCAATCTTCGCCAATGGATTATTGTCAGTCTGGCTGTATACTTTAGTTCGTAACAAGAGAGACTATCTTATTGAAACTATGTTTTAAGTTAAGTTGGCTCTGAAGTGACTGCTTTGAGTTTGGGTTTGTATTGATAGTTTTAGGAGTATAAATGTGTCACTGTAAAATACTGCCCTTGCAACTGTAGCGTGTTTGACTAAAAGTTGATACTTGTTCTTAAAATGTTAGATAAGATTGTATAGTAGTGTAATACGTTTTTTTAAATTGCCAAATTATCTGTTTACTATTTTTAACAAGGTACCGGCACCACTGTTTTAGTTACTTCACAACTGGGTAGCATACACAATTTATAAAGTGTGAAACATTGATGTTTTTATCTTTAAGAGTGTAACTTTGGTACCAGACGTTGGTATCAGACTTGTTTTTCTGACCAAAGGACGACTTTAAGTCCTGGCACTATTAGGTTTACTTAATTTTTTTACTAGTATCTCGTAGATGTTTTACTTTTGTTTTTGATTCAATGTACTAATACAGTAACACAATTGTTCAAATAATTTTAATAGGCTAACAAACATCCATAAACTATTGTTTATCAGTCATGCTAAGGAACCTTAAGTCTGTATTCTTATGTAAATCAGATATTTATTTGATGAAAATTTTTCTTTTTCGTGGTAAAAAGCTATAGGAAGTGGTATTTTTAGACTTAAAAAGAAATGTTTAATTGTGGCCTATAATTGTATTTTGTTTTAAAGTTAGAGTGAAGTTTTAGTGATTCACAAGATTTTGATTTTATCTGTGTAGTGTACGTGTAAAAACAATAAAATCTATTCTTTTATATTCAAGTTTGTATTCTTATTTTATTTGCTCAACTGATACATTTATAATCAGCGTCAATAGCTAATTGATGCCTTCTAATGTTTTTCACTTCCTCCCAAGGGTCAGTTACTCTTAATTAGGACCTTACATCTACAATTAAAAAAAACGAGGGGATCCGTGGGCAAATTGCACATTTTAATATAGGGTTCAAAAATTGTTCCCGGTGCAAAACGAATCCAAAGCAATGCCCTTTTACCTTTCAAAGATCATGTTTGTATAAGACAGTTATTAGGTAGGTAAATAAAACTGCTAATTTATACTAAACTAGCTGAGTACCATCCTTCGTATGGGGTTGGCATATAAGAATAAAGGTAGGTAATATAGTTAAATGTTAATAATACTATGAAATAAATACATTTTCCAAATTTGATCGAAAAGTGTTCATAAACAGACAACAACACCAACAGCAGAACAACAAGCAAACTGCAATATATTACTTATTCTCCATATAAATAACTTAACATAGGAATTTTAAATTTACAGTTTTTTTTTGTGATAGTGAAACGTTTTAAATGCAATGTAGATACCATTTAGCTTTTGTTTCACACGCACACACACATCCGGATTTACAATACGGATAAAATTGAAGAGCTGATTTATAGGCCTAGTAACAAAAAATAAAACTTCAGTGGACAATTAAGTGAACAACGGCAACTCTTAGTCCGTCCGCTTCACACGTAGATACCTGTCTCGACAGATGATGAGCCTCCGTACACTTTAACATCTGTGTCGTCGCGTGGATTTAACTTGCTAAGCATATTTTTATTATAATTTATTTTGATGTTTTTGCGATCATAGTTAATATGCAGCCCTTGGTTAATCGACTTGTGCATACTCGTTAGTCTACTATACCCAAAGATAATTTTTCCTCTCTGAAATGATGCTTCGATTACTGAAATCTACACTTATAACATAACATTAGTACATTCTACTCATTTTATTTGCTGCCGTTTTTTCAGTGCTAGAAATTTTTTAAAGGGGTGTACCTGTGCGCCATTGAATGAAAAAAAATTAAAAGGTATTGTGATACATGTTTAAATAACCTGGTCAAGGATTGTCTAAAAAAAGTCATGGTTTTAATTTGTGGATGCCTCCAGCTAACCTGAACGACTAGATAAAATAATCTTCTGATTATTTTATCTCAATATCTGATCCTGATTAGTTCGTAGTTAAGTTTAGTTAGTAGTTTGGGTTAAAGGAACACTGGTGTAGTGATAAAACTATAAATTATAAATTAAAATTACTGTACCAAATTGAGAGTAATTTTGGGGTTAACAAATCCTGTTACCTGACAATACCTGAAGAGTAAATTTATTTCTAGGACGTAATTTAGAAACACATTTTAATTTATTCAAGTTAGCAGGATTTTTGATTAGGTGGTAAAATAAACGGCAATTAATATTGGGTTACTCTTAGTAAAAGTAATTGAAATTTAAAAACCAACTTGCTCGAAATACGGAACTGAATTGTTAATCATGAAACATTTTATCATAAAGACTTTATCAAGTTCACCCAAGATTAAAAAGGTCACCAGGAAGTTTAAAGGGATATGTTTAAAAGAAATAGGGATTAATTACAATCTATTTTGATTATAAATTATGTTTTCTAATATGATAGTACAATTTACCTTTCTTTCAAAGTAAGCTATCGGTTGAAATATTTGTGTTTTGAAATTAAAAGACTATCTTGTTATCATTTTCAAATTGAAAAGTGATAAGCTTATTACCTTATGATGGGTTATTATTATAATTAAATAATGTAATTCGCTTATAAATTAACCCATAACCCATAAAGGACTTAAAATAACAAATCTTTAAAATTGAAGCATAATAATTTAACAACATTTATCAGAATGCAAAACATAATTAAATCTAGCTAAAACTAAAATTGTTCATGATAATTACAATAATTAATTTTGATTTAGTTACTGAACCCCTCATAACCAAAATGAATGATTGAGATAAAAGTAAAAAATAGGAATATACAGTGATGAAATTCTATACCTAGCAGTAAAAGTGATGTTATTCAGCTTATAGGGTAGGGGGTCATGCAATGTAGAATACAATAATAAAAGATAAGTAAAAAAGTGATACCACTGCAAAATATTATCCCACAGTGTTTGTAAAGGATTTTTTATGTTTTAAGGTCGATTCACACATATCAGTTCAGTCACAGTTCCGTTACAGTCCAGTCTCAGTTGCATCCGCAATTTCTCAGTCAATTGTCCGTCAGTTGGTTTCAGTCAGTCTTCCGTCTCTAATATTACTACTAGTGTTCCTGTTGCTCGAATTCGAGCAATTGTTAAGTATTACAGGCGATTTTTTAAAACAAATAACATTAATAATTTCTGATGACTTTATTTATTTGACTCAAATATTACGGAAATACTCAAGATGTACATAACATATCGATATAATCAACATTTCTTGTAAATATCTTATCGTTTTTCAAAATCTGGTCTTGTTTTTTAGTGTTTTCTACAAATAATAGCCTTACTCATAGCCTCATTAGGTTTTCCATAATAACGATTATAAATAAACAAAAACATTATTTCTATTTCTTCTCCGGTGTTCTATGACTTTCCTAGGTTTCCATAGTTTGCAAATTGGTTCTTTCAACGATTACTAAGAATTGCAGCACAGTGTTAATTCAGCTTTCTTTTTAGTATATCAAATTATCTAGGCTCTCACGCTTTATTCCAATGTAATATTTACGTCAACCCAAATTCAAATAGTAAATATTTCATTTCAACCAAGTCCGTAAATGTTTGTAGCAAACTTATTGACTGTTTACAATTAACACATGTTCTTCTTCTCACTTTTAATTTCTGACAACAGCTTGAGTTTCATAACAATTTTGGTTCCCATGTTAATCTTATGGAGAAATACAAAACTTTAAAGGGCTCCAGGGCCTCACTCTCTACTAATTATTTCCCTAAAAAGAAAGTTTCCTGCTCAACTTAACGTTACGCTCTTTCCAATGACATAAAAAACATGTCAATCGGTTCAGTAGTTTCGGAGAAGTAATTGTCACAAAAAACCTGCTTGCGTATTAAATAAGTATAGATTCTTGTAAGTGATCCTCTAGATTTTGTAAGGGAGAGAACATCAAATGCTTCAGAGAGAAAACTATCAAAACCTATAAAATTATCTTGGGAATGCCAGAGATTGAACCTGCCTCTATAACATCAAAGTCTTTGTAACCACTAGGCTAATGACACTTTCAAACCTATTTCTAAATTGTTTATTCAGATCTCTGGTATATGACCATTTTTAGCAACCTTGAATTTGCTCATGAAACAATGTTAAGTAAACCCTCTTAACCTCAAATAAAAACAATAATACAAGATTCAAATCAATTGGAAAATTTGTTAGGTAATAAGAATTGTACACCCTGGTGGCTTGGCCAAAAAAATGTTGAGGAGCTGATGACAACTTGGATCTGATGCAGAAACTTTAGTCCACTACGGGCAGCCTCCACCATATCTTGTCACGATTTAATTTATTGTGCCCTTTCAATTAGAGCGCCAAAACCCAAACAAAAAATGATAACCTATAAAATTTTTTAAATCCAAGCTATTTTTTTAAACAGATTTTTATTTAATACCTTGGCACTCAACACATACTCCGGAGTCTTTGAAATTCCCTGAATTAAATAATTTTGCAATCGTATGATAAACTTGCCCCAATTGTTACCCGAAGGTTTAATAAGAAACATCCTGTACCTTGGATCACAAAATGAGATTCTCAGGTCAATGGGTCATAGGGACTCAAGTCTTTCGCAGATCCAGGAGAACTAGAGACTGGGGCTAAAGGCCCAATACCGTCAGCTCAGAAACCAAGTTTAAGAACATCTCCAACAATTAAGAAAATCTCACCTTCATTACTTTCATATTTCAGATAGAAAACAAACTTCTTTTTCTGTGGTGTGATTTAAAAGAGTTTGGTCTTGGAAATAAGAAATGTCTAACACAGTTTCTGTTTCATTAAAATGCTTTGAACGATTATTTTTTATCAGCCGCTAATAGTTCAAATAGTAAATAGCTATTAAAAACGATTTAAATGAATTAAATCTACAATGCAATTTGAACAATGTTCCCCCACAATTTCATTTTAGACCCATTTTGCAATGTGATGTCTTAAAAGCTGTTAGTTGAATTATGTATTTGATGCCACTGGTTTTGACAAAATCTCAATTTCTCTAGAATCAAACGGGTTTTGTTTGCTCTTCTCCCAACACTATCTTAATTTTCAATGTTTCTCTAAGTACAGGTGATTGATTACCCAGAAAATTGGAAGACTGCTCTAGTCAGACCTTTAAATAAGAATCCCCTAACTTCCACAAGATTAAAGGCCTATTATTAGTATTTTTCCCGCTCTCTTCAAGGCACTCTAAAGAGTCATTCCACTCTTTAATTTCCGATTTCCTCTCTCAAAGCAATATTTTAAACAAATTTCAATCAGGTTTCCGACAATCTTATATCACTGAAACTGCTTTATAAAAGATAAATGATGACATACACCTTGCTATGGATTGTAGTCAATGTACAGTCTTAACATTATTTGATCTTAGCAAGGCTGTTGATTCAGTGAATCATGAAATTCTTCTTACCAAACTCAAAATAAGTTTTTATGATAGTTCATTATCCTGGATGAGATCATATCTTTATGGCCGAAAACAGTGTGTCCGTGTGTCATGACAAAACTGTGTCTGACTGGAGGCAGTGCCTCCAGTGCCTGTTGCAGGTACCTTGTAGTGTTCCTCAAGGATCAATACTTGGCGCTTTACTTTTGACTACAGGTATCTACATAAACGACATCCTAGTCCAGTTTTGCAACACGCCAAGTTTCATTCTTAAGCTGATGACTTACAAATCTATGCTCACTTCAAAGTCCGTATGGTGAATGAAACAATTACATCAATGGACAACGACATAAACATAATTGTGGAGTGGACAGAAAAGAATGGGCTAAAACTAAACCCTGACAAAACAAAACCAATCATCAACCATGCACGAAAACTCAACTGACTTGACCAAAACATTTTTCCTAACATAACTTTGAGCAGTACAATATTGCCATACCAAGACAATCATAGTCAAGAGTCTTGGTTTGACGATACACAACACACTAAACTGGACTGACACACTGTGGGTAACACCTGTAAAAGGGTGTTTGCCACTGTCCACACACTAAAGAAGATGCAAAGACTTTTACCATTTTACCTTAGACTATAGACTCTTATTGATCAAGTTTTAATGTTTCCCCACTTCAGTTACTGTAATAGAGCAGTTATTGATATGACCGTGACTTTGGCAACAAAGTTACTCAAAATTACTGTATTAGATTTTTGTGATCTTCTACGAGACGATCACATTACACCATATTATATACATATCTCTTTTAAAACTGTCCGACGTTAGAGAAATATGCATTATTAATATAACTCTTTTGGCCATCAATCTCTAAATCCCAAACTGTCTTGTGAACAATTTTAGATTTTTAAATGAAATATGCAAGAGGCTCAAGAAATACCCTCTCTAGCTCATCAACTCTCCAAATTCCTCGTCACAAGACAACTGTTTTAATAGATGTTTTACAGGAACAGCAATATCACATTTGAAACTCCCTACCCATCTCTATCAGATGCATAAAATCCCATTCCAGACTGACGGCGGCAATGAAAGCGTACAACCTCAATCGGATGGCCGTGCATGGCAGGATTGGGTGTGTTAGGCCTAGGTGTGGCAGAGAGTGAATGTATGCTAGGGACAAATATTTGTTACTATAGTGTCAAGTTATCATTTATGTTTATAGTTTGAAGAAAGTGTTATAAAACGTATTGTTTAGTTTACATTTACATAAGAGGTTAACTGTAAGAAACGTTCGCTTAGGAAAAAAGTATTTTCATTTAATTTGTACTGTGATACTGTTCAGAATATATACAGTAGATAAAGTTCAGTAAACAATTTTGTTGATTACTTTAAGAAAAATATTTGTGTATAGAAATAGGTTATGAATTCCAATCATTGATCAACCAAAAAAGGAATGTTTTCAGAAACAGCCTTGTGATCCTTTATTTCGGTCGATTGGGAGTTTACTATTAAGATCAGTTTTATTACAAACTACTATAAAAAGCTTTGAACAACTAAAGAATCTCAGAAAGAAATCCCAACAAACACTCAATTTATGATTTTCTGCTTCCATGGCGTCAACTGTCTATGCATTGGCAAGGCAGGTCCCTACCAGTATCTTTGTTTCAGAAAACATTTTTGGAAATCAAGGAATTCAGTTTCTTTTTCAATGTAAGCTTTCTTATTTTATTGGTTATTTACAGTACTTTCAAATTTCAATAGCTAGTGATCAAAGGCATTTTCCACCAGGCTATCAACAATAGTCACAATTTTCATCCATGTTTTTAATCCATCCCCGAAAACTGATCAGACAGTTTAAAATGCTCTGGAGGAACCATCATGAGTTGTTGTTCATTTTGGGAATCTAAAGTTGTTTATATCCATTACCTTTTATTTATTGGGAAGGGTATACTGAGTATGCTTGAGAGGAAAACAGTCTAGATTAGTTGGGAGAACATGCACGGATTAGTTATTTGTGTAACTAGTGGTGAAAGTGGCGCTTTGCTGCACACGAGAGCAATGCGGAATGATCTCGAGTGCAGCAAAGGCCTTTTCCACTTGTGTTACACATTATATTTTTCCTACAGTCACTATAAAGCATACAAATAATTAGTCTTTCAAACACTATACAACACGTTTTTAGGTTCAGCTGGCAACACAAATGGTGCCCTAGAGAAAGTAGTACCCGCGGTCCGTATCACTCCGCTATTTTTCCTGGGCAAGAAATGTGCTCCGCGTTTTGAGAATATAGTCCCATATGTTTTTGTAAATTAAAGTGGTTTCCGCGCCTAAAAAAAAAATGCTTTAAAGGTATTTTCTTGTTTATTAGGGTCGTAGGAATGTTTTAAAAACGTTTAAAAGAAAAGTCCAGAAAGTTCAGAAATACCGAAACTATAAACACGAAATGACAGGTTAAATCGTAGTTATAATAGTCAATCAGCTGCTCATAGTATTATTATCTTTAAGTGTTGCCAACCTATTTCCAAGCGTACACGGATTACGTGCATAATAGAACCACGCTGTTTTGTGTTGTTTCGTTGGAATCCTGATGTGCGGAAAAGTATAAACCGTACGACAAAGTATAAACCGTACGGCAAAGTATAAATATGCAGCAATTAGCAGCTTTCTGTACTATAAACAGTACAGGGAAGCCAACTTTGTCGGGTGACTGTAGGAAAAATCAATTTTCATGTCTGTAACTGTACAACTTTCATTGTAATCCCAGTTTTCCAGTGTTCAAATTAAGTATTGTTCGACAACCCCAACATTAATATAAACTTGACTGACCTGATTTCCTTTGACTTTAATAAGTTCCTTGGTTCTATCGACAATGAAGAAGTATCCATCCTCATCGTAGTAGGCAACGTCTCCTGTTCTCAACCAGCCTTCCTCAACGACTGTCTCTTTTGTTGCCGCATCATTGTTTAAGTATCCTGCCATAATCTGGAAGAAAAGGAATATTTTATATTAAAACAACCTATATAAAAACTTTTTAGATCCAGACAACTTTTGCGAAATGAACCCATGAAAATTTAACTTGTTAAGTAATTTTAGGACAACCTTTTTTTTACAAAAAATTCAATTTTTTACCAAACAATTTTATTACAAGTTCATTATCTGTAGCGTTGATATTTTATGCAGTGATAAACTTGCTACGTTGAATACTTCTCGACAGAATATTTAACAGAACTGGGTAGTTATCTAACATCGTAGTAATCATTGAGTTGTAATTTCCATCTTGAGTAAAGTCAACAGCACTTTGATGGCTCTACTAAACTGGACACAGCTCCATAAACAACTTGCCCTGGTGTGTTATAGTGTCTTAGTAGTAAGTTAACAGAATGATAAATATGAGATTAGTAGTCATGACTTACCTGAGGGCCATGGACGTAGAGTTCTCCCGCATTGTGAGGTCCGAGGGTTTCTCCAGTCTTGAGGCTAACCACCTTCGCCCTCGTCCCTCTCACCAGACGCCCCGCGGACCCAGCCTTGGAATCTGGCATGTCTTTGGGTGTAAATAGTGTAACTGGTGCTGTTTCCGTCATTCCGTATCCTGCACAGTTTTAGCTAGTTATTTTATTGTTGTAAAATTATGTTATCTGTGGTTATTTTATGAGAAAAAGTGATTGGTCTTAATTTGTTGGCGGTGACATCATTGAATTCTCAGTCTTCCAGTGTAAATTTCGGAAGACCGAGAATTCAGAAAAGGGACTGGATTCTAGTCTTATTGTGAAGTGGGAAAACATCTTGTACAGAAATTGTAGACTCCTATATTTTCAAGGGAATTCAATGAATGTTTATGTTTAAGTATGTTAAACACTTTAAAAAAAACACACTCGAAAACTCTTTTAAAACGTTCACTATCATATAAACATCAATAACATTCTTTTGTTTTAATTTGTGGGTAACACAAATTTTAAGTTTTGTGGAATTGAGGGGGTTTGCTTTTTAATTGTGTACTCTTCTGTGAGTGTTTGTTATTATTTTTATAACTTCGGCTGAGGTTTGTGAGGTTCTATTTTATATTGTTTTGTTACCTTCTTTCCAGAGGACATGATCCGATCCCAGATCCCTAAAGGTTGTGAAAACTTGTTTTTTACTAGTTCTGATGGAAAATGTACACAATATATTAGGCAATTCAACCCTCCGAGTGTTATGTGTCGTAAAAGCGACTCATAACACACTTTGTGTAGTGTTTTGTGTCGCTTTTGCGACTCACAAACACTGTTTACGGCGAAGGCTCTATGACTGACTAAATCGGATTGAACTGGATCGAGTTAGGTATAGTTTTTTTTGGCAGATTCTAAGCTTTCTCCCGAGGTCTGTCTCTAAGCACTTTACAGGGTAAGTCCTCCGAGTATTGTGAGCTTACCCTGTCTGATGGCAATGTCTCTTCTGCCGACTTTCTCGTAGAACTTCTCGATGAGACTCTTGGTTGCTGGGGCAGCTCCACAAGTTATCTCCTTGATGGAAGCCAAGTGTTCAGGCTTGACTGCAGGATGTGATGCTAGGAACAGAAGCAGGGATGGCACAACGAACAGGAAAGTGGGCTGCAAACATAGAAACTTTCAACAACTATACACTGGATTTGCTTATATTTATCTATGCAATATAATTAACTATCACGTGGCTTTAAATGAAGGGAGTTCTCCACTAGAGAAGGTTTTTCTCGATTGTGAAATTTTTTCGGTTCCTAGGATTTACAGCTTACAAATGGGCTACAGATAATTAAACCGTGTAAAATCATATAAAAGCCACAGGTGATATGGTGGGATTAGGATCAGAGCCACCAGGAACAAAGTTCCTCGCTTTAACCACTATAGACCAATCACGCCTTTATAGGTAATAGTGTTTTGCTCCACAGGGTAACATTTATGTAAACATAAGAACAATGGTGTGGTGGTGGAACAACATCTAAGACAGTTTTATTCAACAGGTTCACTACCAGCTTTCACACTCTTCTGTATCTATAGTCTCCTGACATCCGTGTGTGAATGTGTTGAACATTGAACAAATTGTAGATACATGTATAGTAAAACACTGACCAGGGGAAGGCTTTTTCAGAAAACTCATTTTTTCATTTATACAATGGTCGGAATTCGAAGGTTATTTTGGTTCATGAATATCTAAAACAGTTGTTTTCCTAAAATCTACTACTGAATACCCTAAATATATTTCTCAAAATAATTGACAGTCGTTTTCTAAAATTTATTTCTATCACAATCCATGATGATGTCTGCTCCATTACACTCTGTAGGCAAGCTGGACCAGATACACCCTAGCTAATTTTCCAATTGATTTGAATTCTTTATCACGGTGTCAGTTTAACGAAGTGTGGTTAAAAAGGGGTTTTCAGTATCATTGTGTATTTTTGTAATGCATTTCAATTTACTGATTGTACACTTATTCCTTCTTCTAATTGTTAGAAACTTATATTCTTAAGATAAGGATTCAAAATAAAAAGCCTACCAGCATAGTATATCTATCATCTTTACCTATCTATTGTTTTAGTTATATGTGTGTATGAGTCCATATAACCTTCATGGGATCACTTAAATAATCTTAACTTTGCCTTATTACACCACATCTATATTTTCATTTTGATTTAAGATAGAAAAATTCTGTTACAGTTCGGTCTCTAAAAAACCAACATTATGCATGAAAATAAACAATGTCAACTGAAACACATTCTAAGTTTAGTGAGTTAAGTTAAACATAACAGTGTACTGTATAACAAAAATTGCATACTTATGTATGTAATAATGAAATTGAATTAAGTTGAAGAAGAGGAACCATAAAGTAATTGATTTGTTACGAGCACAGTTAATAAAGGCTGAAAAACCTAAAACTCTATAAAATAGAGTCATTTACATTTCAAAATGTAAATGTTATCAGAAGGCAAAACTTCTGTCCTGGAGGCTCTGTTTTTTACACCATAAATCACAAATGGTGTCACAATGCCATACCTGGGGGTTCCGAATCCATGCCTTAGGTTGTAAGTTTACCTAAGACCTAAAAGTTTAGATCTCTTTAGGTTAGGAAACCCATCCAAATAAATAAATAAATCCATAGAATAAATCATAAATTTATTTAATTAGGGAAAAACCATTAAATACAAAAATATTATTTAATGAGGCACTAATATACTACCTTATATTTGAGCACACATTCGATGTATGACTCTGGAGTGAATTTAGGAATAGAGATCATATGAAGTCCATAGAGGAGGGATGTATTGAGAATTGCGTTGAACCCGTAAATGTGGAAGAAGGGCAGAACACTCAAAACACGCTCCTGGTAATCACCTGTAATCAATGACAAATCCCGTAACTTAGTGAACAATTTAACTACTGATATTTGATTTATTAAGTTAAGGTATACAATTATTTATCATCATAGCACCTCAAAATAGCTGTGCATTTTGTTTTACTATTTGTTATATCTTTTGTAAAACTTATTGAATTTTTTTAATTGCTTATTTTTCATTCTATATCATCATTGACACTAATTTAATTGACTATTGGATACAGAAAAAGACATCCATATGCATGAGCTGTCGCCAATTTTTTTACTAAAAAATAATGTAGTTGTGTGAGCCAGTCACAGAATGTGCTATTGTCTAAAAATTTGTCTACCATACTTTTTGTTCCTGACATAGTTTATAAAGGTCATAACATTTGCTGCTCATAATAAGTAGTTCCATCACTTTGACTTGGTAAAAACCATCGAGTATTCGACAGAAGTCAGTGATTTAGGTCAATCTGTAGGTGGCTCACATCAACTACAACAAATTTGATTAAAATCATGGGGACAACTTTAACATGGGGATGGAATGTCTAGTTGTATGAATAGTCAAAGCTACTATGAAGATAAGTAGTCACACAATTTGTATGTTAAGAGTCCACCCTACCCCTGCCGTTTTGTGTAAACGCAAGGGTCTGGGGCAACCGTGTTTCCGAAGGCTACACTTAACGTAGAATCAAAGTTAGGGTGGCATTTTGAAGAGGATTAACCCTAGCAGTGGCCAAGGAGTGTAATACGCTCGTTAGCCGTGACGCCTAGAATGGCCACCAGTGTAATACGCTAGTATGGGCAGACATTTTTAAACAGTAAAAAAACCGCTTATAATCAACTCTGATATGAGCAATATATACAGGGTGTTCATTTGAAAACTTTCCATATCTGTTGTGTGCAAAGGTAAGGCTCTTAACACTTGTTTGTTCTCATTTCCACCTAATTTGGACATGCCAAATCCAATAAAATTATTTTCAATTTTGAAAAATGCCCCAAAAGGGCCCAATTTGGGGGGTAGGGGTGCTTTTTGAGAAATTTTCAAATGTAAACATGGGTTATGTGATACATCAATTTAAAGGTCTAATCACCGCGATCATTTTGGTGCAAAAAAAGTTTAATTATCTTTAACCGTATTTACAGGGTGGGTCAAAACGTTTTAAAAAAGGACTTTGAAGTTAAGTACCGTATTACCCTAACTAATGAACGGAACAGCGCCAAATTTCTTTCCAAGCTTATTCTTGAGCTACTCTTTAAGATAACTTGTAGTAAGGGCATTTTCCATGTTATTATCTAATTTAAAAAAAATCTCAAATTTTAAGAATAAAAGAAAGCTGAAAACTCAAAATTCTTAAATAGCAAGGTATAACAAATTTCATACCACGTGAAAGGTCATTTTTTAACAAACATTTTACGTATTTAAGTTTTCTTTCTATCTCTTACTGTTTAAAAATTGCAGTAGAAAATCATAATTTTCCATGGTAAAATTATAATTTTTTCTAATAAAACACATTGCACTTTGCTCAACGATGTAGTAGGATTTATTACAAATTGATCGACTACTTTTACTTGTGTCAGAATTCATCTTGGACCCTTCATCCTGTTCTTTTCTCATTGGTAACTGAGCCACTTTCAGAAAACTTCCTAACTAAATCATTTACAGCCATATGACTCTAGGTCTTACCTGGATATCTATTGTTAAACACTTTGCAGTTATCCTGGAACACTTTTGTTCTGACCAATAAGTAAAAATAAAGTCTTTTTTTTAGTGTACACCATATTTGATTAGATACTACAGGAAATGGTACTTTTGCAATTAGTACTACCATTGACTAGTCAATGGTACTACAGAAAGCGGCCCACGCTTGGGGTTTTCTCATCAGCTATAAAACTTGTTTTTCACAAAGTAAAACGTAATAACTTGTTTGTCTATCTGCCTATAAATAATAATTAATTGTTTCCTTCAGTTGTTGCACCATTACATGTGTCTAGAGACAAATTTTGGCTGTTTTATTAGAAAACTAGTTAAAATTTTACAATAGAAAATTATGTTTTTCTACTGCAATTTTTAAACGGTAAGAGATAGAAAGAAAACTTAAATACGTAAAATGTTTGTTAAAAAATGACCTTTCACGTGGTATGAAATTTGTTATACCTTGCTATTTAAGAATTTTGAGTTTTCAGCTTTCTTTTATTCTTAAAATTTGAGATTTTTTTAAAATTAGATAATAACATGGAAAATGCCCTTACTACAAGTTATCTTAAAGAGTAGCTCAAGAATAAGCTTGGAAAGAAATTTGGCGCTGTTCCGTTCATTAGTTAGGGTAATACGGTACTTAACTTCAAAGTCCTTTTTTAAAACGTGTTGACCCACCCTGTAAATACGGTTAAAGATAATTAAACTTTTTTTGCACCAAAATGATCGGGGTGATTAGACCTTTAAATTGATGTATCACACAACCCATGTTTACATTTGAAAATTTCTCAAAAAACACCCCTACCCCCCAAATTGGGCCCTTTTGGGACATTTTTCAAAATTGAAAATAATTTTATTGGATTTGGCATGTCCAAATTAGGTGGAAATGAGAACAAACAAGTGTTAAAAGCCTTACCTTTGCACACAACAGATATGGAAAGTTTTAAAATGAACACCCTGTATATACCATTCGAAAGATCACATTCTGAACTTTTATTTTATTATATAAACAAACCCTGTAGCAGGTATATAACAATGTCACAACGATTATAAATCAAATGAATTTTTGGCGCGGCATGACTTTTGCAGCTGACACTTGGGAACTGTCAAAACACGACTTGTTTCGCATTACCCTGGTTGGGTAATTTTCGTCTTGGGATGTTGCGGGTGGTACCACTGGATAGCCTTTGATTTTATCTTCATTGTGGTATTGATATTTAGAACGAAATATTGATTGCACAACAGTGTACGATTTTATGAAAACAGATGTTTTCAAAATTTATAACAAATGGCCAACCAGTGTAATACGCTAGTACGGAAAATACGAATGACATACAGTGTAAGTTATTATTATTAGTCATATAATATGTAATTTTGAAGAGGAAGAAATGTAGCTTATGATAGTGGCAGCCCTGTGCTCAGGGTTATTATTTCCGTTTTCTCTCACTAAGACGACGAAAGTGTGTCACTACTGTCAAGGTCTCATACACAAAGTGCCTTGTATTCGCCATTGCGTGTTGTTGCTGGTGAGTTTTCGCTCTCGTTTTATCTGCGATTTATTACTAAATTCGTTATTATTTCGTATTGTTAGAGAAATGTGTGTGTACTGTATATAACAGTAATATTCATGGATTTTATTATGCATGAATATTTACTGAATAGTGTGAAATTGTGTTTATAAGAGGTTGTATTTTTCTTGCGGTTGTATTCTGCGGTTTTCTGTTTAGGCCTATTTATATTATTATGCCCCTAACAGGTAAAAAAAAAATTGTTACCCAACGTGTTATACATTTTTATTTAGGTAATTGAATACACTACAAGATGATTATGTTTGTTTGAAGTAAATACCCCCGCCGCAGCAAACCTGCAGACTTAGCGAATTTCAATTTGCCTGATTGGATTTAAACTAAAATGTCTCCTTAAAAATATCACATTTATTCCCTATTTAAACAGAATTAGTTTAATGAGTACTTAGGTTTGCTGCAACAGGGAGGGTTAAAGTTTTTTTTTTTTAATGTAAAATGTTAAAAGGTACTGTGGTTTAGTAAGAAATTAATGTATTTTCCAAATTTTATCAAAATATGTTCATAAACAAGCAAACTACAACAGTTGACGTATTCTCCATAAGAATAACATGGGAATTTTAAAATTAAAATTTTTTTGAATTTTCTCCGTAACAGTTAGGCGCATAATAACGCTTCAATATCCTAATTTATTTGTTTTTTTAAGCTCTACAAAATGGTTTGAAAATAAATTGTGAAATTTTGTGTTTTTAGGGTAAAAAATGGGAAAAACCTATTTTTACCCCATAAAACCCCCCATAAACCCCCGTTCCCATAGTCCGATCATGCTGGTTCACGAATTCATTCAAGTTTATCCCGCCTTACACCTTCAAACCAAATTTTATCAAAATCGGACAAAAATTACTCAAGTTATCGTGCGGATGGACACATATATATATATATATCTATATATAGATATCTAAAAATTTGAACAAATGGTGTTTTTGGCCTCTGGGGATATCAAAATGAAAAAGTTAATCGGTCCCGGGCTTAGGTCTTACCATGAGACCTACGGTAATAGCTACTTCCCTATAGGGAAATTCGCTAAAACATTCGGTACAAAAGTTTTATACTAAATTCTATGAATTTTTTTCACAAAATCGCTAAAACACAAAAACATTATTTTATTTATAAATAAAAAAATTATTTTTACCATAAACTTTATGACTTTTTTGGATTCCTTACTTTACAAGCTCTACAAACATGTATATATCATTAATAGTACCGTATACACATATATAACTTTTTACAACACAAGCTGTAGGCCTACGGTTTTCAATTTTTTCAGTTCTCCGTTTGTTATTGCCCTAACATGTTATATATTTCTATGTAAAGAATTAGATTGTCTACAAAATGTATATAATGAATTTCCCATAAAAAATCTGTAGAAAATTTTGCCGAGGCTGCTTTTGAAAATTCAAAAAGAAAAATTCTAATTTTTTTATTTTTTTCACTTTACCGAAAAAATACACTATCTAATTCCCCACTTCCAACATTGGCCACTGCTAGGGTTAAATTATCTAGATTGTTGTGGCTTCAATAGTTTTAATATCGTACCATAAAGCCTGAAAATCTTTTCTTTGAATGTAGACGAAAAACGGCAATTTTAAACTGCTTTAACTCATAGAATTGTTACTTTAAAATTCTAAAACCAGAGACGCATAGATTGTTCTTTGTTCTGTAAAACCCCACTCATTTTTTTACTAGCATGTATGGGTATAGTTTACAAAGGCAGTTGCCGTGAACGTCTGCAAGCGCTTCTCACGGCGCTTTTCAATGGCGCAACATAGCTACTGAAGCCCGAGCTGAGATTTCCGAGTCGATGTCCTGCGGACCCTTAAAGCTGTAACCTCAGAAGGCGAGATTTTTTTTAAATGACTGTTCGTCCCAGTGTCAGGGGGCGTCAAGTCATAAACACTTCAGTTTTAAAAATTGGTTATGTAGGACAGGTGATAAAGAGCTGTTACAGAAATCCCCTTTATTGTATTATAGAAGAAGGCATTTTGGTAAAACATGTGATACCCAAACCCACTTGCCAATCAATGTATTTGTAAATAATACTGGTCATTATTGAAGTTTCAATAACAATGGGGTTTTAATCAAAATGTTTGCATGATTAATCCAATGATTCAGTACTGATAAGTGATTTAATTAAATCAGATAAAAGCTTATCTATGCACAACAAACAAAGGTATGAACCAATCTTTGTTCAGTAACCTAGAAAAGAACACTCACTACTGATAAAGAATGGACAAAGTTCACTAGTACAATTTATCAGCTGATTGTGATATAACACTATCACTAGAACAATAAGAAAACTTGTGCTGAGCAATCCATCTACAAGCTAAATATGAATGACAGTTTGCCATATAGCCATGATTACACAAAGCGGGCAGGTTATCTGCCTGAAGTAACTTGAAATACACTAGAGGCAGGTAAGGTGCTATGTAACCTGCCTGTCTACTGGCCTTTTGTAAACACGGCTTACAACAAATGTTACACTCTCTTTTTAAAACTATGTACTTTACAGTGGGGTAATTGTTATCTCATTCTATGTTGCCTTTTTTCACTATTCTTATAAACTGTACAGATTTTACTTTTTCAAGAAAATATTTAGCCTTATCTTAAACAGAAACTCTAACAATGTCTTATGCACCACCTTTTTGGAAAATAGTGATACATTTTGGATAAATTTAACGATTCTGTACACAAAAGCGGTTATTCTTGCATTAAAAATCAAATTGATGCCTTATAGAAATATATAATCAGTACATTGGGACCTATTTAATTATTATAAATTACGGTTTTTTATGACCTGATTCTTCTGATGTAAAAGTTTCATATTCATTACAAATATAACATGTAGGTAACAGAAAGTTATGAGAAATAAACAATTTACCTCAAGGTAAATGAAAGTTCAATTTATTACCAAGTCAAATTATCTAATCTGGCAAGACCTAAGGTAATGAAATGTCTCAAAGTTTGTTTTATCTGAATGGTCGGCTCACCTGAGGTAGGGGTGTGGTTGACGATTTCTGGGTGGTTGCAGGCTTCTAGACTGGCAATACAGTTCTTGTGAGTCAACATAACACCCTTGGGCATCCCTGTAGTCCCACTGGAGTAGGGTAGCAGAGCAACCTATGTACAACATAAATCAGTAACAACACACAGATGAGCGTTTCATGCTGAATATCAATACAACAAGTGTATACTCACAAATCTGCATTGGACAAGTCTAAAGACCAAGTCATGTATTTAATTTGAATGTGAATCTTTCACAAACTTATTTTTGACCAATCAGGGGCAGACAATGTTTTTTGTTGAGTAGCCACATTGAGGTGTTTTAACACATTCAATTGTACTTCACAGTCTAGTCCAGGCAACGAAAGGATATAGAGGGAAATTTTTGGAACACAATTTCTGACTTCGTAACTTTGTTTAGTATAGTTAGGAGGTTAACATACCAAAAGTCCCCGCCTCTAGCCCTTGTGCTGTGGGGGAGGGGGGGGGCTTGAAGGTACCATTTTTCGGTTTTTGGCTAATATCTCGGAAACCATGCGTCCAAGCGAAATTATGCTAATATACAAAATGAAAGCTTATTAAATTTCCAACAAGTTTATGATTTACTATTTTTTGATATCTTGTATGGTTTTTGTGTTATTTGCCATCCAAAGTTTGTAAATTTGGAAAAATACATTTTTTCCTCATGTTTTTTGTTCTTTTTGACAAGTTGCCTCTCAAACTATGCACCCAAAAAATAAATGCTGGGCATAGGGTTGTAGAGAATTAAATTCCCTTCAATAATATATATGACTTTACTAGTTTACCTCCTTCCGTTCAGATTTTAAAGCAAATTAACTGTCAGTATAAAAAAATTAAATTTAATTAAAATTTAAGAAAATTAAAATCTAGTGTTGAGCAAGGAATTTGCAGTCTTGCAACAGCTGTTGACTACTTAATATATTTTAATTTATCACCTTACATTACTAATTGGTTGGAACATTCACTATCAAGTAGCTAAGGTGAGTGATGGGCGTCTAAAAATGGCACAGATACCCTATAGAAAATATATACTTGTGGGCTGCCTAACCAGCTTCCTCACACTTGATGATCTAGCTAGTTTATTGTAATGGGAAAATATGGTGTTATAACCATGTTAATGCATATAAAAGTGTCTATATGACACTGGAAACCAATCACAACCATTAAATTTAAACAAAGATAAATTACATATTTGAATGAATTAATATAAAAAATTGCATCAGTAAGTAGCCTACTATTCTATCCCTTGCTATCTTATTTTAATAAGGACTACCATCCTCATCATTTGTATCCTTTTTTTCTCCATCGGACCTATTTTGGAAATAGGTATACTGTTTTTCTTCATATTCTTAGTCATCTTTCCCAGGGACAACATTTTGACATTTTTGGCATACTTATTTTAGGCTTGCTTTTTTGCTACCTGATTTTGCACGAGTACAGTTTTATGTGCATAGGCAGAAAACAATTTTGAGGATATCCTTCAGTGTAGTTTCATGCTGAGTGTACTCTGTTACTACAGAGTTTTTATTATTCTTTTCCACTCTTACATAAGAGAAGGCAGGTTATTTCCCAGCCACAGCTGAACCTTTTGGAATGTACATGATAGGAAACGATGTTTGAAAGCACCATCAGTCGGAGGAAGACAAGAGATGGGCGTCCATCGAAGGCTTGATGGAGACCATCGATTTAAAAATTGACTTCTACCTGTATAGATTGGAGTTGAAGTGCACGATACCTCTCTCGCTGAAGCCCATATCAAATCAAGATGTACATTTTCCCTACCTTTTTTATTTGGGTGGTGTTGGAGAGGGGGCGTGAAAGACAGATGATGCATTTTGGGCCACTGGGGAATTCAGATACAACTTCGCAACCTTGCTTTTCTCAAATGCTGAAGATTTTTTGTCACATCCAGTAGAATCGCGTTCAAAATATCATCTAATCCTTGTTAAGATAGTTTATGGTGCCAGAAAAAGATGTCCCTTACCTTCTTTCTTAGAGAATAAGAGGATAAAAACGATTATGAGGATGGTAGTCCTTTCCAAACTAAGATAGCAAGGCTGAATTGATTCAATAGTAGGCTAAGGCTACTCACTAATGTAATGTTTTATGTTAATTCCTAATTAAACATGTCAATTGTCTTGGTTTCAATTTTATGGTTGTGATTGGTTTCCAGTGTCATATAGACACTCTTATATGCCTAAACATGGTTATAACACCATATTTTCCCACTACAATAGTCTAGCTAGATCATCAAGTGTGAGGAAGCTGGTTAGGCAGCCCACAAGTATATATTTTCTACCCATGTAGCACAGATGGTTGGGCCAACGTTGGTAAATTGTGGAGCCACACAGTTGGCCAACGGTAGAAATGTCACCTCTTTAAACTGTTTTCCAGCCAACCATTGTCCAACCGTTTTATTTCACACAAAATAATAAAGATTTAGTACGAAAAGCATAATTATTAGTTGAGTAAATTGATTAAATAGTTCATAAAAACAAATTTTGAAAAAAACTAGAACAAAATTTTTTTGGCCCAGACGGGTCTCGAACCCGGGTCCATCGACTTGAGCCTCTTACTTTACCACTGAGCTATCTGTGATTGCTGATATAGAGAGTTTTCAAGTGGTGAAAGAGTAGCCGACAGTTGCAATGGTCGCAATACTTCAAACATTTTTGATACTACACAGTATAATATGATTCTGTTAATCTGTTAAGGCATCATAAGTAGTTTTTTTTTTTTGAGTTAGAGAGGATACTGGTATTTGAATGATTAATTAATTACCGTTAGATTGTTAATGCTATTATAGTTGCCTGTTATATGATTAATTACTCTTTCCCCTTAAATTGTTGCAAATAAGTTAAAGAATATTAATTTAAAAAATATTTGCATTATTAAAATTATTAAAATTCATTGTTGTAGCGCCGGAACTGTAATATATAAAATATCTGGTTTTACAATACCTTTATCAGTTCCAAAAACTTTTGGAAACTTTTGGAACTGATAAAGGTATTGTAAAACCAGATATTTTATTATAATTATGTTGTGAAAGCTAGACCCAGAGAATGAAAGTCGTGTAAACTCAACTATGGACCATTGTTGGTCCAACAAAAGTATCTTTTGTTGGTCCAACGGAGTGAAAAACGGTTGGACAACGGTTGGCTTGATGTATGATACCCAGCAATGCATATTAATGTATTTCATTAACAATGAACCAATGTTGGTCCACAGTTGTAAATATTGGTTGGCCCAACTACGAGATATACAGTTGGACAACGGTTGGTTGGTTGTGGAAGCTCCAACCAACCATCGACCAACTGTCCCACAGTTGGCCAACGTTGGCCCAACCATCTGTGCTACACGGGTAGTGTATCTGTGCTATTTTTAGACGCCCATCACTTACCTTAGCTACATGATAGTGAATATACCAACCAATTAGTTGACTTTGTAAGGTGATAAACTGAAATATTAAGTAGTCAACAGCTGTTGCAAGACTTCAAATTCCTTGCTCAACACTAGATTTTAATTTTCTTAAATTTTAATTAAATTTAATTTTTTTATACTGACGGTTAATTTGCTTTAACATCTGAACGGAAGGAGGTAAACTAGTAAAGTCATATATATTATTGAAGGGAATTTAATTCTCTACAACCCTATGTCCAGCATTTATTTTTTGGGTGCATAGTTTGAGAGGCAACTTGTCAAAAAGAACAAAAAACATGAGAAAAAATTTATTTTTCCAAATTTAAAAACTTTTGATAGCAAATAACACGAAAACTATACAAGATATCAAAAAATGGTAAATTACAAACTTTCTGGAAATTTAATAACCTTTCATTTTGTATATTGGCATAATTTCGCTTGGACGCATCGTTTCCGAGATATCAGCAAAAACCGAAAAATGGTACCTTCAAGCCCCCCCCTCCCCCACAGCACAAGGGCTAAAGGCGGGGACTTTTGGTATGTTAACCTCCTAACTATACTAAACAAAGTTACGAAGTCAGAAATTGTGTTCCAAACATTTCCCTCTATACCCTTTTTTTTAGCATTCGTTGCCTGGACTAGTCTGTCAAACTTAAGATACTGATAAACTGGAACATCTTGCCGATGAGCTTTGACGGAGGCGGTTGTCTGCTCTTCACTATATGGTTCAAAATAATAGTTGGGTACTTGTTTAGTTTCTTGATCATAGATCCAAAACTCTTACTGCAGTTTTATAAGGAACGTATAAATCAACTTTGTTGTAAATAAAATGCTTTTTGAATTTGATAATTACAGTTGGTTAAAAATTTGGAGATAGTTGAAAAATTTCAGAAAATGGTCCTAACAGTATGTTTTTTTAAAACTTTCACTCTTGCTTTAAAAAATTGGATGCTTCAGCAAATGGAACTCTTCCAACAACTTATATTTGGGTTGTACAAAGGTCCCTAGGCTCTGCATTTCAGTTAGATTTTTGTACACTCTCACCTTATTTTACTGAGAACTTTTACAGCAATTTTAGCTGGGTAGGAAAACTTTTTCAGAGGAAAAATAATCTACTCAGTGATAGTAGTCAATTTACAGAAATCTATTGTTTTTTCCACATGATCCATTATAATGATAAATCCCTTACATTTGTTTATACTCTCTCTGTTTATCGGCAGATTATGTTGCACTGTGTTTTACTTAAATTATAAAAAATAACAACTTAGTTTTATTTAACTCCTTTTGAAGAGGAAAGATTTGTTCTATTAAACTTTTAACTCAGCAGATATGTTGTATATGTCTGGTTTTGGTAAACAAGTGCGTTGGGAGGGAAGCAAAATGCTGTCAGTTTCAATTTTAGTTTAATCTCTGTTATCAATAAAAATGCTAATGTGGCTATTTGCAGAGTTTCATCCCTAGAATTCAAGGAATCTTAGCTAGATGTTGAAAACCAATTATCAGGGCAATTGATTGGGTGTAAATGTTAAATTGCTGTAATAACTAAGTAAATTAATTATTGTGAGGTATTTTTTTAGTTTTGTTAATAATACAAATATGTTATAGTCAAACAAATATAGGATATGACCTTACAAAAATTGCAAGAAAACGTTTTATGGTTTTATTTTGTAGTGTTGGATCTGCAGAGTGACATACTAAAAGTTGCCAAAAATCGGTCCACAGGAAAACCCCTAAAATCATGATTAAAAATGACAGATTTTCCCAACATTGGACAAATTGTTTTAAACAAGTTTGCACATGCATTTTTATGCAAATTTTTTTAGATATTGACTTGTAACCACCGCTAATATTTATTGGGTGGTTAGTACTTCATTTTGATAGGGAACATGTTTATGGCCACCATCTTGGATTTGCCATATTGGATATAAACATATTTTTTTAAATGCAATGATAGTGTTGTGACACATCATTATTAACTAGATTTTCATGCCGATTTCAGAGCCAAAATCCGTTTTAGAAAATATCTTTTTGTTTTAAAGATATATTCAAACAAAAACTCTCCCCCACATACATTTCTTACGGACGTTTCATAATTTAATTATTAAAAAAAAATTTTTTTTTATATCTCCAGTTCTTAAGGCTTGCAGTTTGTTTTAGCCTAAACAAATTCATCAATATATAAGGGCTTCCATTTGAGCTATTGATCATTAAATTCAAACAAGTTAGAGACCAGCTACGAACCAAAACACAAAATTAAGTTTAACTTTTTAGAAATCTGTTAGTATTAAAATATTTATATCTCGGCCTGTTAATACTTCACCAAGTTCTTTCTGGTCTTAAATTACTCAGTAAATGTTTGGCTTTAATTGTATTATAAACTTGATAAAATCAACAAATCAAAATACACAAACAAGAGGTATCCGATTTGACTATTCAATGACGTTTTTAATATTTGTGAAAAACTGTTTGGTAAATTAAATCCTCAAAGACTTCTATTACTATTTTATCTGCAGTTTATAATATAAATATACTTTTTGCTTCATTGGCAGATATAATTTCAGATTAAAATGTGCCCTACCGTTTAATAAAAAAATAAAGTCTGAAAGACGAACTTCCTTAAGCTAAATCAGATTTTAGTCAAGGTTCACTCAACTATGAATTCGGGTGATCCACCAGGTAGAATCTCCAAAAAAGGCAGTCATTAATTATTTTCTGCAGTGAACGTAGTGAAATACACTCTACTTACATGATTGGGGTCAATCTCAGGCAGGATAACGTTAGGCTTAGCCGATGTGACGATGTCCTTGAAGCCGAAGATTCGGTTAGTCTGATCCGTCTCTCCCCCAACAATGATGGTGCCTTTGTAGCCCTTCAGCTTGGGTCCGATGCCTTCCATGACTGGGAACAGCTGCGGAATTGTGACGCAACATTTGACGTTGGCATTCTCAAACTGACGAAGGATCTCCCCTGAAAAAGGGATTTTGTTGACGTGAAGGGTAATGAGGGAGTTCACATTAATAACGGTTATCCAATAACATAATGTTTTATTCCATATATTTGTATGAGAGGTACCGGTAACTTAAGTATTTCTGTTTTATTGCACAGTGATATCCAATAAAGGAAAATTTACTAAAACATCAATCGTAATTATGGTTGTGCATTATTTTATGTTAACTCAGTGTTGGAGTGTATTAAATGCTATATTTCTGTGTATTGACAACAACAATGTGTTCAAATAATTTTATGAATGATGACAAGAATTTTGAAAATTAAACAACTGTTTTGAAACTAGTTGCCCAATACTAAACTAGAATTGACGACTTAAGGTAATAAACCTATTTTACCTAACCCGCCATGTTAAACTCGCCTATCCCAAGCGTGATGTATATAGCTTCGTTACTTCTCGAGTGATGTAAAGTTGAAAAAAACTCACTCGGTGATGTAATGAAACCCATTTAAATAACATTGAGTGCTTAACTTAAAAAATATACCTCTTTGGAGCCAACGACGTTCAACGCTAGAAATCAGCTGTGCGCTTGAATTTTATTGTTATGTTTTGAAGAATTATCCTAACCTAGCTTTTGTTTGTAAATGAACGTTCCTGTTAGAAGATGAGTGAAATGGATAATGAAAAATATTGTTCGTAACCTCCTGTATATTGTCGGGTCAGGTAAAATCTTGTACGTTAAATGTTACGCAAGAGCGTGTTTACATCACTTTGGTAAATTATGCAACTCGCTTCCGCTCGTTGCACGACATTCACCTGCGTGATGTAAAAACGCTCTTACTACACTTGTAAGGTAAATAGCTATTATATTGCCATAAATCAGTCCAGGAGGCAAATCTATATATATAAAATCCAATGTATGTTTGTTTGTTTGCCCTTTATCGACTCCGAAACCGCTCAAAAGATTGTAATGAAACTTTCAGGCATTATTAGGCATTATTCAAGGATGGTTTGTGTGAAGTTTGGTGCAGATCCGTCAAAAGGGCTCCACCCCAATGGAGTTTCCCATGTAAATCTTATGAGTACTCATATTTAAATGGAATTAAAGAATCTTAACAGCTGGTTCAACTAAACAATTTGATTCTGTGATGTTCAATAGCATTGAAAAGTTAATAGGTTTACCAACAGGGTGCAGCACTATTATTTTTTTAAATTTATGACAACAGCTAATTTGCAACCATAAGGTGAGTGAGCGTAGCGAACGAACTTCAACTGGAGGCGAGTTAGCGTAGTGAACGAGCTAAACCTGAAGGAAGGTGAGCGCAGCGAACGAGCTCCAACCTTAAAGTAAGTAAGCGTAGCGAACAAACTTCAACCTGGACGTGATTGAGCCATGCGCACGAGCTCATCTTGAAAATGAACGAGCATTGACATAAAACCACGTTAGGACAGGACGACGTCTTGTCGGGCCAGCTAGTGCTGGTAAAAATGGTATAAAAATGGTATTTCAGGGGGTGTAATAGTAATTAAGTCTTGGGTTCTGTATAATTATTTCCAATAGTACAAGAGGCTCAATATTTAAATCCTATAATATTATTGGAATTAGTCTGTATTCCTCATATTGTCCTTATTGTTAATAATTTACATGATAACTTCCCCATTTTGTACAAACAGCTGATAAAACATATTTTCATGAAATCAGCTGATAAGCTACACAGATTTTATCAAGATATTAGGGCTTGGTATCAAGTGTCTAATTTTTCACCGATGGGATACCAAAACTGAAACCTAAATGATCCCTCATCATCATTTTCTACCCCTCCCAATCCCTCTTCCAGCTCCATAAGACGAACGTGCCATAGCACAACATAAGTCCCATCTTTATTATTTATATTCAGCAGATATATCTAGCTCTAGCATCAGAATTTAACTTCCAAAGTTGTTCCAAAAACAATTGATCAAGGAGGGAGAGGATGATCCTACATTGCTGATTTACTAAGTTCACCTTTAATTTGAGTTATGAACGCATCTAAAATTTCAATGGTGTGCCATTTTGATTTTCTTTTGCAAAAATACAATAGGGTAAGTTAAAAACTACCATTACTGGGTGTTTGATAACAGTTTCTTACCATATGAGGACCAGGTTTTACAATAAATGATCCTGTCTTGTAGCATACCGACTTACCGGATGTGTAAAGAGGGTTAACGAAAGTGACTGTAAGTCCGGCCTCCAATGCTCCGTGGATAGCAAACACATATTCGGGCACGTTAGGCATGAGAAGTCCGACCACATCGCCTTTCTTCAGCTGCAGACGCTGAATTAAAGCAGTTGCAAAGGCGTGAGAGATAAACCTTGCCTCGCCAAACGTGTAGCTGCGCCCACTGCTGCCACATGTCTAGAAAGAAATTAATATATTTTGGTTTACAAAAATTTGAAAATACATAGTAAATTTGTTTTTTTAACCTTAGGTGATTTTTGGGGGTTCTCTGAAGAAGTTTTTGGTTTAGTATAACCTTTTAACAGACACCCTAGAACAAAACTTGGAGAAGTTTAAAATATAAAAAAAATGGTTACAACAGCTTGTTAAAATTATTAATTTAGTTTATCACTCTACAAACTAGACCTATATAATATCCTATACTTTTTTTATAGAACACGTTTCACACATTTTAGTGGCAAATTTGTCCTCCAGACAGGATAAATCTTATTTTTGGGGATGTTCAAAATTAAGGATGCAAAATTTAATGTAAGGTAAGTTATGAATTATTTATTACTCTTTTATCTTATCCTAAAATTAAATACTTTTAGGTGCCCAAAACAGATAAACGCGCATTAAGTAAGTAAGTAAACTCGCTCTATATCGCTTAACGAGTCTGAATGGATTTTCAGGGGCTTAGCTGTATGGTACTTATTTTCAGTGTAAATAATATTTAACTGTGAGAAAAGACTATGGCTGTTATGTACCTGGTATAGAGGAAGAGGACCAAAAAAAAAAGGTTTTTTTTTACAAAAATACGGATAGGGAACCATATTTTGATATGCTTTATTTAGTACCACTACACACTAAAACCCCCTGAAATGTCACAATCTCAGCTTGATTAAACCAAAACATCTGCAGTAGACCTAATGCTCATCTCCTAATAAGCTTTTCTTAGCTCCTAGTCTTAATCATATTTTCTGAAATGTCTTTTTTATTTACCATACCTACACTAGATTATCCCTTTGGATTTAACGTTCAATAAAACGGCCAATTAAGGACTTAATTACTAAGTTTGGAAACAGCTATTCTTATGACATGCAAATTATCAGAATTCTTTGTCAGTACTGTCCTTATAACTTTAATTAAAAGTGTTAACATAATTGGGCTATGTTTTAAATAGGCTACCACATTTATAATAATTGTAAGTACATAATCTATATAATTAATACGCTACATGAAACTTTGTCGGTTGAACTCCTTCGCCATTTCTTAACCGATTTTATCCATTGACGTCTCATTGGAAAGAGCGTGTCGCGTAGATTTGCAAACTGGCCTTACATTTTTGAAAAAGCCCCTTGGGCTCCGCCCCAGTGGCTTTGAAAGTTCCCATGTTATCCTTATGAAGAACATAATTGTTTACATTTTGATCAGCTGTATAATTTAATTGCTGTTATTTATTTTCCAATTCAACGAAACACATAGGTTACATTTACTGATTTGGTTGAAATTAAATATTTGCTACTTTAGTTTACATTCGTTTTTTTTTCCAATGTAAAAAATCGAGAAAGCCTGGGCAATTTGATATATTTTACCAAAAAAGAAAAATGAATTAACAGGGTACTGTATTTCTTCTACAAACAATGAACAGGGATGTTAGCCAAAGTGTTACTATTTTGTAGTAAACACTGACTTAACTTTATGATGATTGGCAAAGGAAAACACTCTAGGGCTGAATTAAACTGGTACGGCAAGGACATTAAATATATGTTTTCATAAAAGTAAAGTGATTTTAAAATAATATGACTACATCCAAGAAACCTTAATAAAACTTTCACTGAAGGATTTGCATTATTCACATTTAAGGGAAACAAAAAACCATCTGAACGACATTTGGCCTTTCAATTCTGCATTTTTTTCAGGTAAATATAACTTACGTTATAACAGTAACTAGGTAGCCAAATTAATGCCAATTGAAGCAAATAAAATTATGACAGAGAGGTTATGCAGAAAATCAGGCAATTCTTAAGTAATGTAAACAAAATGTCATCGCTATAAAAAATTACTGAAATTTGTAAACATACTAGCGAAAAAGGGTAGTACTATGCAGACTACATTATCATTGACGAAGATCAACCTGGACCACCTAATGCGGCTATAAGTGGGAAAGATATGTAGAATACACTAAAAAACCAGATCAGCTTTTGAAAAATGATCAAATATTTACTAGAAATGTTGATTATATGTAACTGTTAGTCACGTAATCTATGAGCTGAGTCTTTTAAACTCATCGGAAATTATGACTTTTATTCGTTTTAAAATAAGTTAATTATTTGTTTTTAAATACTGTAACTACTTTACTTCTTTGCAATTGCTCGATTTCGAGCAACATGTACACTAGTTAATTAATAAATAGACACAAATTCACGTGGAAAATAATTACTAGGATTATATTCTGTAGTTCATTGAAACTGTTTTGTCATGGTATACTAAACACAGTGCTTTAATCAGAATGCTTTGTCAGCTGTTTCCACACGAATGTTGTGTCTAACTGTTGGGTTTTGCAGACTTTGCATTGTCAGCTGATTCAATTCAAGGTCTTATCCAGTACTGGCTCAACAGCTGTCACAGTGTTACGACACAATTTAAAACAGCTGGCAAAACGCCAATGTAGGTGACAATCAGCTGTGACCTAATATTTCCTGGTTAAACAGAGTCAATACGCTAATTTGTGCGCTTGTTTGGTTAGATTGTGCCTTATCTCAGTCCAAACTCCCATTCAAATATCAAAGTCTACTTACAAAATAACACACGGAAGTGCTGTCATCCACACTTTGAAAAGTTAATAGTTCGTTCTGTTTCAAAAGTAGTGTATCATAAGTTCCTGGTTTTTAATGATAGATAAGAACTTTTGTTTTACCAGTAGATTAGGTTTATAGCATTTGTGGTACCCATAACCTTTGAAGGCCAAAATACATGAATTTGAATGTAGAGTACATTCACACATTCGTTCTGCTATTATATTATTGTTTTTATCAGTAATAGGAATTTAAAACTGTATTTTAATTGCTTTACAATAACTTCTTCAACAGTTAATTACCAGTACTTAATTACACGCTTGTATAGCTGAAGCTCAAATTTGATTATAATACTGTAATTACCTGTGATCCAACCTGCAAAAATGTTACAATTTTTTCTTATAAACCTGACAATTGTTGAAGTAAAAATCTTAAAATAAAAATCTCTGTAAGCAACTAAAAAGAAGATATCTCACTTATCTTTAGTTCTATCCAACTATTATTAATTGAAATATTATCTATTATTTTTATGGTTTACACGTAACTATAAACAGACAAACACGAGAGCGTGAGGATCATGCAATCATTAAAATAGACATTTGCAACTGTACAAGAATAAACTTATATTATTTACTATTTTAGCCGATTAGCAATGTTTTTTTATTGGCAGAACTGTTGAATAATTTGACTGTGACAACACATGATGAAGATGGTTGGCAGTTTTATTGCTGGTTTGGATATGCTAGTTATTTAGCAACTTAAACAACTTCAATGGTCAAGGACAGCTAGGTACAGTTACAGTTTCGTAGTTAATTAATGAAGTAACATTGAAAATTGACCTCCACGTTAAAATTTAGTAAAACAATATCATTACTTGATTAACATTTTGATCATACACAGCTGCTAATGCAGGAAGGTCCTTGATCTCATCATGACCTACATTTTCTTATCTCAGTTTCAGATAAGTAAAATACAAATAGAGATCTTCAAAAGCTCTTCAAGTACATCCTGCTTTCTGATTATTAATTTGATTAGATTAGGGATGTTTTTTCTGACACCACTTGTCTATTAGGTGAACTAAACAATTATGATTAAATTTAGCAAGTTTCTATTTAAACAAAACCTAAAGTGTGCATATTTCATTTCATTTATTTCATTTATTCATTCCGACGGCATAAAATATTGAATACAGTATTTTACTTAAGATAGACGTACAACATTATTTTCTAATAAATCTATGAATTCAAGGTTAATAGGCCTACTAATATACTACCATAGCGTTAGGGTTTTATCAAAAAATTCATCTCAAACAATCTAGGCTATTTATCAGTTGTTGGACGAAATCCAGGGTTTAAGAAAAGCTATTTTTTATACCAATTAACAGCTGATGATGTGGCTTAATCGTGTCAACGCCAACCTCCTCATAGAATGACAAATCCATTAAACTAACTAGAATTTAATTAGCAGTAAATAATGCTAATTAAATTCAGCCATCCTTGCAGTGTGCTTATCAATTTTCACAAAACAACAATGATGGCGGCTGACGCACCTCCCAGTCAGCTGGTTCATTGTTGCCCACCCAATCACTAGCCAGAACAGCTGATATTGTTTACTTACGATAGCCGGCTTGTCAGCCCACTCCTCGAAGTCTTTCCAGATGTAGTTGTACAACGTTACTTCAGGAACCTGTGTCGGCCCTAGAGGAGATTCCAAGATGAAACTGGAAGTGCAGGTTCCTAGCGAGCTGTTATTTCTAACACTTTGTCCGGTTACGCGGGAACGGTTCAAAATTTGCCGGAGGGAAACGAAACTCGACGCTTTCCTCACTGAGACCCCTTTTGAAAAAAGGGACCGTTGACTAGAGCAAACTACGGCGCACACGGAGGTTATAGACTTGGCCATGTTGGTCGTCCACCACGTTTTCTCTCAGACTAACGAGAATGACTGAGGCTAGAATAGCCACTCTCCTCCCCCCTCCCCCCTAAACACTCATTCTCTCTCACTCACACGGACGCTATCTACGACCTTTTGCCGACCCGCCCCTGCTTCCAACGACGTTCGACGACGTTTCCGCATTTAATTTGCCCATTCTCATTATGTATTGTTTACGTCAAACTTTCTCCGGGTGAAATTGAATGGTTATAAATAAATGTTGGAATGTCAAGTGTGATTAGGCGATTAGGGGTATGTACGGTACTAGGGTCAGGGCTGCCAACTCAAGTATACAAATATTCTAGATCAAAACTCTTGCAAACAAGGGCACATTCAAGGGTGTGAAATTCACGAAATCAGGTGGCAAAAAGCTAACTAAATGTAAAGATTTTAAAACATGACTTGGTGGTCTAAAATGTCTTTTGTTGTTATACAAGTATTGTGTTCATTAATTGAACTGGTACTAATATTTTCCCCGTTTCTTTAATCGTCTTACGGCAACATTGCTTGGGTGGCGTGAAGAAATACGCAAGATTTTGACTCGAACATCAGTGATCACTAAAAAGGCTTATACAATTCTCAAAATTCTATAATCATTGATTAACAAACATTTATCTATTACCCTTTTTGCACTATATATACTGTGTTATATGATATTAAGTCACTATAAAACCACAATTTAAATGGTACTAACACGCCTAGAATTTAGAAAAATAGTCTGTAAATAAAAAAAATATTCGTCACAGTTTTTCTTCGAGATTATACCTATGAATGGATTATTAAAAGTGCCTGCAACATTCCAGGCGTCATTACAGCAACTGTGTGCAGCACCATGTATCTTGAGCATTGCAGGAGTCGCGGCATAGAAAGAAATCCATGTCATTCGAACAGTTTTTTAAACAGCAATTTTGAACAATAAAATTGAACTTTTTTCTTTATCTGAAGGATAGTATATGAGTGAGTTTGTGCAAGGAAAAAAGGCGAAAACACTATGTAAAACATGAAACAAATGGTATTTGCACCATAGAATTAATATTTGCATTACAAAAGTAAACACGAACACCCTGAACACATCATGGTAAATGTTTTAGAGTGTATAAAGATGAAGAGCACATTGTTTTTGGTCAGAATAGTTCGAAGCTTTGTCGTCAAGAGCGCTTGTACCAGTGTCGGTAACGAAGACTGCCGCAGCCAGAAGATGGATAAAACCGCTAGAACCTTTGATGCCTTTGACTAATGGGATTTCTACTTCAGTGTCAAGTAGTCAATGGTAAACATTGTAATGTAAAGTTTAATGTAGCACAAAGTTGAAAGTGGTTCTTGTTTTAAGAATATTTAATTAAGAAAGAAGACTAAAGGAATACCTTTCTATACTATTGCAACCAGCTAACAACATTTAAATACCCCCGCCGCAGCAAACCTGCAGACTAAGCGAATTTCCATTTGCCTGATTGGATTTACACTAAATGTCTCCTTAAAAATATCACATTAATCCCTATTTAAATAGAATCAGTTTAACACATACTTAGGTTTGTGGCAACAGGGAGGGTAGAAGTGTTTTTTTTTTATGTAAAATGTTAATAGTTAGTAAGAAATAAAAATATTTTCCAAATTTGGGCAAAATATGTTAATAAACAAGCAAACTACAACAGTTTACTTATTCTCCATAAGAATAACATGGGAATTTTAAATTTAAATTTTTTTGTAATTTTCTCCGTAACCGTTAGGCGCATTATAACGCTTCAATATACAAAATTATTTGTTTTTTTTTAAGCTCTACAAAATAGTTTAGGAAGAAATTGCAAAATTTGATATTTTTGGGTAAAAAATGGGAAACCCCCTTTTTTACCCCATAAACCCCCGTTACCATGGTCCGATCACGCTGGTTCGTGAACTCGTTCGAATAAACGTAGGTTTACACGTTTGTACCAAATTTCATCAAAATCGGATCATTTTTGCTCGAGTTATCGCGCTAACGGACACACACACACACACACACACACACATATACAGGGTGGCTGGTCATCAGTGTCACAAAAATTTTTTGGCGTAAGTACAAAGTAAATGCAGTGTAATGATGCATATAAAAGGTTCCAAGTCCAAAAATTAGCTTCCCAAAGAATTATTTTATGTTTTTCAAAAATAACTATGTTTTCAAACTTAATACAGCTATTTCTCAGTTACCTGTAAATGGATTTGAGTAGACAATGTCATTTTCGTGTTCTACATTAAATTTTGAATAAGAATAATATAAAATGACGGAGTATCAGCATCGTTGAGTATCAGTTGTAAAAACTCCATTGTAAATAGATTCAAAGATAAAAATTAAGATGTTTGAAAAAAATTAAAAAAAACATTGGTCTACTGTATTTTTTCACACCCTATATACAAGAAAGTGTCCGAATATGTTAAAAACTGCGCCATTTTATAAGCTTTCCAACCATATGCTACACTATTGAGGTTTAGAAATTCTGTTGTTTGTTTTAGTGGTTTGAATACCAGAAAACAGGGTGTCTTTAACATTTAAAACATAGAAAGCCGGTATGTATTAAGCAAAAGTTGTATTTTTGTTTCAGCTTTAACAGTAAAAACAGTTAAAAAGTTCCCTGTTTTCTGGTATTCAAACCTCTAAAACAAACAACAGAATTTCTAAACCTCAATAGTGTAGCATATGGTTGGAAAGCTTATAAAATGGCGCAGTTTTTAACATACTCGGACACTTTCTTGTATACAGGGTGTAAAAAAATACAATAGACCAATGTTTTTTAAATTATTTTCAAACATCTTAATTTTTATCTTTGAATCTATTTACAATGGAGTTTTTACAACTGATACTCCGTCATTTTATATTATTCTTATTCAAAATTTAATGTAGAACACGAAAATGACATTGTCTACTCAAATCCATTTACAGGTAACTGAGAAATAGCTGTATTAAGTTTGAAAACATAGTTATTTTTGAAAAACATAAAATAATTATTTGGGAAGCTAATTTTTGGACTTGGAACCTTTTATATGCATCATTACACTGCATTTACTTTGTACTTACGCCAAAAAAATTTTGTAACACTGATGACCAGCCACCCTTATATATATGAATTTGAACGGATGGTATTTTTGGCCTCTAGGGACCTCAAAACGAAAAACAGATCGGTCCCGGGTCCAGGTCTTACCATGAGTACTACGGTAATAGCTTATTCCCTATATGGGAAATTCGCTAAAACAACATAATAAATATTTTTGTACAGTTTGGCGTAAATTACTAATTTAGTCGATTTAACAATATCAGATAATATTTAACAAACTAAAATGTAATGGTTCATGATGTGATAAATGATCGCCGAAGTAGTAGTAAGGGAAAATTGATATAGAGTAGTTCATTTACCTTTTATTTTCGTCCCAGTTAAAAAATAGTGGTAAATACAAACATTGACTATATAACATAAAGGTATACAAAAAAAGTGTTCAAAAAAGGTGGGGACATATTTTACCTAGTGATTCCTTGGGTCAAAATAAAGAGAAAATCAAGAATAACATTTTTCCTAAATCGCTTCGTTAACCAGATATCCGCCATTTTGTATTTTTTACATAAACATTTTTATCTTTTAATATTTTCAACCGATCTTTATGAAACGTTGTATGTATGTTAAGGTAGACGAGACCCGTGTCATAAAAAAAGTTCATCTCGATTCAACTTAAAATTTCAAAATGGCGGCCATTAAAAACTTTTAAACTCAAATTAATCGAAAATGACTGGTTTTATGAAAAATGCCAAGAACACTTTTATTTATCATTTTTAATTACCTATCAAACGATACAAAGTTAAAAAAGATCGAATAAGAAATAGCTGAAATATTACGATTTTTAGTTGTAAAATGGGGCAAACCTGACTAGCTTCTGCCTTATTCTACCCCATTTTACAACTAAAAATCGTAATGTTTCAGCTATTTCTTATTCGATCTTGGTATGGTTTGATAGGAAATTAAAAATGATAAATAAAAGTGTTCTTGACATTTTTTCATAACATTAGCCGTTTTTGAGTAATTTAAGTTAAAAAAATTAAAATGGCCGCCATTTTGAAATTTTAAGTTGAATCAAGATGAATTTTTTTCTAACATTGGTCTTTTCTACCTTAACCTTCATACCAAGTTTTATAAAGATCGGTTGAAAAAAAATCAAAAATAAAAATGTTTATGTAAAAAATACAAAATGGCGGATATTTGGTTAACGAAGCGAATTGGAAAAAAATTTTATTCTTGATTTTCTCTTTATTTTGACCCAAGGAATCACTATGTAAAATATGTCCCCACCATTTTTGAACACCCTGTATATAGTCAACGCTACAACCAAGGTTGAGAACAATGTGTTTTTTTGTTCTTGTTACAACCATCGATCTCTATTATTACTACAGCGTTACAACCTGTTTTTGAACAAATAAAAAGTAAATAAACTACTATTTGTCTTACCAGTTGAGGGGCAAGCCACAACAATGAGGAAGATTTAAATTAAAACAAGTTATAATATTGTGATTTGAACCGCCTATTTTCTAGATACAGTAACTTACCTATTGATGTTTTATTGTTGTTATGGAGTTGATTCATGTTTCATGTTGCTCTTTAATATTGATTTACGAGACAACTCAATTGGTTTCGCAAAATAAAACTGATAAATACAATGTTTACAGTATGCCGATTTTATTTGCTAAACATGGGATTGATAGGGATTTGTTTACGCAGTGTAATAAGACACCTGATCAAGTTTTCCAATAAATAACTACGCACAGTATTTAATATCCACGCAACCATAAGCGTTTTTGACCCCACATAAATGAAGGACGGCTGAACAACATTACCTAGTATTACCATTGACTTTATAACTACACGGTGTAGATATAAAGTCAATGGAATTACCTAGATATGCACAAATTAGAAATAGAGTGGGTATACTCTCATAGATTAAGCATACTCCCTTAGATAAGGGTTTATGCATACTTATGGTATATGGGGTCCCAAGGGAGTACAGTATGATTAATCTATGGTATAATCTGCAATTAGCTTCTTGACTTGATAAATGCAAATTAAATCTCTTGTGCAAGATTAAACTATTAAAATTAAAATATATGGCTTTAGATCAATTTTAAGATTGCGCTAGCAGACTCCAAAGAAATGCTACAGGAACTTAAGGGGCCACTCTTCCCCGTTTTTTACGATCGTCAATAACAATTTGCTCGTGAGTGCATTGGGGGCTGCTGTAGACATTTAAAAAACCTAAACATGTACCAAAGTGTGTTTTCTCGGCGTATGTAAAGCATATTATGATATCAGTTACCCAAATTATGTAATTTGAAATCATGTTGCCAAAAGTGGCATGTGTGAACTAAACATTTTGTTGTTTTGGATATTCATTTGCTATAAAGTAAGTTTTTGTATGTAAGTTGTTTGTGTGATTGCCCAAGACACAAAATGTAAATTATCAAATTTATTATGATTTTATATTAATAATATTTACATTTTTATTGGGCATTATTGCTTAATGCAATTTACAGTGTGTACAAAGGGGAACAATGTAACGGAAAATATATACTGTAAGTGATTATTAGTGTTGTAAGAAAATATTTAATAAAATAGATCATTGAGATACATTTTTGAATTATTTCAGAGTGTCCAAATATTTGTATTAAAGTAGTATGACTGAATGATACATAGCCTTACTATTTCACATACTTAAAGTGAATTGAGTTAAGGAACCACACTTACTCATGGAGAGAAAAATTAAATAAAGAGATATTGATTGCAATTTGTTTAATATATATATATATACAATTTAATTTATTGGTTCAGTGGTTAGGGCGTGGGACCTTTCATGACATTCCATTGTCTGCGACGCCCAGTTCAAATCCCACCGATAACCAAGTTTCTTTGGTGTTAGGTAACGTCTTGATTGGCTCAGTAGTTCGGAATGCATTAAAACATATCCATCTGTTAAGGAATAAAAAATGACAGTTATCATAGAGATGAGATCTTTCTCTGTATTTGAGTCCTCTCTGCACTTACAGCCATACAAAAATAATTACTGTAAACCTCATACCTCAACATATATTTAGGGTTTTATTAGTTTGCATTATTTTTGTGGTAGGCCTAGTATAAATTTTAGTAATTGAAAACCCGAATGCACGAGCACAATCGAGTTTCTGTTTCGCCGCGCTGCCTCGGCCGCACCACCGTCGCCGCGCATGGTCGTCCGTAGTTCTCTATCGATTTTTACGTCGGTTCATGCAAACCACCATCTTCAAGCGGGTTGCAGACTGTCGGAATTCGGGCGAAACTAGCCTACGTTTCCTTTATCTGGTTCAAAATTCAAACTAGTGACATTTCAAACGGTAAAATTGTGTTTAGTTTTCCATTCATTATTTTTGCAATGCGAACGTGAAAGGTTTTCCACTTCGAGGACAGATTGAAAAAGAGTTTCTCCTCACCAAAGGTCAGTGATTTTCTAGAGGTTCAGAGCTATTATGTATTAGTTGTTAGTTGATATCTTGATTCTATAAGCGACATGAGTGAAATGTACACGCGTTAATTTCGTGACCGTCACCACTCACCTCATTATAAATTGGCCTACATAGGCTCTGCCAATCATAAATTCAGGCGTGAGTACAGGTCGATAATCTGACAAGTCTTCGTTCTATTTTAGGCGTGAAAAGTAATTGTAGTGCAAGAATGTATTTACTCATTAATTTTTGATATTGTATCACAATTTAAACATTTTAGTAAATAATGTAAACATACGTTAGGAAAGTAATGCAGCACGATGAGTCAAAAGATGTTCGTCTTGCAGGATTCTTTTCGAACCCAATCACGGTTCGTCATCAGGTAAAACTAAGGTTATTTTGGTGCATTTGCTGAGGACTTTCGATATTGTTTTTGAAATTAACTAATTTAATATTGATATTTCTTTCGCAATGTATCAAAATAGTATCTTAAAATGAATAAATTATATAACTACAAATATAATATTACTACTTGAAGAGGCGTACTATTTCGGGTGTATGTTAAATACTGGGAGTATCACAATTTACCTAGTTATTCCTATAGTTTTCGTTTCCATGGATTATAGTTATTACAAATATTATAATGGACTTGTTTATCGAATTAAATGATTACATATAAGTTGGTTGTGAATATGTTTATCATAATAACTTTACTGATACGCAGCTGGCGCTGGGGCAAGATATTCAATGAGGCGTATTCTGTAAACCTATAGCATTTTACTACTCATTTTAGATTGGCTTTTGGTGTCTAAGTGGGTCTGTGATTATAAAAGTCAGTAGCTGTTAGATGGCTCGAGACTCGTCCTGGATGCCCTTGAACTTGAGCTTTCAATGAATGAAACAGCTGAGTAAGCTACAAAGCTACATAGGTCATCACACTACGTTATACAACCATTGCATACAAATTCTGCTTAAAATCCGAGCTAAAAGTATGTTGCTGTCAATCGTGTATTAAATAATTGTAAAAATATTCCTAAAGATCTGTAGATTGCAAGCATACATATTTTAATGATGTAGCTGCAACCATTAAAACTTATATTGTATGAATGCACCAGTATTTTTGTAAATTTTAGTTAAAAGTACAAAATTATTTAATCTATGTTCCATCAAACATTGTTCCAAAAGCGAAAAAGGCCATGAACACGTGGTACAAAATTACATTTTCACGATAAAGTAATAAAAACAAATCAAGGCTTATACATAAGTTTTTATTTTCAATTATTTTCTATTTTATTGATAAAAAATTTGTAGGAATGGCAACACTTAATGCATTAGGCCTACGCAATTTGTGGTAAGTTTGTTGTAAACGATATTTTTTATACCACACATTTCTACGTAAATAAGCTACTATAAATACTACTGTAGTAACTATCAGATGTTTAATGAGTGTATTTGTTAATGAGTGTAACAGGACGATTCCATTGTCGAGTTTCAAAAAAATTAAATAGTTTTACAATTTGACAGCTTATTACCTTATTACCTTATTACCATCTTCTTGGCCGTTGACCCATCGTATAATGGGAATAGGCTGTGTCTGCGTAAAAAACTACTTATTTATTTCCGCACATATGTATAAGACTCACAAGTTTAAAATATGTAAGAAAAAACATAATTTTAGTACTCATGGCGGTTGCTATGTTCTACTTCAGCTCATCCAAACTACCTTCCAGGAATTCCTTTGTTGAGAAGTAGGGATTTTTACGGAAAAAATTTCCTGTGGTGGTTTTAAACTTTCTGCTGGCGAGGGTCTTAGTGGCAGCTGGGAGTTTGTTGAAGAAACGGATGGCACTTCCAGGGAATGAGTCCCTATTTCTACTGAGGCGAGTGCGAGGAACATCGAGTTGATTTCGGCCTCTTGTATTGTAGTTGTGAATGTCAGCCCTGGCCACCAGGCCCAGTTCATTGTTCTTGATTTCCTGCATGCATGCCCATATGTAGTGGCTATAGATGGTCAAGATGCCCAGGTTTTTAAAGATGGGTTTGCTATGCTCATGGCGATGGCTGCTTGTTATAATGCGCACAGCTTTCTTCTGGAGCTTCAAAACTCTGGCTGCCCCAGCAGCGTGTCCCCAGAGATGTATGATATAAGAGATGTGACAATGAAACATAGCATAGTACACCATAACCAGGTAGGAATCTGTAACACACTTCTTCAATCTCCTCAGTAGAAATATGACACGAGCCAGCTTAGTGCATACATGTTTGACGTGATCGCTCCAGTCCAGTGTTGAGTCAAGGTAGAAACCCAATAGTTTAACACTCCCACCGATGTTGTTTGGGGTGCGTGACAGAGTGCAAGTCAACCAGTTTGTCTTGGTCTCATTTAGTTGCAGTTTGTTTGCCCTGAACCACAGCTCCACATCTTTCAGATAATTTTTCGCTAGTTCCTCTGCAAGGAGCGGTGTTTTTCCTCTGATATACAAGGTAGTATCGTCAGCAAACAGCACAAGATTTCCATGCCACCCCAAGTCGTTAATAGCAATCAGGAAGAGAAGTGGCCCGAGAACTGAGCCCTGAGGGACTCCGTGCAGAACCTCCCTTTCTGCGGATTTTGCACCCTTTAAGTCAACCACTTGTCTTCTGTCACTTAAGTAGCTACTAAGCATGGAGAGAGCTTTACCTCTGACACCAAAAGCGAAAAGCTTATCAACAAGGATTCCATGGGGAACACAGTCGAACGCTCGACTCAGATCACACAGTGTAAGAGATACTGAGTCGCTGTCTTCAAAAGCGTTTGCGATTTCATCAGCAATGACTGAAACTGCTCCAGTAGTAGACCTGCCCCTCCGAAAACCGTGCTGCGAGTCACTAAAAAGGTTGTTTGACTCAAAGTAATTGCAGGTTTGTTCCTTTATTACTATCTCGAGAACCTTGCCGAGGACAGGTACCAAAGAGATAGGCCTATAGCTAGCCAGAATGTTGGGGTCTCCCTTTTTGTATATAGGCACTGTCCGTGCGATCTTCATGAGTGCCGGAAAAAAACCCTGCTGCAGGCTGTCATTGATAGCTAGGGTGAGGGGTGCAATGATGACATCCGCTACTTCCTTAAGGAGCTTGGTAGACCACCCATAGTAATCGCGGCTCACGGTGCTCTTAAGCCCACTTATAATCTTCCGGACCTTTTCTTCATTTACTTTAGTCCAAACGGTCTTACTAAGGTCGGGCTGAAACTCCGGCATCCGATCTTTCAAAATGTCCAAAGGGTCAGAGGGAGCATCAGGGATACTGGTAACTATGTCTGAGACTGATGAAATAAAGAAGTTGTTAAATTCATCGGGACTTGCAGCACAGCGCATTCCTGGTGTGGGCGGCTTGACTGAGTTTATGACATCCCAGGCAGCTTTACATTGGTTGTTGGAATTTTCGATGAATTTGACATTACCTGCTCTTTTCGCCTCTTCAACCCTTTTATTATACAGCTTCTTAGCTAACAGATACCTAGCCTCGTCTCCCCTGGCACGTAGCATCAGCATGAACTCCTTGAGTCTACTAAGAGTTGGAGTGTACCAATCGGATATGCGAGGTCCTACGCTTTTCTTTGGTTTAGGCCTACCCGCCTTACTCAGGGTTGCTGCCCGCTTCTCCTTTACTGGGAACACTGTATCCAGGGCTTCCTGAAGGTGGCTAAAAAAGGAATCGAAACAACTCTCACCCTGTGTTCTACTAGCTATTATGTCATCCCAGGCAATTTCATTTAGAGCAGTCTTAAAGCGAAGAATCCGTAAGGCCAGTGTAATTCAAGCCAGTGCGTATGTCGCACTTATAATTTTTCATCCACGCATGAGGCGGGGTACTAGTCACAGATTGAGGAGTTACATCCATTAGGATGGCGTCATGATCAGAAATCATGGGTATGACTACCCTTGTCACATAATTACTCTGGTCCATATTAGTTAAAATATTATCAATACACGCCATCCCTCGAGTTGGCAGGGTGTTTGTTATAAAAAATCCACACTGGCTTATTAGATTCCTAAAGAAGTCTTCATCACAAGAAGAATCTATTACATTTACATTAAAATCTCCACACATAATGACATTTACACACAAAGATGACAGATACAACAACGAGCTTTCTAGCTTATCACAGAAATCGGTGAAGTTCATTTTGTCAGGTGACCTGTACAGTGAGGCTACAACCAGATTTGACTTTGTGAGGTGCACTGCTACTAATTCACAAGACTTTTCTATGCAAAACTTTGTTAGGTCAATAATTTCATATTCTAGGTTATTTCTTAAGTATAAAGCGGAGCCACCATTTTTAAATACAGACCTACAAAAACTAGTGGCCAAGTCCAGGTTTTCCAGTTTACTGTTGCTAACCAGTGTTTGCTAACCAGTGTTCAGAAACACTCAAAATGTCAATATCCTCATCTCTACAAAGTATACTCACAGAGTCAAATTTATTTCGCAAGCATTGGACATTTAAATGTCCAACTGTCAACTTTACATCAGAGGTACTGGACCTTAAGTCAATTTCATTATCAGATAGGATTATATCTACGTCTTGTATAGGTCTACAAACACTTACCGATTGCACCTTCCTTGCCTCGTGTTTTGGGGTTGCCTCTCTAAAAAAGCATTCGAGTCAATGGTAGGCCTACCTTGCTGTCTCTCCTGCCGGTGTCTGTTTGCTATGTATTTCCTCACATAAATTCCCTCAGGCCAAAACTCGGGAGTTAGGACTTTATCCAGCGAACTTTCGTCAATTCCCACTTTGAAAGACTTATAGGTTGGATGCTTTGTCTTCAGTTAAACACATTCTGCATTTTGGATTTCACTATTCTTCATGAAGTTAAGCACGTTATCTGTCGTTGTCGAGGGTAGGAGACGGGAGACAAACAGCCATTCGTACTTTCCCGCAGTTTTTAAGCAAGAAGATTTACTATTTTTCCCAATCACTTCTACAACCCTATTTTTATTGCGATTTATG